GTTTGGTCGAAAAGATCTCTTAGGATCCTTTTATGTAATATGAAATATGACCTAGCCGTTCTTATAGTAATAACGTACATGCAATTCAAACAAACTTACTTAATGGGTCATACGTAAACAGTGATTCTGATACTGATGAGATGTGTCGCATGCGGACTTCTAAGACATCATTGGTATCCTTGTCTGTGACCACGACGGTTAATACTCCCATTCCTGGACCTGAGCTTCCAGAAATTGTAACATTTCCTGGAAGGTTTTGGAACTCTGGTACATTGTTTTTTGGAACTATTATCAGATTGACAACAGCAGTTGTGAATTGAATGGAATTGGACGTGTCACTGACCAAGATGTTAAGATTAACGTTGCTAGGCAACTGAGTTAAATCGTAGTTCGATGCGAAGGTGATCTTCCCGGACGAGATGTCGATGTTGAATGCCTTGGAGTAAGCTGACGGGATGATAGAAAACTTGTAGTCTCTATTTTGGTTGGAATCCATCATAAATGGTCGAAAGCTTGGAATCACTACCTCTCCATTCTAAAATAACAATTTGTTATATATTAATGTGGAAGTTTTCTTGAATAACTTTTTAATAAATGAAATTAAGGTTTATTTCGTTAACGAACACATGTTATGGTTCTTGACGGACTTAAAAGCATTATCAACGAAAGAGAAACAGTTTGAGATGACCTAAACTATCAACCAATGATCGGCCCACAAGGATCCTTTCTACCAGCTTGTCCATGGCCAAACCGCCTTGCAAGGACCTTTTCCTGATTATCCGCACCCATTTACAGTTGGTTCGACTTTAATGGTTTTAAGGTGCTGGAAAGGAAATGTCGGAAGATTATGGGATAACCAATCTCCCAAACTTGAACGAGCTCGCCAATGGCAATAGATTGCAAAATAAAACATTATTCATACCTCGCCATCGGTTACATTGAAGCTATATCTACTTTGGTTAAAGGCTGGAGGTGATGGTTGCTCGGTTGTTGTTGCTTGCTCTGTTGTTGTTGCTTGCTCGGTAGTTGTTGCTTGCTCTGTTGTTGTTGCTTGCTCTGTTGTTGTTGCTTGCTCTGTAGTTGTTGCTTGCTCTGTTGTTGTTGCTTGCTCAGTAGTTGTTGCTGAAATTGAATGCGAATTATTGTTGTTAGCTTATCACATCACATACTGCATTTGATATTGAATCTCAATTTCCCAAATTCCAGAGGAATGCGAAGCATAATCCTACTCTTAGCCTTATTCCAGAGGACTGTCCCCTTGTTTCAAAGCAATATACATCAGTAATGGGAGTATTTCAGGACCTGTCTTCGTGCTACAAATAACTTACGGACTGGTATACCTAAGTTTTCGCCTCCGGAATCATTAAGTTGACCTACCTCGAGGCACGTAATTAACGGTGATGGTTAAGGTACTGTTAACAGTAAAACGTCTGTCAGTGGCAATGAACTGAATCCTAAACGAACTATCAGAGACTATATTTTCACCATTCTTAAATATAACACCGACTTCCTTTCCTAGAATATAAAAATGTAAATGAAGATTATTGTAGAAGGTATGATTTGGCAGTGGAATATACCGAAGTGATCACATTCTAATAAAGATCACAGATTTAGTGACTGGTCTGTTGACATTTAGTCACCGCCAGCATCCGGCAATTCTCGGTAGTTTCCGTAAGGGAAACGTTCACGATGACCCGTTTGTACTTCAGGCGCTATATAAAGTCTCAAGTCGTCATTGTTACTTACCCATTTTACTGAAGTTGAAAAACTGCGAAGCTGCAGGGGTCAGGACGTTTACGTCTACCGTTATGGTGTCCCACATATCTGTATCGGCTGCCTGTACTGTAAAGATCGTTTGGCCGTCGGTGGTCGTTGAAGGTATCGTTAGATTTTCGGGCAAATTCACAAATTTTGGAGCTTGGTTCACGAACTGTATTGTAAGTTGTATATAAGCCTCCGCGGACAACTTTCCGGAATCTGTCACTTTGACATTTAGACCTAAGCGGTCGTACATGCCGTTGAAAACGTCGTGTTCTTTGGCAAATACGAATCCACCGGTTGCCGGATCCATTGTAAAATCTTTATAAGTCCCAGTTGGCAGAAATTCAAATGTAAGTGTGTCACCTTTGTCTTCATCTCTAACAAATGGTAAAAGACTTGCCACGACAAGATCTCCAGCCTATAAAGAAATGAGATGAAATTGAGTTTTATGTTATACTTACGTATCGCTGACATGGGTGGAATTCTAAGTTACAATACACGTATGCCAAGATCAAAACTCTGATTTCCAGTTCGAGTCATTTTAATTCAAATTTGATTCTGAAGCTAGAGTTAACATTCTCACCTTGCCTTCATTGGTTGTAAAATAGAGATTAGTTTCGTTAAATCTTGGTGGTTCATTCACATTACGTAGCTGAATAGTCAAGGTTTCTTCGAGAGAAGATACCACGCCATTTGTGGCTGTAATCTTTAGCTGGTACACGCTTGGAGATTTCTCGAAATCCAGTATTACACCTGGCTTTACAGATACTGTTCCGTCTGAAACAATGAATATCAATGGGTTTAGAGATTCCCAGCTTTACATCAGACCCGTTGCATGAGCTTCGACAACTTGTGCGTCAATCAAATGGATGCTCGCAAATAAGCAACTGGTGGCAAAAATGAAGCTCTTGTTGCTTTTGGGATCCATAAAAGAACTAGTTACCTACCATCGCTGATGTTGAAGTAGGGAGAGCTCAGTGAAAACAAAAGGTTGGTGGAGGGTGGAGCGTCTGTTGTAACTACGAACACTCCATTCATAATATTTTCATCTACGTAAATTGAAGTTGGTAGGTTGGTAAGTCGTAACGGACGTGACGTAGTGGTTACTGGAAGAATCGTTGTTGTGTCTGGAAAACAATTATCTTGGGTAAAAGGTATAAAGATACAGTAGGCTTGTGGAGCAATGGCGTCGAGTACAAGACTCATAAACCAAAAGAACCCAACAGCAGTTGGATCTTAATGGAAAGGAGGCTACTTCCAATCAACTGGAACAGCTTTCGAATGTTAAGGCCCTGCAATTTCAGGGGAATATGTCGGGAAAAAAATCTAGAGTTTACCGGGTGAACTGTACACCAGAAAGGTCAAAGTTGATGACCTAGTTGTCTGTCCATCGTTGACAGTAAAGGTCAAAGTGTATGTTTGGTTGACTGATAAACCTCCATTCCTAGTGAATGATACATCTCCGCCTGAAACGAGTTCAGATAAATTTGGTATTATATAAACACTATTACCCTTATGGGCACTCCGAGGGTGGTATCGAGATGACAGTTATAGTCACATGGAGCATGGACATACCTAAACTATAAAAAGCCCCTAAAAGTTTAAAACCTAATCCCCAAATCTTCAACACAGGAGACACATCGCGCAACTTTAAAACTATAGGCGATAATCTATTCTCATAACTTACTGGCTTGGTTGAAGCTGAAGAAATCGGAATCTGTTGGATTGGCATAGCTAATCGTAACAACTATTGTATCGGAAGTATCTGGGTCTGTCGATTGAACTGAAAACACCACACCAGTTGCGACTGAGGCTTCTATTGTCCGAGTGGACGGTAAGTTTGTGAAAGATGGTGGCTGGTTGACATTGGTGAATCTAAATCGGATCCTTGATGTAGCCTCAATATTGCCTTTATCCAGAACTCGTACTGTTAACGTAACGTCAAACGGTAGTCTTTGCGGATCGGCGTCGTAGTCAGCGGCAAATGAAATACGGCCATTTGGTGGATCGATGAAAAAATACTGGGAATACGATGATGTCAGAAGGCTAAAAGTGAATCGTTCGTTGGCATCTTGGTCTGATACAGAAGTTGTTAAACTGGTGACCAGTATCTGTCCACGCTGCAAATAAAAAAAATGTGTTATCAACATAATCAATGGGAAGTTGTGGTTGGTCTTGAAGGAAATTGGGGACAACGTCGTGCGAGTGGCTCGTAAGTGCCCCACTCACTTCTTCTGGAGTACTATGCCACCAATAAACCCCACAATATCGAATAGTACCTACCTTCCCCTCAGATGCTGTAACGTTATACTGCTCTTGGGTAAACCGCGGAGGTTCATTCAAGTCCTGGACGAAAATGTTGAGAAAAGATGGATTTGACGTGACCTGTCCATCGGTACAAGTAATTTGTAAAGAAAAACCAGAAGTAAATCGCTCATAGTCTAAAATGACGCCTGAGAGAAGCGAAATTACCCCATCTGAAAAATACGGATATCCTTTATAGCCTTCACAAAGTTATTCTTGGAAAAATTAAAAGAAGACAATTAAGCACTGTTTTTTTTTTTATCCTAATCTCATCCATTGCATTCATGATTGTTCATAACGTTGAGTTGTGTCTTTATTCCCTTTCTCGTTCTTGGAAAGTATATTAGAACAGCAATGCTTTCCCTTGGAATACCCGAGAGCTAAATAAGTTGGTCAACTGGAAATCCCTTTGCGCAAAACCACTTAGGTTATTATGTCGACTAAACTGAAAATAGTACTTACTGTTATTAATCTGAAAGACACCAGCAGGCGACGATTGCATTTGGAATGTGAGTTTACTTATGTCCGGCTCGTTGGTGGTAACAGTAAACACTGGGTTGGTTGCTGTATTTTCTGGTACTGTTATAGTCTGTGGTAAATTGAGGAAGACCAACGGACGTATAGTTGTTGTTGGTACTGTCGATTAAGCAAAAATAGTAATTAAAATTATACACTTCGTTTAGTATGAGTTGGTCAATGATGGTGATGATGAAGAGTTCCAGCACGTAAGAGCATTGATTCATAAAAGATAAGATAATAAAAACGACGAAACAAACTGATATCTCTCTGATCTTGGATCAAAATGAAAATAGCAAACAAATACTAACCGTTTACTACCACAGTGACGGTTAAAATAGCTGAAGATGATAGTCGTCCATCAGTTACTCGGAATGTCAACTGGAAGCTTTGAGTTGATGATAAACTTTGGCGCCCAAGAAAACTTAGAGTATTAGCTGAAATTTTAAAAAGGAAGCACATATAAAAAGGAAACCGTGATGGCCAGCTGCGAAGGCTGTATACAAAACGCAAAAGGTAGCAATCAATGAACTTTTCAAATGAGGAAGTATATCAACTTATGAAATCAGGTGAAGCTACTTACCGCTTGGATCGAAAGAAAAATATGTTGAAGACTCCATAGAGACTGTTAAACCATCACCAGAATCCTTATCATTTGCTGATACAGTGAAAAATATTCCACTAGTAAAGGCAGCATTGATGGTACGGGACGTCGGTAGGTTGGTAAACACTGGTTGTTGGTTAATGTTTCTAATATTCAACCGTATGTTTCCTATATCTACTAATCCCGCAGCATCGGTTACTCGGATCGACAGCACAACTTGATTTGGTAACCTGCTTGGATCAGCGTCGTAATCTGCAGCATAAGCCAGTCTACCACTTGATGGGTCAATGTTGAAATAATTCGAATATTGAGACAGAACGATATTGAAGGTCAAAGAGTCGCCGGAGTCCTGGTCTGTAACGTATTGTAGAAGACTTGGGATCAACATGGCGTCTTTCTGAAAAAGGAAAGAATTAAGCTTTAGGTACATCAGTTTAGACTTGGACCACACGAAAGCTATCTATGTCATGGAGTTCTTAAGCCTTTGAGCTCCTGCTTCCACGGCTTTGTCTTATTGATAGAGTTCTACAAGACTTGTGATCTGTTGCTTGGGAGACCAACATTGCTAATAATGGTGTTAATATGAAATCAATATGTGTCCTCACCTGGCCTTCATCAACCGCAAAAGTATATTCTGATTGACCGAACTTTGGTGCTTCGTTCAAGTTTTGTATCACAATGTTCAAAGTCTTTGGACTGGTCTTGGTGGTACCCTCGGTGGCAGTTATGGACAAATCGATACTGTTTGGTAGAGTTTCAAAATCAATCGTGACACCTGCTCTAACAGACACTACACCGGCTGAAAGAGAAATAGAATGTGTCAGTACCAGTGGCGTATTAGGAAATGCCCCCAACCCCCTCAAGCCTGTGAAAGCTCTTATTTTGAAGTGAAAATTAAGCCCTCAAAATGTTCAAACTTCATCTCAGGCTATATGAAATCCGTTGACTTCTAAGGACCCCATACAGCCCCCATACACCTGGGATCAAGGCACTTAGCCTTAAATTTACAATTTCCCACCCTTACCATTATTGATTTGGAACAGCTGAGGAAGACTTGTGTCCATCTGAACTAGCTGGTACGTAATGAGTGTTCCCGCTGCCCTATTGATGTTCAGCATAAAGACAACTCCATTGATGTTCTCGTTGATAGAAATAAGTGTTGGTAGGTTGGTTATCTCTAGGGGCGGTTGAGACGTGGTAGGCGTATGTGTTGTTGCTGTAACGAAATGTATGAGCTTCGTAAATGATTCATAAACCTCACATGGAATATTAAAAATGGAATATGAGCTACGCCAATTGCTTTTAATGCTGCTGTAGGAGATTTATAACTTAGGTGGATTATCAGCGATGCCAAGCTTTAAGAACACGTGAACTATTAAATTGGACAGTGAATAGGAGTCATACCAATGACTATTAAAGATAACTCGACATAGTATAAACGAAACTGGCTGTTATCTACCCTACTATTTTGGACGATGTTAGTACGATGTAAGTAACTCAACATGAATGAGAATGGAACGAAATCGCGAAACATGTAGTTTGAATCAAATTTCAAGCTTTGTTCGCCGGTCTAAATCTGAAATGGACTTACTTGGTGTTGGTACAATAACGTCTATAGTGAGGACATCTGTGATGGTAGATTGACTGTCGGATACGACGAATTGGATGCTGAATGTTGAATTTGAGGTGAAGAAGGACCCATCTGTGAAAAGAACTGCTCGATCTAAAAAAAAAACGAACAGAATAGACTTGTCGCATCCTTATTAGTTCTGAAGACAAAGTCAAAACAATGAAAAAAGGGACCTTTACGCCATTTATAATGTTGTTTCCTTAATGTAGATAATTACAACATTTGGGTCTCTTGAACGATCGGGTCACAGCATTTGAAGACAAAGAACACCATGAAATGCGCAGTGAGGTTCATTTTCTTCATCATCATTACTAATCACATCCACAGCCTGTTCATTTCAGCACATTCTAGTCCCACTCACCGACTGATCTGTACGAGAAGAATCTGGAGGCGTCAGGAGTGAGGAATGTGGTTCCGATCGTAAGAGAATCCTGTGTGTCCGCATCAGTAGCTCCTACATTGAAAATAACGGAACCATCGGTAGTAGTTGCGGTATATACAGCAATCCGTTGTGGCAGATTGGTGAACAATGGCGACTGGTTAACGTTTCGAATTGTGAGAACAACGGTAGTACTGGCACTGTTTCCACCAGAGTCCGTTGCAGTTACGACAAGTTGAACCGTATTTGGTAGTCGCGCCGGATCAGTATCGTAGTTCAGCTGGTAAGATATCGCACCATTGATATCATTAATGAAGAAGTAACCGCCCAGATTGGTTTGTGTGATTGCGAAATTGAAGCTTTCGCTTCGGTCAGGATCTGTTATGTATGGAAGAAGGTTTGGGACTAGGAGCTGTCCTGCCTGAAGTAAAAGCAATGGCATCTCTTAGTTAATTGACAATTTAAGGGCTTAACAAAGTTCAGATATAGTGTGACCCTGTACATTTCCGAGAAGGAAATATTAGTCCATATTAGAAAGATAATTATAAACCAAAAAACGTTCACAGCAAAGGCATTTTTTTGATGGAAAAGCGGTCTCTGAGTCTTTGATTTTAAACAGTAGTCTACAGCCATTTGGTGGTATTCAAGAACAGAGTGAAGTCGGGTTCTCCAGAAAGGTGATCGATGCTTGCTAGTGACTTCCAGCATAGCAATGGTATATTGCCAACATACTGAATATCTAGAAAATATTAATTTTACCCGTCCTTCGTTGACACTAAAGCCAATTCTGGTTTGGGTAAAAGAAGGTGGTTCATTGACATTAGTGATCACCAAAGTCAGGTTTGCTGCTGGTGACGACGCTTTCCCATCAAATGCGGCAATGGTCAGGTACATCAGTTCTGGTAAACTTTCAAAATCAATTACCGCACCAGGTCGTACCGTGACTTCACCAGCTGCGTGAAAAGAAAAAAAGAAGTGTCGTGTACATTTACAAGTATTAGAAGTAGGGTACCTTTCATTCTATCAGCCTGATTGTTTTGTATATCATTCAAGTCATGCAAGGGGGTGGGGTGTCTCATACCACCTTTTGTTTGTGGTGCACCTTCGCTAATCTGATGAGTTTCTTACCCGAGGAAACGGTGAATTGATTTTGATTGACAGGAATTGATGTTTGTAGCAGGAAGGTGGTTGCGTCACCGTCAAGATCTTGGGCAAACACTTGGAAAATAGAAGTTCCTCCTGCTGTATTTTCCGAAACTGATTTGGTACTTGGTAGATTGGTTAATGTGGGCTTTCTGTTACCAATGTTGACCGTAATTGTATGAACTGCCGTTCCCTTTAAACCGGTCGTATCGGTAGCTGTAACGACCAACGCAACTTGACTTGGGTACACAGATCGGTCGACCCCATATTCCTGTGAGAACGTTATTCGACCATTTGTTGGATTAATATTAAAGAGGTAGACGTATTGACCGGGTTCAATACCAAACTGCGCGATCCTGTCTCCAAAATCCGGATCCGATACGACCCCAGTTAAGCTTTCTACTATCACTTGGTCTTTCTGAAATGAAATTATACCTTCTGTTGGAGCTGCCTTGGAACAAGTGTTAAGAGTTCTCCGAAAACACGTAATAAGGGAAATGCCGTAAGCTTGTTTAGGGTGGACAATCATGCTTGTAAACACATCCAAAGCGACGTGTCCATAAGAAATGCAATCCCTAGATCATTTAACTTTGGAAGGATCTTTGAATTTGTAGCTTGGATTTGCTTTGAAGAGATATTTCGATATAAAACAAAATATACTCAAAGAAACATTTTCTATGTGGATTCTCAGAGGGGCTTCGGCAGACCTAGTTGCAAACTAGAATTATATGCTCCGAAAGAGTGAGCATATCTTCCTTGCTAGCGAATCGTCATCATATCAGTGGAGCTTACCGGTCCTGTGGTCGTTGTAACTTCGTAGCTTGAGCGGGTAAATTTGGGAGGCTCGTTTTCATTGATAACAGCAATAGTCAGTATGGCATCCCGAGATGCTTGAGCGCTTAACACCCTGATTGGGATTTGAAAAGTGGTCATGGCGAGATTCTCGTAATTGAGGTTGGAACCAGCTTTAAATGTAATTGCCCCAGCTGAAAATATACGATGTATAATGAATATAAGAGAAAATCATCACCAGAATATGGGTTATTTTTGGAAGTCGTCTTGTTTTCCCTTAAGCATCGTGGACAATCTGGAATAAGTTCAAGGCTAATTTGGCGTTTCTCAAAACCTGGGTGCCAAGTTGTAGTCGGAACATGCAGATCTGTCAAAAAAGATTGAACCTATCTATATTGACTTACTATTGACGTTCAGATCTAAGTATGTGGAAATGAAAAAATTGCTGGTCGGGAAGAGGTACCGAATCGTGTCCGTCGAGTCGCTGTCGGTAGCCATTACGTCGTATATTAAAGTTCCTGGAGCAGTATTCTCTTGAAGGTTGATCGTAGTGGGCAAATTTTGAAAAACTGGTGGTTGATCGACGTTGAGGATTGTCAAAAATATTGTAGCCGTATCGGAGAATCCGGTTTGGTCTCGAACTTCAACAGATAGCTGCACATTGTTTGGTAAACGAATCGGATCGTAGTCGTAATCTTTGGCGTAGGTAATCCGACCTGATGAAGAATCGATCGTAAAATAGATTGAGTTGGTGGTAACCAGTTGAAGAATGAAGAAATATTGGGTATTCGCATCCGGATCCGTCACTCTATTGAGTAAAGTTGACACAACAACGTCCCCGGCCTGGAAAGAAAACGTACGAAACAATGCTTATGAAAATGGAATACACTTTAAAATGATAGTTTGTAGGCGATGCGCAACCGCAAAAAATTGAAACCGTGCTATAACAAATGGACAATAACCGCGATGGCTGAATTATCAAAAAATGTTTAAAATTAAAAGAAGCTTACTTTGCCTTCATTAACGGTGAAATTGTATGAAGACTGTGTGAAGGAGGGGGGTTGGTTGGTAATTGGGGCTGTGATCTGAAAATCCACGTTTACTGGTAGTGAAAGCAGTAGCCCGTCATCAACGGACATGATCAAACTGAAGTTGCTTATTTGAAGGTCAGCTAAATTGGATCCTGGACGAACTGAAAACCTCTTTGCTGAAAAGGAAATGTTGAAAACAATTATGATTCATTTGATATTTGAAATATTAACTTAATAGATTAATGGCGGGCATTCCTTCAGAGATTTCCATGGACCTTAAATACAGAGCAATAAATGAATAGCTGTAAATTTGTGTCCAACTTGGAAACTTTTCAAATCTTTCTAAACTGCTGGAGCAAAAATAGATAAATAACATCGTTCTGATGACTATGTAAATTGAAACTTACTATTGGTGTCGAAGGTGAGGTAGGACGAAACGCTTGACGGATCGTAGGTTATGTGTACAGTTAGCGTATCACCATCTGCGTCAAACGTTTGTACTGTATAGATAACACCTTGGGCATTAGATGCGACTTGTACCGGCGAAGTTGGTACGTTCACAAAGATCGGCGCTGCGTTGTTGGCTGAAAAAGTAGTTTGATATTCTATTAACTTCACTGTAATAAGCAGTGTGACTGGGAATCGTCTGGAGCACCTGCTACCGCCCCAGAATTCGTCATTATGAATGGAAGGATCTTGATTAAGAAGTATAAAGTGAAAGTAAACCTACCCTTGATACACAAGCCTTTATAACACCACTGAAATAAAAATGAATTGAATGGAGTTTTATTCCTATTTTCTGGACCTGATTGGGCTGATAAGGACGGGCAACGCCATGCCGTGTGAAATCCGGAAAATTTTATCAGGACATCGTCATTTTTGCATCCTAGTTCTTCGAAAAGCATCACTGAGAGAAATAGACGATCTAAAATCTATATCGTCGAATGCTCTTATCGCCCAGTTGAATGTTGGGATGTCCACAATAGATCAAGAAGTTCATCTACAGACCCTGTTAGTATCACATGTTGAATACTCCATTAAATTGGCTGTACCACAGCGAATTCCACCACTGGGTGTGGTTTCTGTCAAGCAATAGCCACGGTAACACATTTCGTCCTTGTTAACTGGAAAGAATTCCTGAAATGGTGAATGGAGAATTATGTGTTAAATATATTGTACACCTTGCTGATGAGATCATTCGAAAGGTCCCGACCTGTTGATAAGTGACTCTAGAGTTATACCATGCGAGATAAGGTACTCCTCAGAAACTCAGAAATACCATGCGGATAAGGCACTATACACTCACAACTTGCAGAGAATGCACATAATGTCGCGCCATGCCGTTAAGCTAGCCCAAAACACTCTAAAGTTGCACACACAGATGCTAAGATACCTAAATGATATTGGTTTTTAAATCCAAACATGTAGACCCTAATTACTTACGTTGCAAAATCTGGAATCTTCTCCTTCCAGCATTTTACATTGAGTGTCTTTATCGTAATACTGACCAGCTGTTTCAGTTGTTGTCACAACACCATCCCCATAGCGGTTATCATTTAGACAGTCTACATCGGTTCTGTAAGATTATGAATCAAGGGTTGGCTACAGTAGACTGCTGAAACCATCGATGTAAAAACATCCAGCAGGCAAGATGGCATGGAAATTACAAGTCAACCTTTTAATATTACGGATAACCTGACCTGGTTAGGTTGTGTACGATACCCCATTCGCTAGTCAATGAAAAATATCCACCTCATGCTGCCCATCCGTCCTTTGGAGACACATTCAGTAAAAGAACACCAAGCCTTTGTTGTGCGTGGTCCGTTTCGCTCTAGTACCTAACTAACTAATACCTACCTTTCCACAAAAGCCCTTATATCTCTAACAGAGCAGGTCGAAAATTGCCATGGATGCCTGGCTCTTGTTGCGTCATTAACCGGAAAACTCGATGTTGCCATGATGTACTGATCTGTATCATCGCATCCAACGTTACTGTCGTGTAAAGCTCTAAATCTACAAAATGAATTTCGAATAACAAAACTGACCGGACAAGACCAACAAGACATGGAATTGAGCTGCCAGGAGCTGGCAGAAAAGGACCTCGCTGGGGACCTACAGTCAGGAGAGCATCTGTGAGTATAAAATATAAAGTTATGAAATTTGACAATGTTAGCTAGCCATATTATTTTTTTCAAAATTTGAATGTAACATCATATTCCATGACAATCAAAAAGAGACAAAGAATAACGCTCCCACCAAAACCAAAAGCACTTACGCATGGCCCATTTCGTGGGCGGCTGTCGTGGCTGTCCCAGCTCCTTGCTTGTCTTCTACTATAGATGTACTTCCCTTAAGCCGAACACTAGTTCCCGAGATCACAAATGAATCGGCTATGCACATAACTCCTGTGTAAGCCTTCCCTGTAACAAATATATCACCATATAATATTTCGGGAAAGACTCGTTCCGGGATGAAGATGAAGGTGCCCAGACTCTTTCCTTTGTCTCTGATGAACAACTTTTGCAGAATGGAGGACACACTTAAACGGAACATGACTCATGGTCAATCATAATCATGGTCCTTTATATTCGCGAGCATGATTGTCCAATGCAACACTCATGGACAAAAGTCATTCGGATGGTACTAAATAACAGGCCCAGGCTCGCGTACTTCTGATACCACTGCCTTGGCACAATTGTACCCATTGCACTCTACGTGGCGTTTCATTTATTTAATTCCATACGACAGCACACACTAGGTGTATAAGAGCGTAACAGATGGAAATCTCAAACCCTACCTGCATTTCCATCGTTTCCATTGTTGACTAGGTTGTATCTGAAATTGAACACAATTATTATATTCTTGTTAACTTAAATAAGTTGGTGTAGATTGTCTCAAAGATGTGCAAGTTCATCTGCATGTTGCACTCTACGAAAGAGAAATTAGGCTGGCAAACTCAGTCGCAGAGTCCCCTTTGAAAAGAGATGGTCGGTGAGATTATGGACAGTTTGGTTAAACTTCAACACGGGACACCACAACTTGCCCGAAGAGTGTGCACTTCTGTCGCAATCTCTTTCCACAACGTTACAAACAGTACGATGACTTACCCAGTGAAGAACATGTAGTGGTCGCTTGGGGGAAGCACGATACCAGCTGGTGGTGATTCTAACCAAAATTGGGTTGCGTTGAGTGCTGAGTCAACCTCAACTTTATCACCCGTTTTAAAGGGTTCAGTGTACGAGGAGTCCGCTCTTGTCTGAAAAAGGACAATATATATCATTGCAGTTCCGGAGCACTTTTGGATTACAGGCTTTTATGTATTTGACCGATAATATTTTTGGGGTACTTGGATTTGTTGAGTCACCAAATAATAATAATTGAAAGCCTTTCATTGACTTTGTGGTGCTTTGCTCGTTGTCGTTGCTGTTGTGGCACAATTTACTCTATTGCATACTGCATGGTGTTGCATTGTCGGACGTTATGACATGTAGAATCTTAATTGTTACCTCTATAATGAAGAGACCGGAATAAACAATGTTAAAGGCAATGGTCCCTTCCACTTCATTGATATGGTGAAACCGAACTTTCATCTGCAGATAAACAAAAACGATAAGGGCAAAACTGGTAATTTGGACACAAGTGGTTATTGTGGACACAACTGGTAATTATGGATAACAATGCTAATTGTTGATGACGAAGATGGTGATTTAAATGATTAATCAGGAAAGAATGGTGAAGATTTTTTTGCAGCTAAACCAGATGACGATGATTCTGTTGATAAGAAGTTTCTGCTGCAGCAGATATTGATGATGATGCTGATGCTGATGATGATGATGATGATGATGATGATGGTGGTGCTATCGTCACGCTGTCGTCTTAAACAGCACGATGTATTCACGTACCTGCTCCGCAATGAAAGCATAGTAGTTCTTCATGTCGGCCTCAGCTTTAACCACATCGTTGTTATTCCTCCCCAAGAATCTAAAAAGCAATTAATTGGGTGACTGTGAACTAAGGCTCAGAGAAACCACGAAGCGAACCATCTTGATCTGCATTAGATTGTTCTGGCAATGGTGATGAAACGTTGGCTATTTGGCTGCTGGGATCCTTTTGGGCTAACCTTATGTATACTTTAATTAATGGATTGCTATTCAAAGCTATTTGCGGACTTTGAAGTCTGGAATGTTGATTTATGAATAGTGAATTTTATAGGCTTTGACTTATATATCGTCATAATGATTGGCTAATGGATTGTAATATGGACGGGTTTGCAGATTTAGCTTATAGATTGGATTGGATTTCTTCATGGGAAAATGAGTAATATTTACTTAGAAAAGGCCTGGTAATCCGCAATGAGACAAGTCTCCACAGTGTACGTCCTCAGTGATCTTTTGTACCTATGATGTGCGTTGTGTTCTTGTGACATATCTGGAAGAACAAAAACAATCGTATTTTTTAAGGATAACGTAAGTTATCAAGGATCCTGTCTATCATCTGCTCTCTGGCCATGACAGAAACAACCATACGTCCATTACTTTTTGGGTTCTCTGTCTTTCATCTGGTCATTGATCAAACCTCTGCAAAGATCTATCCCAGATGATATCCTCTCTGATCTTTAGGATGAATACAAAGGTTACTCTTACTCTTTTACTTATTGGGATTATTGTTACCTTGGAATCTTTGTACCAAAGTCTCTTGTCGAGTTATTTCATGGACTCCGTCAGAAGTAGGTTCTATGTGCACCAATCGCAAACCAATCTGAAAGTGCCCGTCCTGAAAAAGGGTCAGAAATGACTAATATTATAGATATAAAGGTCTATTTTGTGATCATTAAATTAAATGAAATTAAATGCTTGCGATATCGATGAAGAATATACCACGTTTCATCTTTCCTGGCGAAGCTTAGATAGACAAATAAAAAATGACAAGCGATGGTATACTCACCAAAGTGTATTTAGCGGACGAGGTTGGAGCTCTTGTAACTAAAAGAACAGCTTTGGTGCTGTAGTCAGCATAACTGGCTTTATCCTGAAAGGTAATGGATTTCGAATTTGAATTGTCTAGATGATCGCTAATAATCGGTTTTATACTTTGTGTGCGCATTATTTATAAGTGCGTGTTATAATCAGAATTATACGTTATATATCTTACCTCTCTGGTATGAGTTAAAGGGAAGCTTTCACCTTCTCTATAGGCTGTTGTTTTCAGAAGAGGTATCCTTCTTAAACGTAGAACTGCCACTTCATGGTCCCGTCGTACACGGAACACCAGATTACTCGGCATTTTGACCAGGTTAATCGACGAGGAATTTGTTGCTTCGGTGCCATCTTCGACGAGAAGTTTCAAAGTAACCTTTGGGGATGCCTCTGAAATGTAAATTGATAAACGTAAGATTCTACATAGATTTTTCAGTGACATTTACAAAGGTGATATTAAATTGAGAAGACTGGTTCAATAGATTCATTCATGTTCGTGTCCAATTTATTTAAATGTAGACCTTATTAAAATAGCTAATGACGAATGGTGACTCAGATCTTTTCGGAAAAAATCAAATTACTGTAAGAGGATTAAGTTGTCAAAACAAATTATTGATCCACATAGGTTACTCGAGTCCGTCGATATTCACCCCTTGCTTCATCAACAGAGTATTTTCGCCATCTTCGGCTAATAACGCCATACGTCATTATTCAATTCGACTCATTAGCCATCTTGCTTTATTAAGAGTATAAGCATAGCCATTAAAATCAGCGATCTGTTTGAAATGCACTGTAATGTGGGAAAATTTTGCAAGGGCACATACAGTAGCCTACATGTTAACCTTTGGGAGATCTTAAACATACCGACACTTAGATAATATTAGTATTTGGTCTGGTGTAATTTTACTTTAGCCCAATCTTTATAACATTATAATTTTGATAGAATTTTCATGACGAAAATGAAAACATAACATAATAGGGGGCTTTTAAGGATGAGTGCTTGACTTAGTTCGAGTAGACGTATTCTGTAAAGAACGAAATATTCTCAATAGTAAGCTATCTTCATCACGAGATTACAAAATCTGATATCCTGTTCGACCGGTTTACACGAAAACTGAACTGATATTGGCCAGCTACACATAGTTTGAATTTCAAAAACCTCGTTGGCTTCAAATAGGATTTGATTTGATTTGATTTGATTTGATTTGATTTGATTTGATTTGATTTGATTTGATTTGATTTGATTTTGATTTTGATTTTGATTTGATTTGATTTGATTTGATTTGGATTTTAATGATTTTAATTCTAATTTAATTCAATTTTAATATTTATTTAATTTAATTCAATTTAATTCAATTTTAATATTTATTTAATTTAATTCAATTTAATTCAATTTTAATATTTATTTAATTTAATTCAATTTAATTCAATTTTAATATTTATTTAGTTTGTTATTTATGTAAATATTCATTTAATATTAATATTATTAATAATATTATGTTATGTTATCTTTTACTTTTTTTTTAATTTTATGCACCATTTTAACACTTTAACTTGTATCTTTTATATGTTCATTTCTCTTCTCTGATATATAAACCTCTATTCAGTGTTAACCGCCGTTATTTCTTAAATGACATGCTTTCAATGAACCGTATCGCTAGGTTAATTGATCAGAATTATCTTGATCAAACATGATATGAATATATCTGTGTGAAATTGCTTATAATTATATATACACGAAGAAAATTGTGGATAATTTAACAACCGCTACGTGCTGTTATGCTTTTTATGCCCCCCCCCCCTCCAAAACGAGACTAGCCTAGCTCCCCTCCCCTCTCCTCTTTTAATTGTGTAATCCTCTTACACAGTGAAACAACTGCCTGTGCCCCTCCTCCCCCTTCTTGGTCTTGTGGTCTCACCCATCTTCATTTCATGTTCAACAAGGACTTACCTGCAGTCACCGTCAGAAATAAATATGCCAATAACATGCATCGTAATATCCAAACCATTTCTGAATTGTCCTTATCGATAAAGCGCTTAAAAACCACAGCAGAAGTAATTCCTCTGTATTTTTAAAAAAGAATTCTTATATTGTTCCTAAAATCGTCACAAAATTGAGCTCTAGTGGCTTGCACAATTTTGTAAATTAGACATTTCACTTTTTTTATCCATATAAAGTTATCGAATTTCGATATTCTTTATTTATTATTTATTTTCACATCTTCCCTGCAGAACACGCCTCTAGCCCTTTTAAAACAACTGGTTGATTTTCCCACGACTGTTTATTTCGTTATATTATTTTGAAAAATTTTTCAACACGTAATAGGGCAAGGGATCTGTGTTGTATATTGCGTCTCCGAGTTGGATGCTTTAGTGGATCGGTCTTCTTATAACTAAAGAACACCTGATGATGCCCCTTCTTAGTCTTGATGTTCTTTTATGTTCTTCTTTTTATGCAGTATGAAGTATACAATGTGAAAACATGATAATGCTCAGTAATGCTTTATGTTCATTATGTTTTATGCTCTGATGCCCTTCTTACACATAGATGAGTGTCGTACGTGCATCTAATATGGGCGTCACATGCTCTAAAGTTTTCGTACGTGCATCATATATGACAGTGATAGGTTCTCAAAAATACTCCGAGAAGTCGCGCAAAGAATATCCGATGTCCTTCATACAGTTGCTGGTCTCGTACGTGGAACAAACCAACGTAATGCTCCGAGCTCCGATTGTTTACTCTCAACGCTTTTTATAAAGATGATCCTGTCAAATTGTTTGAGTATTTTCTTGTGGTATTGCTACTATAAGGTAATCCAAACACATAAAGTATCTGTAGTAGGAGTTGTTCTATTCCAATTGGCAATCCTTACACTCAAGACGTACGTTCGTCTCCTCGTTCCTTGGTTTTGTTATATATACTTAAAGAAATGCGTCTGTTTACCAGCCATACTCCTTTATATAACACGAAAAACAAAAAAGTGACTCAAATTTATTTTAAGTCATCCATCGCAAATAGAATTTTTTTTAATGAGATTGTGAACGTGTAATCCCTGCCCCTTTTAAAAGGGGTTAAAAATTGTCCCAAATATAAAATTCCGTCACAGGTTAGAACCCAAGCGTGTCCATTTCTGACTATGGTAATAATAATACGGTACAGCAATAAACTACAGGATATATACATGTAGGTATATGTATATATGGACCGTTTGTGTTAATGGGGTTATTTCTTCAATGCACTATTATTGGGAATGCGGATTTTTTTTTTGTATAATGAGGGTGTGGCTATGCGTATATCGGTTTAATTTTCAAGAATAATATTGAGCAGAGAGATGAAAAACATATTAGACTGGCAAGGTCCAAGACTTTAGAACCTAAACACAAGTCGTAATAATAATTAGCTGGTGCAGAGCGGATGGATTGGTAAGGTTTAAAAAAAAGTGTGACGAACAACACACAATGATATTAATTAGGGGACGGAAAACCTTTATACCAGTAAGGTCCAAAACAATTGGACAACAAAACACATAATAATAATTAGGGGATGAGTAGTTTGACTTTAAAACCCATTAGAGTGGTAAGGTGCAAAATAAAGTAAGACAAAAAAAAATGTTATAATAAATAAGGTCAAGAGTGGTAGGACATAAAAAACACACCAGAGCAATAAAGTGCACGGATGTAGGACACCATTAAGGTGCAGAACAGGATTTGAAACCCATAAATTATATTTTTGGACGGGGAACTTCACTTAAATTCAATGATATACTTTCTCCGTTTTAGAGTATTTCAATTTATTTCAACCGTGATCAAGGTGAAATGAAAAGGTCTTTATTTTGTATGGGAAATAATGTCCCTTACCTAATGGATATAGTGTAGGTTTTTACCGTAGTCTATGTAATAAATCTGTATGTGTCGTGGGTGCGCTAGTAAGACGAGACAACCTTTGATACTATAACTCGATTTTTGTTGGTAGGACTTTATAACACCCATTGGTTATCATACTACGGGGGTAGCGTATCTTGCCTCTGTAATACTGATTTAAGAAATCTATCTGGTAGCATGGACTTATCAAAATCTGTGACAGGTCCTTCAAAGGTTTAATAACACAAACTCGCTCGTAGACATTTGTTAAATCAAGTCTATATCATTTGGTAATGGTAACATGTCCCCTGTACCGTGTAAACTGTTTACAATAGTGTACTGTAATTTGATCTTCGAGACATGAAAAGGCGGTAATGATATGGGCGCGGTCATCACGGACTGTGATCACCTATCACTAGTTTAAGATATGGTATATGACATAAAGGTCCTGACAAGTTGGTCGAAAGCTAGCGAGCATCAAAAGTATTCTGACCTAAGTTCCGTTATTGCACGGGCTATGTTTTTTGTTACTTCGTTCCAATGCGGTACGAGTTTAGGAGGTTTTATATTAAGTTACTAAAAAAAATAGTACCTAGAAAGCTAATTTAATTTTATTAGATCAAGTACAGTACGCACTATGGAGGCCAATATAGTACATGTATATGATAAAGACATTTAATAAAATATGTTTTCTACGGTGGAAAAATAAGAACGTGTACATAAAGGGCCTTTGAATGGGGTATACAAAACTCGTGCTTTGACAGCATTTACCCTTCATGACACTCGTGAACCCTCGTCGTTCATCCATGCGTTATTAGCCCACGTGACATGGATATAATCAACCGGATTATATTAGTGGACAATATGTTCTTACCATGTGATATACATGTATTGGAATTGACCAAAGTCAATCAATTCGACCCCTACTTTAATTATTGAGCTGAGTTCAGTTATTGATTAGAAAAGAGTTCATGTCTACTTTTAAAAGGTTGACGACGTATTACCTACTCAAAGCCGCGAAAAGACGATGTACGGTGCAGGATACTCGATACAAAAGAAAAAAAAGAGAAGTGAATACATGTGTTACGGGTTCGGACACGGTGCGAACACCATTCGCTTGACTATTTTCTACTGTACTTATAATCCCGTACCGTACCTCGTCTATTCGCAGCTTTAGTCCACACGATTGTCCATATCAAAGACGATCTTAACGTTGAACTGGGTTAGGTGAAATAATGAGGATAAAGTCTACTTGGCAATGATTTCTTCTTGAGTCATCCTTTTTATAGCTGGAATAATGACTGAGCTAATTTTGTACAATTTAATTGAATATTTATTTAAGTTGAATAATTATGAACATTAAAGAAAATTATATAATACATAGAAATATCACAGTTGGTTGGATAAAACAGGATTGGTATCAAAAGCTAATTATGGTAAAGGAAACATGGTGTGGACGTTCTCCATTTTTATCAAACACACAGGTTCGGTTGTTCGTCGAATGGAAAGCAATACTAAAAGAAATGACAATTTGGGCTCATGTCTTTACTTTTATTTAGATCGATTTGTGTTGTTGGTTGTTGGCTTTTAATATCGATGTTAATATATTGGTCTGTCTTCTGCGTCTTCAGCATCTTCATCTAGGATTTCCCTACTGTTGCAGGCAATGCGTTTCTACTTGGTAGGTCTTTAAGGCCTTTATCTTGATAATCTGAAAGTTAGGGACAATGGATAAGTGAGAATCACAAAGACAACATATTAATTGTTAACTGGGATTAGTGTCCTCAAATCTTTGACATGCAGGACAATTGAAAGACAATTCGAGAATCACCAAGACACATATTCCTGAATTTGGGACGATGTCTGTGATTTCTTCAAGGACTTTAATCAAAAATCCAGTAAAAATCGAAGAATAGTGTTACAATTACTTACGTTCTTTCCAATAACCGTCGTTTGTTTTTCCTCCTTCTGCATCTCCGACCACGACTCCTTCACCACCACCATAACCACTTTCCCCGTAGCCGTAGCCGCTTTCTCCGTAACCACCTCCCCCATAGCCTGAGGAATATCCACCACCACCACCTCCACCAGCTTCAGCATAAGAGTATCCATATTCATCCACGTATCCACCATAGCGGATGATCTTGCCACCGACCAAAGCTGATTTCTTGCTTGCCACGACCTCTCCTTCTTCGGCTTCTGACCTTCCTTCTTCCGGTTTTTTCTTTTCAGCTTTACCTTTACCGTCTCCACTAAGTTTATTGGGTTTGATCTTGTTGGTTTTCAAAGGTCTGGAATAAAAAAAAAGGGGGCATAAACACACTGAGTGGCCGGAGTACAGAATTAAAACATGACTTGTTGGAAATCACCTAATTAGATTGTCATGGCGATGATCACGGATTTCGCCAGATACATTTCAAGATTTAGACTGGGAAAAACCTAAAAAAATTGGTAATGTATACGAACTCTTGTAATGGGTAGATAATTCCTTAATAGACAAATTATTCGGGGATTGGAATATCTACTTTAAAATACTTACGGATTTCGGCAATTGTAGCAAGCATTGCTACACCACGGACCACAAAATCTGTAGCATAAGTACAGAAGTAGAGGCAGCAACAGCAGGCCCAGTAATCCAGCCAAGGCAATCAAAGCAATGTTCCATGGATTGTCGAAGAAGCCAGTTGCCACGGGTGCCACGGTAGCTACAATACTTGTTACTCCATTGTTATTGTTATTGTTATTCCCGTTGTTATTATTGTTATTATTATTATTGTTGTTATTATCGTTATTGTCATCTGGTTGGTTAACTACAGCTCGTGGTGTTGTTGGACACGGGAAGCCCCTGATCGAGATGGTCTCTGTTTCACTCAATAGTGGTGGTTCTCCTTTGTCTATTGCTTGGATGGTTAAAATGTCCACCTGACCTGCAATAATGGATTGGATTTGTGAATTTAAAGGCACATAGTCAAAAATTGAATCATCTGCTGATAGATTTAAATATTACGATTCTGCTGAATTGCAGGTGGTACCATGAATAGCTAGAAATAAGCTCCATCATTCTAGAGTAAATATTAAAACGGCTTTACCCCATTAAGAATCTTTGTGATAATGAGAGTTATGTCCCTTTGTATATATCAACAGTAAATTTGGTCATGAAAGCAATTTTAAGTATTTTCTGTGCTAGAACCATCAGTTATGACCACGGATTTTGTATCTGGAACTATGCAATGACGTTAAACCTTACAGCCATGTCACTAACATAAGCGAGTCACACTTTGTTATCGTTTTATGGTCAAGTCTCATAAGATTGCACCACGCACCTGCTATAGGAGGCTTGGTCAGTCGAACAATTCCATCTTTCGAGATTGAAAGACTTCCAGATGAAGCTTCTACGAATTCAACTGCTTTGTTTGTGGTTAACTCGCAGTCATCATCCGTTACGTCGTCCGACAAGTCAACTAGCGTGAACGGCTGAATACAATCTGCGTACACGGAAGGAGTTGGATCAAATCGTCGTGTGAACCGTGGTCTGTGATCATTGACGTCTCTGAAATGAAATACAAAACACTATAAGAGTTGCGTGTAACTCTCTTAAAAAGGTGCACAGTTGACAAAATCAATATATATGTTTCCTCTGACAGGTTTTGCAAGTTAAGGCATTCAGAAATAAGGTTTCACCACAAATGTTCATCAGGTTTTGGAACTTAAGCACCCCAATTCTCCAAAAGCTACATTTTTGCTTACGTTAGATTCAGCTTGACTTTAACAGGTGGTTCCGAGAAATTCCCATTTTGATCTGTGACCTGCACGTCAAATATAAACCCGTCTTTATCATCTTCACAATTCATCTCATAGTATTTTGGTGTGTATATTCGACCAGTGTCCGGGTCGATCTTAAAATTTGGATTCACGTTATCGGGGTCTACAAAGGAATAGACGTGCTTATCCGGGTTGTCGTCATCCTTGATCTCATACTCTGGTTCGATCTCAATCTAGAAAGAGAAGACAGTTGAGCAATGTAAACACAGAAAACACGAGTGTGATCAGCAGATGAAATGATAGAAAATTCACTGAAAGAACCTCTATGCTGGCTCAAGGGTCTAAGATCCAAATTGGCTTGCGACTCTTAATGTTATCAAATACTGGTACTTACAAATCCTTCTTTTGTTATGAAGTCCATTTTATCCAGAGTTAGTGTCGGGGGTTCGGGAACGTCAGTCCATTGTAAGTACAGCCATCTTGCATCTGACGGACAATTTCCATTGTCAAGTACCAAGGAAATGTTAACGGGTGGATGGACTTCGAAGTTAAATTTCTCGCCTCCAGCTGGTGTAATTATTCTGGAAGCTGTAATAGACGGTAAGAACCAAACACTTAGTACATGTGGTGTTCACCGAAAGCACCCATAGAATACGATATTATCGCCGAGCTAACAGATTGAGCTTGGTATACTGACAGTTTTATGTGAGCAATATAGACCAATATGATGATGATCGAGTGTCCGCTGGTGTCTTCTTGTGGTTGTTCATTTGCTGTATCTTATTTTTGAAGAGGATGTACGATATAGTAGTTTCCAAGAGTACTGCAACAGTCCTGTCTAGAAGAGGTACCAGAGATCCAAGATGAAAGTCCAACTTACCAGCACCTTGTGGACACCGCGACGTAGAATCGAAATAGGCGGAGTATTCTGGTGGATTGACAGTAAGAATACAACTACCATCAGTACCAAGATTGTCAGTTATGGGTAATTCCAGTTCTGTGTTTTCAGGAATGGTCATGACTCGATTCCAATCTTTTAAAGTTGGTTTGGTGTTTCCTCCTAAAATTATATTGTGTAGGTTCGGTATTAAGTGGCTTGTGTTGCTGCATCTCATGCAACTTATGTCATTGATGATGATGCCTTATGCCATTGATTATGATGACTTATGCCATTGATGATGATGCCTTATGCCATTGATGATAGTGACTTATGCCATTGATAATAATGCCTTATGCCATTGATGATGATGCCTTATGCCATTGATGATGATGCCTTATGCCTTTGATGATGATGGCTTATGCCATTGATGATGAGGATTTCCACTGACGATGATTATAATGAATTTACCTGGATCCATAGTAATTGTTTTGATTACTGGCGGATTCGACCCATCCTCCATTCTTATTGTTAAAGTCTCCTGGCTGCAGAAGGTGTTCAGGCTCTTCTTGGCACGAACTACTCCATTCGCTGAAAGACATATTTGAAATCAAAATATTAAATTCTGAGATATTGCTGCTTTTGTGTGGAGATGCTCGTAGTACCACAATCCGCTGCTTTTTTTTTTTGTAATCTCTACAGTATGCTCTCTCTTTCCCACTTTCGCTTTCTTGCTTTCTTCTCATATTTGTTTGTTTTGTTTTTTGTTGTTGTTTTTTTTTTGGGGGGGGGGGGGGCTGTATACAAAGATAAGCATTCATGTTTACCGTCAATTTGGAAAAATCCATTATTTGGACTTTCCTCGAGAGAAAAGGTAAGTTGATCATTCTCTTCGTCTTGCGGTTTAGGATCATAAACCTGTCCACCTGCTGTCGTGGCTGACGACACTGTTATGATACCTGAAACGAACACATCCTTGATGAAAACAAAACATTTTCACTGAAAACTTCACCTCTTAAAAACAATTATTATATTTATCGATTATTATTAAGCTCAAGTTCATTCACTGCCTCCTCTGACAATGAAGTCAGCTTTATCAAAAATATAAAAAATACAACTCACTTGAGGTATCTTGGAAGGTTGGTGGGAAGTTGGGAATAACATTCAGGACCACATTTCCGGTAGTTGGGTCTGTTGTCCCGTCATCGCAGCTCATGCTGAAGGTGTAGAGGTTGGCGGTGTCGTAGTTCAGAGAAGCTCCATTTCGTGCTGCGTAGAACAAAGAATACGTACCGGTGCCTGAAAAAAAAGGATGCACCAAATCAATTCAATTTTATCGGAAATTTTCTGTGAGAATTTTTTAAATTCAGCCCCAATAGTTGTTCACCCAATGAGTCAGTCTGTCCCCTATTTGTACTCCCAGTATCGGAGGCTGGCCAATAACCAATAATATTGTTATAACTGGTGGACTGTGAACGAGTACGATTATCTGTTGGTAGTATCCTGGTACAATTTCCTTCCTTCACGCTGTATTCCATGGTATGTTTTCTTTAGTCCAGTAAATTACTAATATATGACATAAATCTACTGTGAATTCAAATTTGGATCATGTTCATGTAACCATAAGGTAAACCACCCCACTTCTTTCTCACCAACTAAAATCTAAAATCCTTACCTGCCGGAATGATGCCGAAGCAGTTGGAACAGTATGATGGAGATGTGCTAACTATCTTGAGGGTTCCTGAACAATCAATGGACAGTTTTGATATCCCAGTCACTGATTCTGGTAATGACCAAGGTATAGGTTGGTTTTTGCTTAGAATAGCCGCCTAAAAGATTAATGTGACCATACATAAATGTATTGAATTCGTTTGTATCTTTACCTTGCTACAAATCTCCATTGACAAATGATGTTGTCAGCGACTAATGTAGCTTTTACAAAATCAATATAAGAACTAACAATGTTATTAAAAAAATTCCGCTTTACATGGAAGCTAATGATGTATCTGAAAAACCAGCAATTCCCGTTGTCAAGAAATAGGAAATGTTAACGAGAGGATAGACTTCGAAGTTAAATGTCTCGCCTCCAGTTGGTGTTTTTATTCTGGAAGCTGTAATATTTAGATGTGGTGTTCATAGAAAGCACCCATATAATTCGAAACGATTCGTAGTTGATTGTTTGTCTTGATAAAGACGCTATTGTCGCTACTAAAGAACTACTTACCTGAGTGGTAAATCCACACGACAGCAGTATCACTGTTTTTAAGATAAACTTCCACATTTTGGATGTATTTTACGCATTAAAGTCTAGTTTTACATTTTAAATAAACGTTTCAACCTAATGAACCAAATTTTGTTGGTTGTTGTCGATGAAATATGTCAGTTGTTGTCCAAGGTGTATAGAAAGTATTATTTCAAGCCTAAATGGGATCGAACACTTATTCAACGATTTGTATTCTTTATAGGTCTTTTGTTACTTGTTATTGTCATCATTATTGTAAACAGATCATTATTCCGGAATGTGTTAACTAATTTTTGATTGGTTGATTGAATTCAGTCAACCAATCAATAGACAGATTGTGTCAACCAAGTGACCAATTGTAGCTATTTTTAGATCTTTGTTGTGCAGCTATTCCTAGATCAAGTTTGTGGTCCTTCGATTGGCGCCTTATAAGCGTTCAGCCAATCACTTCAACAGAATCTCATTCTTATTTAAGAATTACAGATTTATGTATCCATTTTGTTACTTCATGTCAGGTGAAATGTCTACATTCGTCATACATCAACCCATATTGCTAAGGGTTTGGAAATCTTTAATAACAATGCGTTGTTTACAAGGGATTTGAATTGTTGTTTTTTTAAGTTTTTTTTGTATTTATGTTTTATATTTGAAGAAAGTGTGACAACAAGTAATTGTTGATTGAAAAGAAATCGGGACTCTTCGTGTGGCGAAACCTTAAATATCAAACATAACATAATCAATCCTAAAAATGGATCCTCTTTACGACCAAAGACAGTTGTAGTTCCAGAGAGCACAGTGGTGCAAATAAGATGGGGGTTGGTTGAACCAAGTCAGCGCGTGCCCCACCCCAAGAAAAATATATATTTTAAAACAATTTCCAAGGAGAGGGATCCCAGTCCAAGACATTCAATAAAATTTGCTTTCTACGGTGCAAAAATAAGAACGTGTTCATAAAGGGCCTTTGAATGGGGTATACAAAACTCGTGCTTTGACAGCATTTACCCTTCATGACACTCGTGAACCCTCGTCGTTCATTTTAATTTTTAAAACTAAATTTTAATAATGAAATTATAATATAATGATGGTTAAAACAGGATTGGTATCAAAAGCCAAAGACCTAACTAAATATGGTGAAGACGTTCTCCATTTGTTTAATTAAATTCGCAGATTCGGTTCCTTGCGAAACTACACATGGTTCCTACAAGAAGATAACTACAAATAAGAGCCATGCATAGTTTGGTATGATACGGCCTATCAAATGAAACTACATAATATAAAAATGACCCTTTTGTTTACTTTGGTTTGCATCGATTTGTGTGGTTGGCTGTTGGCTTTTAATATCGATGTTATATTGGCATTTATCTTGAAAATCTGAAAGTTAGGGACAATGGATAAGTGAGAATCACAAAGACAACATATTAATTGTTAACTGGGATTAATGTCCTCAAATCTTTGTCTTGGAATTCTGACATGCAGTACAATTGGAAGACCATTCGCGAATCACCAAGACAGACATATTCCTGAATTTGGGACGATATCCTTGATTTCTTCCAGTAAAAATCGAAGAATAGTGTTACAATTACTTACGTTCTTTCCATTAACCGTCGTTGGTTTTTCCTCCTTCAGCATCTCCGACCACGACTCCTTCACCTCCCCCATTTTCTGAGGAATACCCACCACCACCACTTCCACCAGCTTCAGCATTAGAGTACCCATTTTCAACCAAAGCTGATTTCTTGCTAGTCACAACCTCTCCTTCTTCGGCCATTCCTTCTTCCGGTTTTTTCTTTTCAGCTTTACCTTTACCGTCTCCACTAAGTTTATTGGGTTTGATCTTGTTGGTTTTCAAAGGTCTGGAATACAAAAAGGGGAACAAACCACTAAGTGGCCGGAGTACAGAATTAAGATACGACTTGTTGGAAATCACCTAATAAGATTGTCATAGCGAAGATCACAGCTTTCGCCAGATACATTTCAAGATTTTGGACTTAAGACATGAAAGAGGTAGTTTAACTCTTGTAAAGCTAATTCCATAATAGACAAATTATTCGGGGATTGGAATATCTACTTTAAGATACTTACGGATTTCGGCAATTGTAGCAAGCATTGCCACAAAATCTGCAGCATAAGTACAGAAGTAGAGGCAGCAACAGCAGGCCCAGTATTGCAGCCAAAACAATCGAAGCAACGTTCCCCGGATAGTCGAAGAAGCAAGTTGCCACAGGTGCCACGGGTGCCACGGTAGCTACAATACTTGTTACTCCATTGTTATTGTTATTCCCATTGTTGTAATTGTCATTATTATTATTGTTATTATCAATGTTATTGTTATTCCCGTTGTTGTTATTATTGTGAGTGTGGTCTGGTTCGTAAACTACAGGTCGTGGTGTTGTTGGACACGGGTAGCCCAGGATCGAGATGGTCTCTGTTTCACTCAATAGTGGTGGTTCTCCTTTGTCTATGGCTAGGATGGTTAAAATGTCTACCCGACCTGCAAAAATGGATTGGATTTGTGAATAAGTAAAGGCTTATTGACGATAACTTGCTGATAGGTTTAAATATTACAATTTTGCTGAATTGCAGGTACATGGTACCATGAATTGTTAGAAATAAGCTCCATCATCCCAGAGTAAGTATTACAACGGTTTGACCCCATTAAGTACCTTTGTGACAAATATTTCCGATGCTTGATAATAAGAGTTATGTCCCTTTGTATATATCAACAGTAAATTTGGTCATGAAAGCAATTTTAAGTATTTTCTGTGCTAGAACCATCAGTTATGACCACGGATTTTGTATCTGGAACTATGCAATGACGTTAAACCTTACAGTCATGTCACTAACATAAGCGAGTCACACTTTGTTATCGTTCTATGGTTAAGTTTCATAAAATTGCACCACACACCTGCTATGGGAGGCTTGGTAATTCGAACAATTCCATATTTCGAGATTGAAAGACTTCCAGATGAAATTTCTACGAATTCAACTGCTCTGTTTGTTATCTCACAGTCATCATCCGTTACGTCGTCCGACAGGTCAACTAGTATGAACGGCTGAATACAATCTGCGTACACGGAAGGAGTTATATCAAATCGTCGTGTGAACCGTGGTCTGTGATCATTGACGTCTCTGAAATGAAATACAAAACGCTGTAAGAGTTGCGTGTAACTCTCTTAAAAAGGTGCACAGTTGACAAAATCAATAAATATGTTTCCTCTGACAGGTTCTGCAAGTTAGGGCATTCAGAAATAACGTTTCACCACAAATGTTCATCAGGTTTTGGAACTTAAGCACCCCAATTCTCCAAAAGCTACATTTTTGCTTACGTTAGATTCAGCTTGACTTTAACAGGTGGTTCCGATACATTTCCATTTTGATCTGTGACCTGCACTTCAAATATAAACCCGTCTTTATCTTTGTCACAATTCATCTCATAGTATTTTGGAGTGTATATTCGACCAGTGTCCGGGTCGATCTTAAAATTTGGATTCGATTTATCGGGGTCTACAAAGGAATAGACGTGCTTATCCAGGTTGTCATCATCCTTGATCTCATACTCTGGTTCGATCTCAATCTAAAAAGCGAAGACAGTTGATTGAGCAGTGTAAACGAAACTTTGTCCTTTGATTCACTTGTGTTAGCATATTTTGATGTTCCCCCATATTTGTCAATAACATTCGACTTTGATTGTGACCAATGCTAAGGAATTTTTTATTGGCTATTCTTTTACAGTTGGGTTCGTTATTACCTTATTAGATTGTATTAACACAGGATACACGAGTGTGATCAGCAGATGAAATGACAGAAAATTCACTGAAAGAACCACTCTACTGGCTCTAAGGGTCTAAGGTCCAAATTGGCTTGCGACTCTAATGTTATCAAATACTGGTACTTACAAGTCCTTCTTTTGTTAAGAAGTCCATTCTATTCAGAGTTAGTGTCGGGGGGTCGGGAACGTCAGTCCATTTTAAGTACACCCATATTGCATCTGCCGGACAATTTCCATTGTCAAGTACCAAGGAAATGTTAACGGGTGGATGGACTTCGAAGTTAAATGTCTCGCCTCCAGCTGGTGTAATTATTCTGGAAGCTGTAATAGACGGCAAGAACCAAACACTTATTACATGTGGTGTTCACCGAAAGCACCCACAGAATACGAATATATCGCCGAGCTGACAGATTGAGCTTGGTATACTGACAGTTTTATGTGAGCAATATAGACCAATATGATGATGATCGAGTTTCCACTGGTGTCTTCTTGTGGTTGTTCATTTGCTGTATATTGTTCTTGAAGAGGATGTACGATATAGTAGTCTCCAAGAGCACTGCAACAGTCCTGCCTAGAAGAGGTACCAGAGATCCAAGATGAAATCCCAACTTACCAGCACCTTGTGGACACCGCGACGTAGAATCGAAATAGGCGGAGTATTCTGGTGGGTTGACCGTAAGAATACAACTACCATCAGTACCAAGATTGTCAGTTATGGGTAATTCCAGTACTGTGTTTTCAGGAATGGTCATGACTCGATTCCAATCTCTTAAAGTTGGTTTGGTGTTTCCTCCTAAAATTATATTGTGTAGGTTCGGTATTAAGTGGCTTGCGTTGCTGCATCTCATGCAACTTATGCCATTGATGATGATGCCTTATGCCATTGATGATGATGATGACTTATGCCATTGATAATGATGACTTATGCCATTGATGAGGATGCCTTATGCCATTGATGATGATGCCTTATGCCATTGATAATGATGACTTATGCCATTGATGATGATGACTTATGCCATTGATGATGATATGCCATTGATGATGATGCCTTATGCCATTGATGATGATGACTTATGCCATTGATGATGCTGACTTATGCCATTGATGATGAGGACTTCCACTGACGATGATTATAATGAATTTACCTGGATCCATAGTTATTGTTTTGTTTACTGGTGGATTCGACCCATCCTCCATTGTTATCATTAAAGTCTCCTGACTGCAGAAGGTGTTCAGGCTCTTCTTGGCACGAACTACTCCATTCGCTGAAAGACACATTTGAAATATATTCTAAGTGAGATATTGCTGCTTTTGTGTGAAGATGCTCGTAGTACCACAATCCGCTGCTTTTTGTTTTTGAAACAACTTACTTCAAATCAGAGTGGCGTACTTCCTTTGTCTCTACAGTATGCTCTCTCTCGCTTTCACTTTCTTGGGGCCTATTCGTTTGTTTTCGGGGGGTGGGGTATTTGCAAAAAAGATGCCTTAATGTTTACCGTCAATTTGGAAAAATCCATTATTTGGACTTTCCTCGAGAGAAAAGGTAAGTTGATCATTCTCTTCATCTTGCGGTTTGGGATCATAAACCTGTCCACCTGCTGTCGTGGCTGACGACACTGTCATGATACCTGAAACGAACACATCCTTGATGAAAACAAAACATTTTCACTGAAAACTTCACCTCTTTAAAACAATATACGCGTTCGATTATAATTAAGCTCAAGTTCATTCACTGCCTCCTCTGACAATGAAGTCAGCTTTATCAAACATATAAAAATACAACTCACTTGAGGTATCTTGGAAGGATGGTGGGAAGTTGGGAATAACATGCAGGATCACATCTCCGGTAGTAGGGTCTGTTGTCCCGTCATCGCAGCTCATGCTGAAGGTGTAGAGGTTGACGGTGTCGTAGTCCAGTGAAGCTCCATTTCGTGCAGCGTAGAACAAAGAATACGTACCTGTACCTGAAAATATAAGGGCCAATTTTAAAGGGCCAGCTTCGTTTTTGACCAATCATACTAAGCCAATCAGTAATAGTATTCACAGCTTACCGTCGAAATATGAGCCTTCAAATCAATGTGTGTCCAGAATTATTCGCGATTGAATGTTAAAATGACGACTCGTCAATTTAAGATACTCGGTGATATAGAGAAAAGACATATAGAAATAGTGAGTAAAATTCCTAGTTCAAAGTATTTTTATAGGAATTATGTGATTTTCGTACATTTCTGGTAATTCTGAATACTATTTACATATATTGAGGCTAAAATCAACCCCCCAAAATGGTGCCTCTGTCCCTTTCAGAGTACACTCCTCCTTTAACATCCCCTAACTAGTACTAATGTCGAACCCAGTGGACTGTGAACGAGTACCATTACCTTCATTCACGCTACATTCCGTGGTATGTTTTCTTAGCCCAGTAAATTATTAATGTTAGACAGAAATCCAAAATCCTTACCTGCCGGAATGACGCCGAAGCAGTGGGAACAGTGTGATGGAGATGTGCTAACTTTATAGAGTCTTCCCGAACAATCAATGGACAGTTTTGATATCCCAGTCACTGATTCTGGTAATGACCAAGGTATGGGTTTGTTTTTGCTTAGAATAGCCGCCTAAAATGGAAAATATGATACATATATGTATTGAATTTGGATCTTTACCTTGCTACAAATCTCAATTGACTAATGAAGATCCCAACGACCAATATAAAAGACAATTTAAGAATTTACAACGTTATTTAAAATGTTCCTGTTTGTATGGAAGCTAATAACGTTTCTGAAGAACTACATAGTACAATCTGTGATTTAAAAACTAATGATCTGATAACAAAACACAAGACAATATTATGGAATATAACACACTGCCATTAGATCTGATGACGACACGTGTATGTTGTGTTGAAACGTTATGTGCGTAACCTTATTAAAGAAGTGTGTTATATTCCATAATATTGTCTTGTGTTTTTGTTATATGTGCTCCTCGCTTCTATATGTCGTTCAAATCTTATAATGATCTGAAGACTAGTAACAATCAACTTTTTTAAACCCACGCTTCAAACAACAAGCTCTCACATTAAGAAAGTTCTTTGTACAAGGGGTTTTCAACACAAAGGCATATTTTTGAAATTTTTAGGGAGTAATGAAACAGTAATTCAAGTGGTTTTATTTATCCAGGCTATAGAAAACAACATGAAAAAAATTTGAGGGAAAAGCTAGGAGAACATCACGAAATGGTATGGATTTATTGGAGGAAGGGTGATAATGCAGTCGACCAAGGATCCCGAAAGAGGTAATAGAAAGAAAAATGATTGAAAACCCCTGCCTTGGTAGATGATAAGCTTCATAAGAAGGCATTTGACGATACTAATGATCTACCTACCTGGGTGAATCCACACGACAGCAGTATCACTGTTTTTAAGATAAACTTCCACATCTTGGAAGTATTTTACGCCTTAAAGTCTAGTTTTACATTTTAAATAAACCTTTAGTTTCAACCTAATGAACCAAATTTTGTTGATTGTTGTGCATGAAATATGTCACTTGTGCAAGGTGAATTAATTTTCAAGCTTATTCAACTATTTGTATTCTCTACAGGTCTTTTGTTACTTGTTATTGTTATCATTATTGTAACGAATCATTATTCGGGAATTCAGGAACTAATTTCTGATTGGTTGTTTGAATTCAGTCAACCAATCAACTACGTGACCATTTGTAGCTATTTTTAGATCTTTGTCATGCACCTCTTCCTAGATCAAGTTTTTGGTCCTTCGATTGGTCGCCTTATAAGCTTTCAGCCAATCACTTCAACAAAATCTCATTCTTATTTAAGAATTAAAGATTTATGTATCCATTTTGTTACTTCATGTCAGGTGAAATGCCTACGATTGCTCTGTGCGTTTGTTATACACCAACCCATATTGCTAAGGAGAGAATTTTTAATAACAATACGTTGTTTACAATGGATTTGAATTTTTTTTTTTTTTTTTTTTTTGGATTTATGTTTTATATTTGAAGAAAGTGTGACAACATGTAATTGTTGATTGAAAAGAAATCGGGACTCTTCGTGTGGCGAAACCTTAAATATCAAACATAACATAATCAATCCTAAAAATGGATCCTCTTTACGATCAAAGACAGTTGTAGTTCCACAGAGCACAGTGGTGCAAATAAGATGGGGGGTGGTTGAACCAAGTCCACGGTACCCACCCTTAGTGGGCGCCAACCAAATAAAAAATATATATTAAAACAATATTTCCAAGGGAGGGACCCTTAAGTCCACGCTCCCACCCCCACCAACTAATTTAATTGAGCATACTTTCCAGATACCTTGATAGGGAGGCAGTCAAAACAAAGCAACGAAATTGAATACAAAAAAATGGGAATACATCCAGCTGCCTAAAGTGTTGGAGGTCAGACGCCATGGAATGTTAACGTGTTGAAGCTAAATGAGAATTTTTAATAATTATTTATTTGGCACATTAGAATATCACGGCAAAATATTAAGATTATATTATATGAAGGGTCATGCTTAAAACCTCAGGCAATGAACATCACTTTGGATGATGAGGTCCTTATGCTCAACTAGTTATCTTCATCAAGTGTTCATACGTCCAGGATCTACGTACTTTACAGCTACTTGTACTTGTATTACTTTGTGTCTATTTATTTACAATTTCACAAGTCTGCGATCATGGTGTCGACCACGGAATTTAGCTAAGCTATAGTCTAATAATACTGGAAAGGAGCTGGTCGATTAGATCGATTGGTTATATTTCCTGATTTGTAATCTGCAAAAAAAGAAAAAAAAAGAAACTTATAGAATGATCTTCGCATAATAATCTGAAATTTCCATTAGTCTTGTATTATTCGGAAAGGTGACGAAAGATGATGGGGGTGATAACCTTATGCTTCCGTACGTTTAGTGCGTCTAAAGATCAAGTCTGCTTACCTTCCCCTCTCCAAAAGTCGTAGCTATCTCCTGGTCTTCCTCTTGGACGTACATAGTTGGATTTTCTGGAAGAAATGACACCAAAATGAATTTAGCCAGGAACAAGAAGCTTACAACGTGATTTATAAGCCTGAATTCCTGAACGGAAAGTCTACATAGCTGATGACCTAACTTGGCATTTTATAAAATAATATGTGCCCACCATGGTGTATAGTATTTGGTTGGAAAAATCTGAATTCAACGAATATAGTAAAAGTGGACAAGTTTTCAAGACTGGTCTTTTACGGAATATGAGCAGAAGTTGTAACCCACAAGACAAAATCAAATCACTTACTGTGGGCAGCATCGTTCACTACAGTTGGATAAAGAGTATGACAAACTGTCATATGCACCAGGACAGAACCTAGGAAGGACAAATTTCCACAGGAGGTAGGCTAAGGCAGCCAACAACAGAAGACCAAACAGGATACCGAGAACGATACCAGCTGTGTCGTCTGATCCATCATCCGTGGTTGCTGCAGCTGATCCGGAAGTTCCGTCTGTGTTGCTGTTTGAATTTGAGTTGCTGTTGGAATTGGAGCTCGAACTGGATCCGGTTTTGGAGATTGAGATGGATCCACCACTTCCTGTTCCCGTACCAGTACCACTTGCGGGAGCTGGAGTTGTCGCAACAGCAGCTGCTGGGGTTGGTGCTGGTGTACAGGGTATACCTGTTGAATTCAAGATAAAAGGATAAAGGTTCTTTCAAGCTCTAAATGAATGCTGTTGTAGAAGAAGAATCTATATTTGGTATTGGGGCGTAATATGTTTAAACGATTGCTCAGGGGTCTAGGACAGGACAAGCTTGAGAACCACTGTTCTTAGTTATGTTTCGCATGGGTGAGAAAACAGTACGTACCTATCAGTGTTATTGTGACAGGAACGATTCCAGTTAAAGAACCAGGATTCGTGCCATGATCTCTAACGTAAGCCTGAACAAAGTAAGTTTCTCCTGGAACAACATTTCTAAAAAACACAGAGGGAGTAAACTTCAAAAAATCCAAATAGATTAGCTTGTAGACTCTCCAAAATAGACGAAAAGATAATCTGTGTAACAGGGAGTCACAGGTAACAAGTGCAGGGTGCATCATAGTATATTACTTTGTCCTCACAGTACTTATTAAAGTGGATTTGAATTTAGAGAAAGTCTTGAAGCTTTCAGTAATATTTGAATGACTATTCGGATAGTTAAGGCCCACGAGCGGAGTCCTTTGCGTGTCTAAATGTAAGGAAGGATAAGTTAAATCATACTTACGTAGTTTGATAAACAGCTCCATCTGGTGTAACAGACAAAGGACCAGAACTAATAGGAATGATGGACCAATCGGAATTGCCATCTTGTGATGAATCTTGGTCGGATACTTCTAATTTTATATCCAATCGTTTCGGCAGAGCACAAGACATTACTCTCTCTGTGAAGGACCTGACCAAGAATTCCGGAGCGTGGTTGTTGATATCTTGAATCAGAAACTTCACCAAAACTCTGAATTAAGTAAAGATTAAAAAATGTAGTATACTGGTAGTTCGTGATTCGTGAAAATATTTTGCTTCCTGATGCTGTAGGCCTGTGGGTGGCGTTGTTAGGGGTCTGAATGAGTATTCTTTCCGAGAACAACATTTCTGGATTAAATTGTAATAATAATGATGATGATGATGATGATGATGATTGTGCTGCTGCAGCTACAGATACTGCTCCTGCTAATGATAACGATGATGACGGTGTGTTTACTTACTTATTTGAAGTGGCTGGTCCATTCTCATCTGTGACAGCTACCTCGAAAGTGACGTCCTGTTCCACGGTTTTGTCAATGATGACGCCTGTGGGATGGGATATGGCTCCAGTTATTGGATCGATGTTGTAGCCTCGACTCCTGTCTCGATAGAAATGGTATGTATGACGATCATTAAAGTCGGAATCGGTGATTGTGTAGCTGGGCTGAGCAAACACCTGGAAGAGCAAAAGATTCTTGGATTAATTCTTAAAGAAGGTATTGGAAAACTGGATGAAGCCTTAATTTACTTCTTAATTACTTGGCTGCTGGTGGTATTTATGTTTCTGTGGATAATACAACTATCTTGCTGGAATGCAATCTGGACGAACACCTATATAGCCTTCAATAATCACATGAAATAACCACGATCCCAAAATACCAGTCTCCGTAATATTGCTTGGTGTTACTAACGTTCTCGGATTTTTTTTTAAAACTGAAGAATCATATCCCGTTCATTTGAATGCCTTACCTTCCCCTCGTCGACCTTGATGCTCTGTTCGGGTGGTGTTAGGACTGGTACATCATTGATGTTTCCTATGGTTATCAGGAGATAGTACTTGGATTCACAGTTATCGTTACTGAAGGTGAAGGTTATGTTGATCTTCGGGAACCTTTCGTGGTCCATTTTAGCTGCTGTTCTTATGGCTGAAAGGAAAAAATCACAAATGTATTTCTAAACCGACTGTCAAACAAAATGCAGAGGAATATATGGCAAAATATTTTTAGCGTTTAGCTGCTGTTTATAAGGCTGAATACGTAAGGCTGAATCGACTGTAATTCGAAACCGACAGGCAAAAACAACCTGTTAATACCCTGGACCAAATTTTTGAAGGCGGAGGGACTCAAAGCACATACTTAACTTGTTGTGATTTCCATTGACAATCAATTCCATCTCAAGTAACAATTAGTAACAAATTCCATAAAAAGCACGGGCCAAGGTCTTGAAATACTTACTTGTACCAACGACCCTAAAGAGCGTCCTAGCGCTGGCGGGTTTAAATTTCATGACGGTTTTCTTGGTGTCGCTGCTGACAGTCCATCTGGTGATAAAGGTAGGTACTCTGGTGTCTTCTTTGAAGAAGAATTGTTGGTTGAGTCTTGTAGCTGTTGGAGCTGTGCTTGTTCCTGAAATATAACCATGGTTACAGATCCGATCCTCAATTTACAACATTTTGCACACTTTGTTCCCCTTTGAAAAAGACAAATATTAAAACAGCTTTGACGGTGTTACCTGTAAGATGAACGGTGACCAAGTGCGGACCGACCGGATCGTGTTTGTTGTCCGTAGCCGTTATGGTGAAAGCGTAGGATGCGGCTGAACATTCAGATCTCAGCGTCTTAGCAGCTCGTATATTCCCTTCACCTGAAATGAGCCAAAACTGTTGAGTACGTAATCTTCGATGATAGTGCTATCTGTTAAAGCAGTTTATGGTGGTGCGTCACTGCGTCTACTGAGGATACTGCGTCGTTTTGATAAAATGTTGAACTAGAGTTGAGATTGGGTATTCAAAAACGATGAACGGATAACGATAAACAAATGTAATGCACAACTTCTTTGAAAATGGAATGATTGGCGTCTAGAGATGTTGGAAAGAATCAACTTGATTGCAATGTGACCCTACAATAATCCAGAGTCGTCTTATCGACTTAAGGATTTAAGGATTATATTAGGTGTTGCATGAGGAATGCATCTTCTATTGAATGCTTACCGTCAATGTAAAAGTTAGAATTAAGAGGATCAACAGACATGGTGTAAAATATTGGATCACCATCAGGATCAATGGCATCTACTTTATACACTACTCCACCATCGTTGACGGATACTGCATTCTTGGATACGGTTACTGAAAAATCATGAATTTGGAAAATAAACGCCGTTATGAGGGCCATTGGATAATTGCACACGAAGGCCCATAGCCAGACTTATCAATGTAATTATGCCTGTACGTGCATGTACACCAATTTATATCAGTACATCAATGTATACATGTACCTCATTTGATGCTTCCATCTGTCTATATTGGTATACGATCTCTTACCCGATGGCTGAACGAAGTATGGCGGCTGGTTAGCGACAACTCTGACTTGAATTGTTCCCTCGGCTGAGAGAAACTGTGGTCTAGGTGTCGTGGTTGTAAGGACAGTGGTGGTTGTTGTAGGAATTGTGGTAGTCTCAGTTGTGACCTCGGTCGTAGTGACAGTTTCTGTTGTACTTGAAAATGCCGAAGGGGACGCGTCGGTTGATCCAGTTGAACCTTCTGTAGTCGATTCAGTTGTACCTTCTGTAGTCGATTCAGTTGTACCTTCTGTAGTCGATTCAGTTGTACCTTCTGTAGTCGATCCAGTTGTACCTTCTGTAGTCGATTCAGTTGTACCTTCTGTAGTCGATTCAGTTGTACCTTCTGTAGTTGATTCAGTTGTACCTTCTGTAGTCGATTCAGTTGTACCTTCTGTAGTCGATTCAGTTGTACCTTCTGTAGTGGAGGGGTCGACGCTTGTTGTAGAGTTTACGGTTTCTGTTGTTGATGCATCTTCGGTCGTTGTGGTAGGTGTGTCCGACGTTGTATTCGTTGTAGTTGTCTCCGTTGTATCTGTACTGTTTTCTGCTGTTGTCTTCGACGTGTCAACAGTGGTCCCCGTTGTCGTTTCAACAACCGTTGTATTGTCCGTTGTTGTTGCAGCAGTCGCTGTATCTGTAGTGGTTTCCGCTGCAGCAGTCCCTACAACTGTGGGTCCTTCGGAAGTGGTTGTAGTAGTGTCTGACGTAGTCGTTGTTACACCAGGAGTTGTCGCCACTACCGATGTAGTTCCAGTCTCTGAAGTAGTAGCCGTATCAGCAGATGTTGTGGCTGCTGTGGAAGCCACTGTTGGAGCTACAGTTACGACCGTAGTCAACGTAGCTGTAGATTGGGTGGTTGTTGTTTGCGTAGTCGTTGTAGTTGTTGGAATTGTAGTCGTGGCTGTATTCTCTACAACGCACCTTACAGTCATGTCGAATACGGGACCGCGTCTGTAGGTGACTGGTGTCGTACCGGGGATGAAAAATAAACAGAAATTGGGTTTGGAATCTGAAATAAAATGAAATGATTTGGAGTTTTACTTCCAACTTTTTTGTATAAATGTCTTAAATAAATTACTTGGAATGGGGGAGCCATGGTGTTGGAAGAGGAGCTATTTGTTGGTCTCGGTTGGCTGGATAAGTTCCATCTGTTTGGTACCCATCTTTTCTGCACCGTCATTATGTAATGAAGTCAATTTAGTCAGTAAAGAATAAACTTACTAGGTAGTGGGTTGGTGGCATTGAGTATAGTGAAGCATCCTCTACAATATGTGGGGAAGTTGACCCGAACCAAGTCGATGACATAGTGCTGCATCTCTTCACCGTCGCACATGCAACTAAAACACGTAATCTCTTTCATGGACGATTGTCCTTCATTTAAAGTAGCTACTGAGTACGGGTTGACCAATGTGGGTTTCTGGTACTGGAAAGAGAAATATTACAAATGGAGTTTTACGTCCGGAGTGATTTTAATTGGACCAATGAAGTATAACCACTGGTGAAATGGAATTTTACGTTATGTCTTACATTACTATTATTCGTATAATAAAATGAGGAATTAAAATGGACTTTTACGCCATTCTTACGAGTAGGAACACGACAGACAATGGCCTTTCGTGTGAAATGTGAGAGTACCAGTAAGTGTAGTCTTTTTGAGATATAATTATTAAGTAATCTATAATTTTTACACCTGTACCAAAACTACATGACATTTTTAAACCACTGGAAGCCCAATATCAACTACCAAATCAACCGCGAGATCAGCATCCGTTGGAAGCGAACGTTAACTTGTCATCTACCAACCAGCCAACCCAATATAGATTCTTTAATTTAACACCCTTAACAAAAACTACCATGATCTTTCTTGTTCTACCCGAAACACAATTTAAATCTAAGCTAAGGTATATGAAATGGAATAACGAAATGATAAGGGATAAAGGATAAACAAAACTTACACATTGTGGGTTCACAATTTCTATCAACACCAAAACTAAAATCAGACGATGTAAGGCGGCCATTTTTTCAAAGTAATTCGCTCAGGTAATCATAAAAATTCACATATTTGCGTTGTTTTACTACGAAAAGTTATATTTCCTCGTAAGTTGAAACTACTTTATTTTTAATTTGTGGTATATAAGAACACAACTTTCTATGACGTAGTCCACATAAATTGCGTCCATTATAACGCAAAGTACAGTGAATGACGTTATGTATTTCGTCTTTTGACAGGTCCTTTGTCAATTCACAATAACCTTCGTCTTTAACGACCACTATTGGCCAGTTGCTTCGGCTATGGAATGCATTAGGGACAATGGTGTTTTTACCTTCGCCAAAGTCTATTTTGGTGTTTATATTCGAACAATAGTCATGTTTACATGACAAATCGGCCGATGATTTTAGTTTTTACTCTACGACGTTCAATGATCCATTGCCTTGCATAATAATATACAACCTAGATTGGGGTTTGAAAGTATACTTCATCTTAAAAGTAGTTATGTCCCTTGAGTTTAGTCTGGATTACGAAGTCTTGTATCATAAATAATTTGATAGAGTTGTCCAAAGGTTGTCGAGTCTGTTTGACATGAAACCCTTGATACAGCTATCGATATACTCCCCATTCTTCATAACTGTTATTACAATTAGGGAACCTCATAAGAAAAACTGTGCCAATGAAATTGATCTTCTTCTCTAACAATGTGGTGGATAATATTCTATTGTATAAAAGGGATCAAATGCCGTCTGACTCAACACCCTTCATGAATCAAGCTGGTGTGGGAATGTTCCACATTATAAATTGCCTATAAACGAAGAGCTTTAAGAACAATGGCCAACTTGTTCTTCCTAATTCCGATTAATAGCTATTAAATTCCTTCTATGATATTCGCCCATTTCTTCACTGGACATTTGTCTCGCTCAGAACGTTGTGAAATGTGGAGACCTCTCTTAATATTGATGCTGTTGATGCCTCTGGCTGCTTCACAGGTAGGAGTATTTGCTTTTGTGGGGATCTAGGATTAACTGAAGTGTAATTTATTCCCACGGCAATAAGAGCTTCCTAAACGCCCCATATCTACATGACGCACCCTATTCTTGATTTTAGGACCCAAGGCTAGAATTCGTACCACTGGATGGGTACATTCCCGAGGGAATCCGATCCATGACCACCATTAAATGTTTGACGTGTACCGGAAATGCGACTTATACCATACGGCTGGTGAGTGTATCACCAGTAACCAACTGCCTGAATTGTTTCACCATCCTGGATGACACTCCTAATGATGTCGGTAGGTTAGCTTGCTTGCTTTGACCTTGTTCCTTACACTTTGAAAATTAAACATGCATGTACATATCTCTCAAAGAAGTTTTGATCTCAGCCCTTGTGCTTCTTTAAGAATGGTAAAAAAGTATCGATGTCATCCGCTAAAGTCAAAGAAGTGGAAGAGGAAGAAGCATTATCTTTCTCATAATGAGCACCCATTATTTTCCCCACGTTTTATATTGTAGCTCCAAATTACTGCCTGAAGTATGTCCCCGGTGCCACTCCACTGCGGTATGCCCAAGCATCAATGTACACTCTCACAGTAGAATGTATTGATTCAGCTGGTAACAGGAATTCTGGTACGGTACACGTCCGGGTTCTTCCAAACGCACCACCAGTTATCTCCTCGCCGTCTACGGGTAGGTTGTTCGCTTCTGATTTTCTGACCAGTCCAAAAATCCAATCCTTTCGAGGTCTTCTCAACGATAGTGTTCTAAAAGTAGCATCATCAACGAAGCGGGTAAATATTTCTATCTTGCCTGATATCCTTGAGTCCGAATTCTAAAGATTTATTACTCAACTAAGCTCCTCTAAAATTGTTATTGTTGTAGGCATGACATATTTATCCTTCTGGATCAACTGAAGCCACTCTGCACTTGGGCTTATCAAGTTACTATCTATCGGAGAGACTACGGAGCCTTTATTGAATATGTGGTATTATTCTTGCAGTGTCGGTATCATTAACGAAGAAGGCAGTTGGTACACTAGTTTACCGTGTGTTGGCTAGTGATTCCAATGATGACTTACTTGTGTACAGTTTATCTGATGAACAAGGCAACACGCCACGAAGCTTTCAAATCGACAGTAAATTTATCATTTTATAACCATTGCCCAATCAACTTCCAATCAGCTTCTTGTACATCTACGTAATAGTATTCTACTCGTTCGGTGGGACAATTCCTAGACCCTATTAAACAGGAGACTCATGTCCTTGCAAAATTAACTCTTATTTCTCCTCTTTACGGAAAATAGGGCGGATATCTTGTGTATGTCCGTGTATAGCTTCCTTGAGCTCACGCAGCTTCCATGGTCTTGAGATTTGCCTCCTGTTCTGTGTCAGGATTATAAGACTCGTTCTCCACTCGTTTCAGATCAAGGTCGGATATCTGTGAAAGAGAACCTCAACACAACTTGTGATACGTCATACACATTAAATGCCTACGTCACAGATAGGTTCAATGTTAGACAGGGACCAGTGCAAGTGAATGTCCAAGTGGAAAGTAAGTATCAGTTGTGCTGTCCGCTCATTTCTTTTATATTCACTTATACAAGACGTCAATGGTTTTCTTTTGGACAAATGCATCTGCACATTGTTGATATTTTCGGTGTGAACCTTTCAGATCCTAGAATCCCTCCAACGACTAACGTTTTAAACAAGGAGGTCTACGTTGATGAGAAAAAAACCCGAGGAACCAGGATTTTGAATATTGGGAAAATCTCTTCTTCTGCCTACATAACGTCCGTTTCACCTATTAGCATGGACAAACATTTCACCCTCGACAGTAAGTGTTTGATTTACCGTTTCAATTCTGATTCATCCACTGAAGTGATATGTCGAGGCTTCTAAGGCATCAAGGGTTACCTCCTTTTGGGTCAATGGAAGTAAATCGGTACATCTGACTTGGAGAACCATTTAATCTTAGGTAGGATGGCAATTGGGAAACAAGCCGCTCTATCTCGAGTAAAAGGTATTCATGGCATGGATGGTTTGACTTCGCTGAAATATACAAGTCTTCTGCTTCACCTTAGGCGAGTACACGTCCAAGAGTATCTTCATCTGGCTTCATCTCTATCGATCGAATGCTCTGGTTCTTCTTCAGACGGAGTACTGTCAGTAAACAATCCTTTAAACTACGAAGTGGATAACCAGGCAAATATCAGCTTCGCGTTCTCTGATGCTTATTGCGAATCAAGGTACTGGTTAGTCGTGAATGTAAATGACGTCAACGACGAGCCAGAACTCCTTCCCAAGACGCAGTATGGAACAGTCAAAGAAGGACATGTATGAAACTCTTTCTAAAGCCTTTTGTCGCTTATCTAGTATATATGGAGTTTTACGCCATATCTTTCTGTATATTATATAAGAAATTCTTTGCAGGTGCATAACTTCTAATTTAACACTGGCTTTTCGCAAAAGCTGTCAGTTCATGCCCAGCCGTATGGTTTCACTTATCGTTATGATATTCCCTATGTATATTTTCACTAATTTCAATTCCGGGCGTACAGCATATAACCTTCGCCCCTTTCAGATATTTTTCAATCCAAGGTTTACCGTAAACGATGAAGACTTTAAGGACAGCCATAGGTTTGAACTGGATTCGCCACAAGGTGATGCTGCAAAATTCTCTATCAACCCATATAGTGGAGCAATCACTTCCAACGGCGACTTTGATTTAGATGCTGAAGGTCTTTCCCAGAAGGTGGTTGTATTGCCGGTCAAAGTAACAGACTCCAAAGGAAAAGCTGTTGATACGTCTACGGTAACGTTGACTGTTACAGAATCGAATGATAACGATCCAGAGATTACGTCTGAGCTTCATAGACATTTGCCAGTTATGGATTGCTACGATGCACAACGCGTGCTTACTAGTGAAGCGACCGACAAAGACTTCGGACGCAACGGAGAGGTCATGTTTACCTACACAGCATCTCCGAATACTCCGTTTATCGTCACCCCATCCGGTATAATGTATCAAACTGGACCGATAACCGTTGGTGATACGTTTATCGTTACGATTAAAGCAGTAGACAGGGGGGAACCAGCACGTACTAGCGCCGTGCCCGTAACGGTAGTTATCAACGGAATACCGTGTTCAACTTCAACGTTGCCTCCGACCACGCCACTGGTAGTTGAAACGCAGACTGTAGTGGAGATTGCGACACCTGTTATAATTACGGAACGACCAGCAGTAGTACTCACGACTTTGTTTATCGAAACTGAGAAAGATTTCTTCAGCGAACCAGGTAAGAAACATGTAATATTTGACACTTCTCAAATTATACGGGCATGAACTCTTTTCTTGGGTCTGGCCCATAAACCGTTTACTCATATTTTAACCCTATTTTGGCAATGTCGTTTTCTGGTTGTTCAGCAAAAGCAATTAAGGAAATGAGGGTTCACAGTTTGTACCCATTGGAATACCAACCGCCTGATCTATCCGTAACTACCCAAAGCAACATCGTTACTTTTAATTTTTTAGCTAATATATTTGCAACAGTCTTGGCATCAATTATTGGACTGGCTCTGTTGGCTCTGTTAGGATACCTCTTCTGGAAGCTGTGCTGTCCGACCTGCTGTGGGCTGTGCTATCCAGTACGTCCACTGAGAAGCGACCGAGTATTCACCAACGGACCCTGCCAATGTGATCAAGATTGCTGTAGATGCTGTAGAGTGAGGTCTGCTAATTGCTGTGGAAGGTTCGGATTTCTTTACCTTTTCGTGAATTGCCTCGCCATGAGACAACGACTATCATTGATGCATGTTGACATGGAAAAGGAGTATATGCTCAACATGAGACAATTAAATGGGACAATGCGTCTTATTCCGCTGGTTCAAAGTTCCTTGATGACTAGAAATCCGAATCGTTGGCTCATAAGGAACTGCAAAGTAAGGCGTTTCTTTTCGATATTGTAGAAACAGCAACAGTGTAACCCCGACCGCTTACCGGAAGGACGAGGATTTTGATGAAAATGGATTCAATTTTTGGAAAGAACGTGAGTATGGTCTAATTTATGTTTGGACGCCTCAAGTGGTGGCACCGATAAAGTCCATTTTCACTGAATTGCGTTTTCTCGTAAGCAACAAAATTTACATGAATAAAGATTCTCATATTTACATCTTAAACGTCTTTACTTTTTTCTGAAAACCTGTGCCTATTGACAGGGTATTAGTAGGATTATAGTGTTATTTGTCTTAGGCTAAACCAATATGAATGAGAGCCTAATAATAACCAGAGCATGTTGGTTTTATTGTAGATTATAGTGACGGTACCTACAACACCACCGAACATAGAGTACAAGCACCAAGAGTTAATTGAACGAAGATATCAGCGAACAGTTTATAAAGAATTTATACACACAAAAGAAAAACAATTTGGCACAAAATAAAACATCACATATTGTCTTAAAAAATAGTCCATAGTTATAGTTTGAAAATAAACTTCTTCGTGGGTCTTCGACAAAGATTTTCTTGCTTGTAAACATATATACAGAAAAAATATTTGGCACACAGTGATAAAACACGATGTACTGTCTTGCGAACAAGTCCGATTATTGTGCTATTATGAAAACTTCCTTGTGGATCTTCAAGATCTTAGTGGCTATGATCTTATCTTGGGTTGAGATAACCGTCCTCGTGGTATCCACTGTGAGGAACTTTAGTTCTATGGGAGGTATCATTATAATCCATTTCTTGATAATCTGGAATAGAAGCAATACAAATGAAATGAAATGAAAGTTTCCGTCCCATTTGTCGTAATTATACGACCTTCATTTCCGCATCTTATTGGGAAAATGCGACAGGTCAAATGCTTACATGGATTTCGCATTTCGTAAGAAGCTCCTTACAGATGGTTGGTGCCTTGCAATATATTTTGAGATAGTGGACACCATGCATATCGTAACGTGTTTAATTAGTCATGGGAGTTGCATCTGGTTGGTTGGTAAATGACAAGTTAACGTTCGCTTCCAGCGGATACTGATATCGCAAACTAGGTAATTGTTGGTAGATGACAAGTTAACGTTCGCTTTCAGCGGATACTGATATCGCAAACTAGGTAGTTGTTGGTAGATGACAAGTTAACGTTCGCTTCCAGCGGATGCTGATATCGCAAACTAGGTAATTGTTGGGGAGTGGCATCTTATACTCTTCCCACTTTATCTTTTATTTGGGAAACTCAAAGCACAGACAAACCTCCGAGGTACAAATATGGGTAAACTTACGTTCTTGCCAGAAATCTTTCACCTTGCCCTCGGGATAATGTTCTTGATGCGTCGGTCCCACAGGTTTGCTGAAAATAAAAAATAATGCTCAGTAACTTATAAAGCTATTAATATGAAACTGACAGTTCGGTTCAGCCATCCGGCCCAGTTACTTTGTATCTTAGATAATGTGCTATACAACTTGGTTTATCTTCTCCAATGGATTTCGTTTAGTCATCCAAAAAGACTCATTCGGACAAATATTGATATGTTGTAATTTATTTTTAGTTTTTTTTTGCGGCTGTTTCGTATGGTATTTTTTCACAATGCTTATACTTATGAAGTGAGTGTCCCATTGTATGGTAATTTGGACGAAGACTTTTCATCAACTTACTTCGCTCTTCCGCAGCATCCGGTGCTTCCTGTATTTCTACCCAGAGCATTGGGATCTCGTGAACCACAGAACCCTGGACAGCAACGTGGGAAGCAGAACCTCCATAATAACCAAGCTAACAGGGCCAACAGCAATAGGCCAAGCAAACCCAGAAAGATGATCCAGATGAGGTTGGTGTCATCGTCGAATAGGCTAGTTGAATTGTTAGTCTGACCTGTCGTCGCTGCGTTATTATTATTATCATTATTACCGTTATTATTACCGTTATTATTATTATTATCGTTGTTATTATCGTTATTATTGTTGTTATTGTTGTTGTTGTCGACAGTTACAATTACGACGGTTGTCGGCGGTGGTAAGGTGGTACAAGCTTGTCCGATAACGGTAATGGTGACGGGCTTTACACTGGCTAGAGACGGGTTACCTAGATCTTCAGCTACGACGTTCAGTTCGTAGATGGTACCAGCTGTAACTTGGGACGTCAGAAATACAGCTCCGTCTGCGTTGACGGAAAGAATTCCAGAACCACTTCCCTTGAATTGAACCTTTCCATTGTCACCTGAAAGACAAAATATACAGAGTTATTGCTGATAAATGTAAACAAAATCATCACTTCCAGGCCATTAACGATCAGGGGCAGTTATCACTGATGACGTCAATTGGTAATATCTCAAAAAGTTCATGTGATTTTACCTTCTGACATATGTGTTTGATGAATTGCTTGAGAATCAGACGTCAGATTTAATTTCTTAAATAACTCTACGTATAGCCGAAATAGAGTTCTGTGAAGCAATCTTTTCGACTGATAGGTCCCCCAACGGAAGATCCACCTATCTCCCCATTTCTCTCAATATTAACAAAGATGTGCTTACCTGTGTCTTCATCAACAGCGCTGATGGTAGCTATCTCCTGAACTGGATCACAGTCCATAATGTTTTCGATCTTTATGGAGGAGGTCGTTATGACAGGAGGATTGTCGTTGACGTTTTCCACGATCAGGGTCACGTCGCTTTCGTCAAAGCCACCATCTTTATCTGTAGCTCTGATCGTAAACAGGATTGTCTCCTTTTCGGAACCCTAGGGTAAAAAGACAAAACTCTATTAGATAAACATTAGCTTTGTGGAATTTTCGAGGAGGAGACGAGGTCGTAGACCTGGTCGGCAACGAGGGATGAATTGCAAATGAAGATTAAAAGTCGCCATAGGTCTGACATATGTTTTCAGTTTTGAATAAAGTCTTACCCTTGAATCAAGATCGAAGTCAAAGTTGGAGGTGATGACGCCATTTTTGTCTATCTGGAAATCACTGGTAAGATCTCGCGTTCCTGATATAGCACGTTCTATGGTGAAGACTTTGGTGTCGGAAAAATCCTGGTCGGTGACTTTAAAAGATGGATCGTATGAAATCTGAAATTTAGAAAGTCCCTTTATGGTTTCAAGTAACAGTTACAAAAATGATGTACTGTAGTCACTTCCGTTGGCAATTTGCCATTTTATTGCCTAAAGGTGTCAAGGATAGCTGATAATAAATAGTACTGGAATCAGTTGTTCCTTTATGGCGTGCAACCAAGGTACTGTGCTGTAACATGGACATGGCCATTTCTACATCGAAGGTCGTGAAGAAGAGAAGGCATCTTGTGAAGAATTTCGTTTCCATTTACTTACCTGACCCTCGGACACGAATGCGCTGATGGTTTCTGGGGTCAAAACTGGAAGATCATTCATGTTTTGAACTCGAATCAGTAACCAGAATTTCGCTTCACAAGTACCACTTTTCACCTGCAGCGTAACATTGGCGGTGTTGAATTCTTCAAAATCAAACTGTTCGTTCACCTTTAGTATGTTACCACCTGCAAAAGACGGAGGTCCATCTTGATCTCGACATAAGTTGGAGATAGGAGAAGAGAAGACACCAAAGCCTAAAGGTTCCACTCTTCAGCGAGATCGTCCATAAGGAGGGCACTAGAAGTAACAGAAGCCAAGAGATTTCCAAGATATTTTAAATGGTACAGGGTTATCTGTTGTTTGCGACTAAAACTGTTTGAAAATGTTGACCGTACTTACCAAACATTTTGACTTTGTTCCTCATGATGCTAGGCTGGACAGAGTCTATCGATATAGTTCCTGACACTCCATTGAAGATATGGATATTCTTCTCCACGTTCTCTTCAATGATGACCTCTCTGTTTGCGTTGCCGATTGATGGTGGTGATGGGTATTCTGAAAGGAGAGAGTTAGGTGCGTCTTCATGATCTTCGTCCGTAATATATCATAAGACAAGAGATCAAGAGCATAGCAAATCTGAATTCCAAGCATACGTCTTAAGAAAAACAGTTTTATCAATTTGCTTAAACCAATTCATATTGATAGTGTTTGTTTTCTCTGGGAATAAAGGGTTCTCAACCACGAAAATGGAAGGACGTAAACTTACATTTCTTTCAGCAAAAGCGAGAAAACTTACCAATGTTCAGGATTATGGATTCAGGATCTGAGAACTCATGGAAGGCGTCTTTAACCCTAACTAGAAATTCGAAGCTGGAGGGTCCAGAACATAGTCCTTCGAACCCATTCACTGTGTAGATTTCTCCATTCTTTTCTCCATTCCCTTTATAAAAGAAACAAGATTTTTCAAGTTGGACACACCTAGCCCTTGATACAACAGTCTTATAGGAGTGCTCTGTACAACAAAGTAATTCTGTCATAAGGGCGTATATGGCTGTGGTCCATTATCTTTATGTTTCCTATTGTCCTATCTTTAACGAGCTTGTTCTGTAACACATGAAGCCATGGTTGTTCTTTTCCTTCGAACAACCATCCCCTCAAGAGTTTCTGCATCTACCTTATTACTGATTTGCCCTCCAAAAAGCAAGAAACCAAGAAAACTTACTGCGGATGGCGAAATTAGAGGATGTAGGCAAGGTATCAAGCTGGTACTCCAGATTATCGTTCTCGGAGTCTGAAGCCAGAACCTCGTGGATGAGTGCACCTGGTCCCAAATTTATTGCTTGCTTGACAATTCGTGCTGGAAAAGATAGAATATAATGCGTTCGATTGGCAGTAGAATATAATGCGTTCGATTGCTAGTATATGAAATTTAGTGCATTCAAGTTGACCTGTTCCAAGTCATAAAACATGTGAGTATATTTATGGTTGTCAGTATGGTGCAGACGTGACCTAAACTTTGACCTTGGTCTGACCTGATCCAGTGGCTGTGTCACAACTGGACAACCTGAGCTAAGCATCTGTCCTTGGTATCGAAAATAGGCTAATAACTCACATCGAGGAAGGTTTCCAAAAGTAGGTCTTGCATTTGGTAGTACTCTGACCTCTACAGAGTCTTCGGAAGTGATTCCATTGGCATCTTCACATTGGACGTTAATAGTATAGGTGTTTTCCACGTCATAGTCCAACTTCTGAGAACCGGGGACGTAGCGTAGGAAATATTCTGAAAATTATGGAAGAATTATCAATTTTCTGATTACTGTCTGTGGAAAAAACTGCTACGACGATCTTAACAATCCTTAACTTTCAGGAGAGCTGGTCGACGACATAGTATTTTGAAAGTACTGGAGATACCTGGTATAGAGCTCTCTTCCAGCACATATTTTGATGGTTTTATCTCTAGGAAGGGTTGTATCAAATCTGGAATGAGTGAATCAACCCACAGAAAATAAATGTCACCAAATGCTATTAGCTTGATCTGTATTTGATTATACATACGTCCAGAGTCCGGCCAAACATTGAAGCAGTTGGCACAGTTTGTGGTTGGATCTGTGCTGACGTAGTTGACTTTGGAACGTACAATTGGTCCTGTTGCGTTTTCACCGGCATCGATGCAGATTAGTTGATTCTCGTCGAATCTTAACGGAGTTTTCTGCCCTTCAAACAACGTGAATACTATGGGCTTGTTATCAAGTTTCATCTGAAATTAAATTAAATTTGAATTGATTTGATTTGATTTGATTTGATTTGATTTGATTTGATTTGATTTGATTTGATTTGATTTGAATTGAATTGAATTGAATTGATTTGAATTGATTTGATTTGATTTGATTTGATTTGATTTGATTAAATTAAAGGATCTTACAGTATCTTGTTGGACAGATTGTGTGATCAGGGTGAACAAGATGAAGATCACCAAGCTGTAAACTCTCCATCCTTCCATTCTGTGATTTTCGCTTTGCTTTATCTGTATCTTGTGCTGTATCTTGTGTTCACATTTTCTAGAACAAAATACCAACTTATCAAATTAAGACCAGTCATATTTGAAGAAAATAAAAAGACGACAATAAGATCTCAAATTGTTTAAGATCATCCTTGATGGTCCAAGTAAATTCCTAAAGCCACAATCAGTACATTTTCTCTGTTTTATCTGTATCCTGTCCTGTATTTTGTGGTCCTTGAGTTCACATTTCTGGACCACAATATCAAAATAAAAATCAAGACCAAACACCTGAACAGAAAACATCATCAAAATCTTAGATGTCTTTGAGTCTTCATGATTAAATACTAGAACCTCTAACTCCTGATCGATGTAAAGCTTCCACTGACACAGTGGGTTCTTTTGGTGGACGATGGGTAAGAAGTAATGGAATACAAATGAGACCTGGTACGAGGAGTCCAAATGGTGAACCTAGGATCTGAAGCTATGTTCTGGCTCAGCATTCACAAATAACTTTAATAGTATGTTTCAAAGTAAAATATTAAAAGTAACTTACCTAATGTTTACAAGTTCGATCGCAATTACTTTTTTAAATAAATACACAAATTTTGTCGACGTCAGATATCTGACTTATTTTTTCTAGTCGGACCTACCTAAAGTTTGGTTATTGTTATTCGATTATTCGTATTAAGGTCCACAGTCATATTGGTTATAGCTCGTACCTGTACCATTCATAATACATTGTAGTGTGTTTTTATTGTTCCTAAGCAGTATAGTTTAGTCTGATGGAATTCTTTGAGAGCTTATACATTGACAATAGTCAATTGTTACAAATAGTCGCAATTTGTCAATTGTATGGATCAACTAAGGTGTACAATCGAAGCAAAGAGTCAGGCATTTGTCGGAAATTAACTCGGATAGATTTTAAATTGCAGTATAAATTTGTCATATTTGGGAATACATGAAAACGTTGTGCTAATTAATAACTAGGATATCGATTACCATTCTGTCTCGAAACCGATTGAAAACTGTTCGAAAATGAAGATTAACATTTCATATTGCTTAATCTCTTTCGTTAAAATTTTCACAAAGTTTCGATTGGTCTTCTAACGATACAATGAAAAAGGACACAATGATACAAAATGGACACATACGTCATCGAAACGTGCGTACTTATTTAATTGCATTGCCAAGTGAAAAGAATGCAAACAAAATGGCGTAAAGGTAAATAAATATCCGAATGAAAAAGTGACAGATATATTTCGGAAAAAATGAGGAGATTGTTATTCCTTTCTGTTCTGTTGTCGACTTTGGTATTTTTTGGAAACGCGCAGGTAAGTGATTTCGTTCTTTTCAGACTAGAGTACCATTACTAAAATAGAATTTATTTAACCATGGTGAGTGATTATATTAGATTTATTTCGTTTCTTTTCGTATGTTATTTTATGTTTTGTGGTTTTTTTTGATTTGATATAATTTATTTTGATTTAATTCGATTTAATTTAATATAATTCTTTTTATTACTATTTTTTTTACATTTTAATTTAATTAATTTTATTCATTTTTATTTATTTATTTTTTTTTAAGAATCTGTATTTTAAAAATGGACCAGTGGTAGTGAACGTAGATGAAGGTCTAGAAATCGAAAGTAAACTGGGCTTGGTGGAATGTGCCCTCAACACGACTGGTGTGAATCCATTTACAACGGAAGTACCCTTTAAATATAAGATCACGCTGGTCAAAGTGAATGAAAATGACCTATGCGGTGGGGATGGACAATGTTTTAGTATTAGATCTCAAGATGACAGTGCTGCACGTAAGTTGTTCTTTTAGGGTATTCCAGAAATTCGAATGCTAATGCATTGTATCGAAAGGTTTCCCTCTTAGCACAATGCACAAGGTTGCCAGTCGTTACAGAAAAGTAGGATGTTAAACGCCATTTCATTTTCAGAACCTTTGTACTTCATCTACCACTATCCGTTCAACACACAGAGGCTGATGTACGCCGTACGTAATACCTACACATTAGACATAACCTGCGAAGATAATCTCAGTAATACTTTGAAAGGACAGGCAGAAGTGCGAGTGATTCCAAACATGCCGCCTGTTTTTGTGACCAAAAGTGGAGGTAAATTAACTCAATTGATAATCAAACCCGAATCTCCTCACCGAAAACGTAATTACTGGACTGAATGAGTCTTAATTGCTGGATGATACTATATCGAATCCATATTTTGGAAATATACTGAGTTTTCGCATTACATTGAAACTTCTTTTTCACACAGCTCTCTTAATGAGGAATGTATATCCTAAACACGTGTACAAAAACCAGTTAGCTCTTTTTGAACAGACAATTAAGGTGCAAAAAAAGATGGATCTTCCACTCCAATTCATCTCAATTCCTTTCGGCAGATGGGTTGAGCCTCCTCACTTCGAATGAATGGACCCACGTGAGATGCCTATGGTTTTCTAAAGTGAATACGCTACTTATTGTCCATTTCAGAGTCCGTAACATTTTCTGCAGCAGATCTTACAGCTGGGACCTTAGTGTTTACTGTATCGGCAAATGACCCAGAGAATAATCCACTGGAATATAGTCTCACCGACGGGAGCGGCAAGTTTGCGATAGATGGTAAGTAGCGTCATCAGCATCACTTTGAATCTTCAAAATGTTCGAATAAGACTTCACGAGCTGCAGCATTGGTACGGTTTGTGGACAGTTCAAAAGAAGATGTAAGTGCAGATTCCCAAGAGTCTTTCCTTGAACCTCCAAAATCTACGAATAAGACATCATAAGTATTGTTTGTCATCAGCATCTTTTTGAACCTTCACAGTTTAGGACCTACAAATTGCGGACAATGTCAAAAGAAGATTTATGTTCAGATTCCTGCAGAGTCTTTCCGAATCTTCTTCAGCTGTGCTGCAGGATGGAGACGTTTTAAGACGCTGGGGATTATGATGAGTTTACATCAGAGTCTTGATGCTCATCAGCCAGTGTACAATTATGAATTCCAATTGCGGTTGGATTTAACAATGTATGGTGTTACTAGCCTCGATTGGGTAGATACTAATTTATTCAGATTGGGTTTGGGACAGATTGTGTACGACTATTTTTCAGAACAAACGGGGCAGATTCGAGTACTTGAAGGCTTTGAAGGCCTCTGTAACGGAACCTCGAAGTTCACCTTCCAAGTAACAGTAAAGGACCCATACCATATGAATTTGATACCCATCAACATAGATCTCAACATTGGTGAGTGATTGCTCCACATAGTTGAACTTGTGCTCTCTCCAACAGAAGTTAACTAGCCAGTTCTTTTGCAAGTGGATTCTACAAAGAGATACGAACAAACTAAACGTCTAGCTCACAATAAAACGTGATCCCATGCGCCACAGGCTGTACGTGAGCCTACTGTTGGAAATCGAAAAGGATTAAGCTGATACCGGTGTTCTAGCTATCTGTATTCCATTGACACGGCAACCAGCTTTCTGATTTCATAAGCCAAAACTATAACAGAGAAAGAGGTGGGGCGTAACACTACGTTTCATTTCAGATTACCCAAATCAACCAAGTCTTATAGGAGCAAACCAAGAAATCACTGTTTCAGAAACCGATCCTGTGGGCATGTACTTTCATTCATTTAATGTATTCGATGGTACTCTAGCAATTGACGTGGAAAACCCCATCACTCCAGCCAGTATTGCCAGTAAATTTGTCTTGCAAAGTAAGTAATGGAGTTATTTCCCTTTATAACAATCTTAACTATGATGCAAGTGAAGGCTTTCATTGATACTCCTGCCTTGCCCATACATCTTCTTGTTGTGACAAAATTTCGTATTTAAGGTGATGTTATGCGGATCACCGAGCAGTTTAATTTTGAAGAAGCTTCTTCGGGCAACATCTCCCTCGTGGTGACCAACGGAGTGTGTAAGAAGCTATACTTTTTGGTCATTAAAGTGAAGGATGAGAACGACCCTCCCACACTCTTTCCTAAGATACAGACTGGTATTGTGGAAGAAGGTCTTGTAAGTTAAATCTTGATACATCTCCTATCCAATGAGAAGACCTAGACTGCTCGCTTACCTGGAGGTCTGGGTTTGATGCAGACATATTCTTTGGAATATCCAGTCTAGGTTTTCAATGGCAGTAATGCAAGGGTAGAAAAAGGGTGGTATGAAAAAGATCTAGTTATTGACATGGGACAATAACCCCTGTTTGTGGCCTGAAAAAGCCAATGCAGCTATCCGGGCAGTCTTTAACTCATTGTTCAGTCGTCGCTATCATCATCCAAATCAAAAGCAAAAGAACAGGATTATTATTTTCGTTCCAGATTCAGTATGACATGCAATCCTTTGTGGACGATGAAGACGTTTCGGACAGCCACACCTACAGAATCCTCAAAGCGACTGAAGGCACGGTAGTCATCACAGACAAGTTCACCATCGATAACAATGGTCTGATCACCTCCAGAGGAGATTTTGATCTGGACAGCTTGAATCTTAACTCTCGTACAGTGGTCTTTGATGTGGAGGTCATGGATCCCGGAGGACTCACGGATACTGGTCAGGTGACCCTGATCATCAACAACGCCAACGACAATAACCCCATCATATCGACCACTACCATTTACAACGATCAGATTATGGACTGCTCGGGACCGAGTAAGCCATATTTTTAGTTTGGTAACTTTTAAGCTTTTTCCGTTAGCGAATAGATCTGTGATATCGGTACTTCGAGAATTTGGTCAAAAGAAGCCTCACGACAAATCTTTTTCTTCTCATTTTTCAGTGCAAATTGGAAGCATTGCTGCAACAGACGCAGACTTTGGCACCAACGGTGATATCATCTACACTGCGACTTCAAGCGGTCCACTGTCAGTAACTGCCGATGGAAGCATTTTCGTGACATCTGCAATTGCTGCAGGATCAACCCATCAGCTGACAGTCAATGCAGAGGATCTGGGAAATCCTCCACGGGAAAGCAGCGTACCAGTAACCATTACCGTAGTCGGACAACCATGTACAACTACGACCACGACACTCGCACCAACTGTTAACATCAACGTTAGCATCAGTACTAACAACTCCAATAACAACAATAATAACAACAATAACAATAATCAAAATACCGTTGTGGCAAGTGTCACAACGCCAGCCACTGTGGCCACCCCCACACTTTTGGACAATTCTCTGAACCTTATTTGGATAGTATTGCTAGCAGTGCTTGGACTCTTGTTACTTCTATTGTTGCTGTACCTCCTGTGGAAGTTCTGCTTCCCGCTATGTTGTCCTGGTGTTTGTGGCGTGGGTGAAGCCCAAGCTGGTGGTCCATGTGGAACGGATAGTTTCTGTGGACGATGTTGTAGCTGTTGTAGGTGGGTATTACTTTTAATTGACTCTGTAGATATTGACTCTGTCAGTTGGACATGACTTCTCCGGGTCATTCCTACACCTATTGGCCCTAAACATAATGTTGAATTTTAGACTTGAGCTCCATTGAGTATCTCATTTGAAAGATCAGCAGCAAACTACTGTCAAAAAACCCAAAGAGCTCCCATAAATTGTTGAGTTATTGATATTGAATAGATTTTGATTTTCTTTTTCTTCTGCAGGCAAGAGCCTCCCAGGGCACCAAGAGTACGAGGTGAAGGTGACATCCATGATTTCTGGCAAGAACGTAAGTAGCATCGTGATCCAACCCTAGTTTCTTGGGCACCTATTCAGACCGAAGTTACCGTTTTTGGAACGACGTCTTGCTTTTAATGAAGGTGGCCTTTTATTCGCCTTCATTGGCCCAATTGAGAAATTACAAGTAGAAGATTCAATTCCCTTACATTATGTCCTAGTCCAAAAAGATTGGGAACCTGTGGAACCTGTGCATTAGTGGTTAAGACAGGTTTCTGGGGCTACTTTGGAATGATCAGTGCTAGTAGCATCTGGTATTTCTGTAACTAAACCAGATCCTTTCCGTTTCAGATTACCAAGAACAAGATTATCAAACGACTTACCACAGAGGTGAAGTTCCAAAACCAGCACCCCATGAACTGGGATATCTGAGATACAATTAACTTATGCCTCTTCATGAGTTCTCTTGACCCATTGGCAAACTTAAAAGATATGGTATATCTGGATATATACCTATCCATAGGGCCAATAAGCTGGAATTGGGATTATCAGCTAGTTCAAATACCTAGGCAACAGTATATCTTTAAATAAGACATTTGTGATAACGTTTATGTGATAAAATTTTTACCAAATAAATCAAATTGTTTTCTTAATGTTAGTTGAATATTTTTTCCATATCATTGTTTCGCACAAGTAGCTGCCTGAAAAGGTTGCCAGGATAAGGCCCCTCCATTTGCCCCGATAAATAGTTGCCCGAAAGTATTGATTTGCTGGGTTAGAGGCCCATGACCATGCCCCTCCCCTGCAAACAATGACGTAGATACCCCTTCCATAGAACTGCCTGTGATATGCCAGTCAAGAGTTGTACGGTGTAGTATACTCATATTAATAACACCTATTAAACACGGCCTTAACAATAGACGAGTGTCGTATTCACTATTTATTGCTTTTGAATAAAGACTTAATTGAAAGCCCCAATTCAAAAGCTTATGGTACAATGGCTTTTATGACTTTACGGGTCATTGGTGTGAAAATGGAGTTTTTGAACGTTTTGAATAGTCAATACAAATGATTGACTTACAAAGAATAAATATAACTTATTTTAAGACGAATTTTGGGACAATTTCGTACGAAAACAATCATGGGATATGGTCATTTCGACTTTCGGCAAATGAAATATTAGCTATCTACGTTTCTGGTATGGCACCCACTACAATAACCGATCATCCGGACGTCTGGAACACATCAACATCAACGTCTGCAGCATCAATACAAACAACGGTGTCTTCCGGTGTCGCGTACGACCATGAAGGAGCGATGAAGTTCATCATCGTTACCATATTGGTCTATTCTCTTTTTGGAATCGTTTCCGTGCTTCTACTGCGGATTAGAGCCAAGGCTCGAAAAGCTGCTCATAAAAGTCCGGACTTCTCCGAAAGTGCCGTACACGCCTATATCAAGAAGCGGGGATCGTTAGAGGTGGAAAGCTATCGGTATCGACTGCGATGTGAACAGAAGAAGTGTCTTGGTGATTACATGTATTTCGGTCGAGGCTATCCTCCAAAAGAAGCAGCGTCTTCAGAATCTTCCGAACCTATCGAGTTGATGCCGCTGATGAAAAGAACTCCATCCGACAGACGTTTTCAACATCCATTGAAGATGACTGGAAGAGGGCCCGGAATTGCTCAAAAAGTCCACAATGAAGAAACTGCAGCCACAACGACTCTCTGAAGATTAACATGGAGCCAATTTTGTGGATTAAGTCTCCTCAGCAGAAACAGTAAGTGCTTACTCTTCGGTGGTCGCCTGGCTTTGTCATTGGAAACTTGGTGGTTTTACTGGTATTCACTGTGAAATGGTAATGAACGCTTGTGGACTAAACATGAGACTAGGATGGTCTCGATTTTTGTTGAACGGCTAAGGAGTAGTTAGATGTAACTCATTTTAGGAAAGGTACTTTGCTTTGCATTTTATGAATCAACCATTGTGTTTGCATGGACAATAGCAGAATGGATTTGAACGTGACCAAAACAAATAAACGACGTACTCTTTAACGAGATATGTTCTAAAGAGTGAGTTGTCTGTATAGAAAAACATGTGTATGTTGCTCAAATGGACAATAAGTCATAAAATTTGGATTAGGGGCAAAAAGTCCACAATGGCCATAACTCATATGAAACAATATGTTTATTTGTTCATCAAATGGTCTTTCGGGTTTAGTCATGGAATGGCAGGTGCAGCCATCACGCTAGATGATTTTCCCAGGAAAATGTTGTGCTAGTTCTTGGTGAAACCAGTTTTATTTGTAATAGCATTGCTTTAGGATGTTGGATGGCTTATCTCTCTAGTCTGTATGGGCAAATTTTGCTATGGTATGTGAATTTTTAGTGAAACTTAAATATTACTTTCAGGAGCGTTACAGTTGGATCTTTGTTATCGTTCAATATCATATTTTCATGCGTAGACAATTTTTCATATTGACCGTTAAACCTGGCGTATATCGGCTTTGATTCTATATTCATAATTGATGGATTTAACCTCTGATTAGGTTATGGTGTTAGATTGAATATGGACTGAGAAGCAATTAGTTCAACTCCTTGATTAAACCTGATGTAATTTCAATTAACTTTTCATTGTGGTGATTTCCTGTAAGTGTTATAAGAGGTTTCTCATTCGTTAATTGGTGCTTTATTTTGTGAATACTGCTCGGGACATCTACTCATATTCATGTATTCTCAGTCAACATGACTGGGTAGCAATATTCGTATTTTGTGAGTACTTCTCATGATATCTATTCATACTTGTGTCTCGTAATTCAACTTTGCTGGAGAGCTGTATTCTCATTTTGTGAACACTATGAAACAGTCTCGGATATTTACTGATACATCCCTTCTTGAGGTTTCCTAAAATCATTTGAATATTGCGTGTGTTTGGATTTATGGATTTCTAAACGGCGTAAATTCTCATTTGCCTCGTAATATAGAGGTATACATCTATCAGATATCTACACATATCAGACTATGTAAGTAAATACTTCAAGTGTGACGGGTGTTATATCCAGTGTAATGGTTGTGACATTTAACGCGACAGTTGTGACATTCTAATTGCATTTAACTGCACAGTGCATCTATCAGAGTACAATTATCAAGATGTTTCTGAAACTGAATGGCTCAAGCGTGACGGGTGTGACATCCAGTGTGACGGTTATGACATTGGCGAATGTGACAACGAATGGAACTATACTAAGTGAAAATAATTCCGAACTTCTCAGACAAACCTATGACAGCTATGGAGCTATGCTGTTTATTGCTGTGGTCATCTGCTTCTATGCGTCCAGTATATTGCTGTTTATATGCTGGAATCAGCGATGGAACGAAGCCCACGACGATGATAGGCAAATTTCCCAATATCTTAAATCTGCGAAGGCTTTGGAGACCAAAATTGCGAAGGATTACGTCTTAAAATTCCGTTCTATGCTATTGGCTAGTTCTGTGATTGCTCACGGAAATCGGATGATGGGCTCGCGTAATTGCCGCCTCATAAAGCCTCTATTGGGGCCCCGTGAAAGTGATGTTGGTCTTCATGATACTGGAGAGGCCGAAGATGCTGAAGACGCTACACATAACGCGTCTGATCATCTGTATAACAGTAATTGTAATGCGGACCCCTGTGATGTTGACGACCACCAATGCATCCTTCATTGTTATCATCAAGATATTAACAGCCAAAGCCACGATATTGTTTGTGATTATGTGAGCGATAATGATAGAGACGATAGTGATGATGACGATAATAATGAAGATAAACATCATGGCCTTGATGATGAATTAGAAAATGAAGTGGGACATCGAATGGATAATTGATGTTAAGTAATTAACATTTTAATATTAAAAAAATGGACGGTTGTTAAATGACACATACACATGGAATTCCAAAGCACAAAAATAGTTATTAAAAGTCCTTCATTGTGTTGTTCGTTTATTTAACTCCATTTTCCCAATGCCAGAGTTCCTCATATCCACATGTCTATCAGCTTCAGAGTCATTCCATATCATGGAACTGGGAACATGGGGCTTGACCACTCTTATAATCAGCTGGTGCAACTCCACTTTACTGGCTTTCAACACTGCACCCCCTCCACACGGTTTAAAGCAGTCATTTGCTTTAGGTATCACCGTCTATATTGTACGTTTATCACCCCAGACCTTCTGCTTTTGGACGATCTTTTTAAAGTCAAAGGATCAGGTAAAATTGAAGGTTCCAAAGGGACCTCCTGATCAGAAACTAGAGGTACAAGTTCTTCACGATTTACACTTTTCAGAAGATCATTCTCCTTTGTAGAATTGCTTGGATGAACTAGATCCTCCTCCAAAGAAGATGTAGATTCGTCATTAGAATTAACAGAGATCCGGTTGTTCATGATTTGAGCAAAATCTATTGCAGATCCGTTATAGTTAGACACAGCACTCGAGCGTCTGGAGAATTCTTCCATCACGTCTTGAACAAAGTCACTATGGTCCGTATCCTCGGAGCTGCTCTCATTCAGTTTTTCTTGCGGAAGAGTTATTGCGGGTAGTATGATATCATTGCTCGAGTCGCTGTCGCTGTTATGGGGCGAGCAAATGACAGAGATGCGACTTTGACGATCATGTCGACGACAGTTCAAGCTACGTGCAAATTCATTGTCTTGGAAAGCTAGTCTTTCATTGGATCGTTGTAAGGATCCAGGAAGTTCGAGAGAATTTTTGCGTCTTACTGATCGTTTACGATCATGGAATCGGAACGATTGGGCTCTTCTGGTTAGTCTTGGTCTTGGAGTCTCGCCGGAGATTCGTTGCCCTTTGCCTGCGTGCGTTGATTTTTGATAATGACCACCATTGGGTGGTTTAAGGAGTTGATCGTCTCCTATGACAAAGTTTACTGGTGTGGTAGGAGCTGATGAAGGGGCTGATGATCCCGTAACAGATAATTCAAGAAGATCGAGTTTCGGAGGCATATATCCAGATCGCTTGCGTCTCCTAGCACGAATAGTTTCCAATTCACTCTGGCTTAGTTCCTTGTTCCCTTCAAAAGCGTCATCTTTCAGCGACTCTATTATTTTGAGACTTGCTACTTGAGGCAAAGGCTTCGCCGGTGAAGTAACTTTTGCATTAGGTACGCTACCTGATCGCTTTGAAGTCGATTTGCTTTTCGTTAAGTTTCTTTCGGGAATGTCATCCATTGTTGAGAGTAAAGAGTTCTCGTTATAGTCACTCTTGTTGTTCTTGGACAAGAACAGATCTGTTTTGTTCTGGGTCGTGGGTTCTGTGCCACCTTCACCATTGGACCTTGAAAGATTTCCGGACGAAGAGGGAATTGTTACTAAGTCTTCATCGAGGGCCTGCATGATATTTTCGGTTGACAACTGTCGCGGCCACGTTTCACTGCTATAGGAATCGACTCTCAGGCACATGGAAATGCTCTTGTTGCGTCTTTCCTTCAATTTAGTGATTTTTCCGTTCACCTTTGTGCTGCTCTTGGGCTGTGGCTGCGATTCAGTAACTTGCTCGCCTAAAATTGACATGAACAGCAGCTTTGCTCGTATCCTCTGCTCATCATCTTTGATTGCCTCGCTTGGGACCTGTCGATACGTCTTAAGATAGCTCCAAATCTGCTTCTCCTCCTCGCGATCAGTACGAGTTTTGTTGATGCTCAGCATGATGAAGAAGATAATGCTCATACCAAAGACCATAATGACTGCGATGGAAAAGGCCATAGCTCCTTCGCCGTTAGCGTACCATGGTAAGGTGGAATTGTCCGTCGCATTGGTGGTCGTCAACGTCAAGTTATTGATTGATGTAACGTTGTAAATGATCATAATGAACACATCTCATATTCTGAAGCGTAACTTCGGACGTAGGGTCACTTCCGTTGCGCACTGGGATCACTATGGTCACCTCTACCTCAAAAGATACTTTAGGAACACTCGAGTTCAGCACTACAGCACTTTTTTGCCCTATTTATATTTAGGTCATTCGTAAGCAAGTATTAAATTAGTACCCACGTATCCCCTTGTGCTGGTGTATGCCTGTATACCACTTTTGTGTGCACTTTACGTATATGCCAGTATTCATTGGTATGGCTATGGTATATATTCACGCATATATCCGTATATCACTTCCCTATGCACTTTACGTAAACGCTAGTATTCATTGGAATCCTATGGTATGTATTTACGCATACGCCCGTATACCAATTCCATGTGCATCCGCTCTCCGTTTAAACAGGTATTCCATTAGTATCTTCCACAGTTTATTATCACTGACATAAGTACCTGTATCCATGTATCTTATGGTATGTATTCATGCATACCTCAGTCAACCACTTTCACTCGTCTGTCGTCAAATCTGAAAAATAAACCAGCTGTAAACATTAAATATAGGCCAATAACAGTAAATATACAACAGAATCAATAATGTCTATCGATTTTACATCTTTAATATAGATATAGCACATTAAAATACTTCTAATTATGGTCTGCTGCTTTTTAATGTTCGCCATTGCCACCTGGTGCGTTAAAGTGTCGCTTCCCGACGAATTAGACGCCTTATCTCATATGAAAGTCACCTCTTGTTGAAGGTTAACGGTATGCAGAATAGAGATCACGTCAAGGGTGGTATTCCTTTTGCGTACTGGATATCAAAGCGTACGTACCTAAATGTACCGAAGTTGCCAACGAGCCATTTTCTTTTCACTAACTCAGCACTTCCTTCTATAGACACTATATCCTTTTGACACATTAGTTTTCAGCTTTTGGTTTCACCTACATGTGCTCTTTAGGGCGAATTGTACAAATTTTCTGCAATTCAGAACCAATTTTTGGGAATTTTACTCCACTTTCTCGCGTTTTTCATTCACCACCTTTTGAGTCAATACTTCTATTAAGGATATGGAGAAAATTATGTTATATGTACGCTCAGTTTAAGAAATAAAAAAGGGGGTACTGAATATAAGAGTATATTTTGTCATACATTAAATCAGTTTTGGTCTGAAAAGCCCTACTGTACGCATGATGCCCTATTTCTCCTTTGCTATACATGTACATACATACATTAACTTTAGATGATCTCGACATAATGTGCAATTTCTCTTAGCATACACCTTGATGCGCGTTTAAAGTTTGCTTTCGTCGTTTAATTCTTACAGAGCTTTAAGGGGAGGTCGGGGGTCATTCGATTTCGATACTTGGGCATTTTCCACTCACCGTCACATTAATGCACGACCAGGCGTTTGAATAGAAACGATATTTTGATTATTACGCACTATTATGTGATCATAATAGAAACCTGGGGATTAATATTTATATCTATAAGGGAAAGTTACAATAGTTCCCTTTCAAATAGCCTGATATGAACCAACACGTGGAGGATTCTCGAAAGCATGCCCTGACAGTGAAAGCATATACTATCAATGAAAGCATGAAACATCCAACAAAGCATCCCCTACTAAAGGAAGCATAAATATGTCAATGAAAGCATGAACCTACCAAAGAAAGCATGAACCTAATTGAAGAATGGACCAAACAATGAAAGCATACCCAGGCAAAGAAAGCATGAATCTACCAAAGGAAGCATGAACCATCCAAAGAAAGCATCCAATGCAGCATCAATGAAAGCATGCTCTGACGATGGTAGCATGTAACGTTGATGACAGCGTGGCATGTGTTTATATCGACGTACTTTTTGTTTCCATAGTCTTTCAGTAGTATATACCTTACATGGTGTTTTGTAAGGGTCAAATGCGGATTAACCTAATTAGGGTGGATTATGAGATTAATCGATGCAATCAATTGCGTCGATTAGTTTTAAAGCCCAATCAACCGTTTCGTCCATAGTTACCCGATAGGCTACTGTTATATTTTTTAAGCCAAACACCTCGGATATTGAACGACTCTCAAATTGAAAATTGGATACGGCGAAGAGAATTTTAAAGAATCGATTTATCTGCAGTTAGGACGTTTTCTTGGATACAGGTAGTAGATCGATACAGGACATTCTGAGGGCGATTTCAAACAACGATCAACAATGGCATGTAAGTTATCCGTCAAGTTATCTGTCAAGTAATTCGCCAAGTTATCTACCAAGTTCTCTGTCAAATTATTTGTCAGTTATCTGTAAAGTTACCCACTCAGTTATCCATCAAACTATCCGTCAAGTTATCCATAACGTTATCTGTTAAGTTATCCGTCAAGTTATCTACCAAGTTCTCTGTCAAATTTTTTGTCAGTTATCCGTCAAGTTATCCGTCAAGTTATCTGTCAAGTTATCTTTAAAGTTATTTGTTAAGTTAGCCGTCAAATTATCTGTTTAGTTATTCGTCAAGTTATTCACCAAGTTATTCACAAAGTTCGCCGTCAATTTATCTTTAAAGTTATTTGTTAAGTTAGCCGTCAAATTATCTGTTAAGTTATTCGCCAAGTTATTCACCAAGTTCGCCGTCAATTTATCCGGTAAGATATTTTGTTAACTTACCTGTTAAGTTATCTAATAAAACATCTGTCGAGTTATCCGCAAAATTATCAGTTTAAGTTGAAATTCGAAACATGGTGTGGCATGTGTGGAGTTTTTGGACGATCACAACCCCTAATACCTAAACTAAGCTAAGGTAAGGTCACCAAACTATATTTTTGTTTCAGATTTTCCTCTTTGGTACATAGTTTGGGTCGTCATTGGTGCAGTTACCTTGGTCATGTTGGCTCTGTCTATTTATAAAGCCCAAATGAGATACAAAAATCGAATATCTGGTAAGTTTCCATAACAGCAAAAGGATCTAGGGATGCTAGCTTAAAAGCTCAATTTAAGCTACATGTATATCCTATGCTGTAGCAGTTTCATCTTGACCTTGAGCCTAATCTTCCGAGCGAATGGTTGGGCCATCGACAATATATATTTTGACCATGAGCTTAGTCTGACAATGACATGTTGGGCCAAAATCTGGTCCACATAATTAGCTTGTGGCATATCTTTTAATTCATGGTAATACTTTTCACTTTCAGTGGTGCATACGACTCAGAGAGCACCTATACAAGTTACTGCTACCAGCACTTCGAACGCACCCTTACCACCACCGTTGTCGAACCCAGCTTATCCACCACCGTATCCACCGATGTATCCACCACCGTCATACAACGAAGCTCTGAACCAATCACAGTATCCGCCTGTGGCCTCGCCCTTTCGGCCTGGTCAAATGACGCAAGGACAACCAACGATCGAATATGGCCCTGGAGCATACCATAAATAATTCCAAAGATTCTTTTAATCCCGTAAAAAAGCAGCTGAATTCATCAACAGTAACAATAAGTGTTATATTATTTTTTCCTGCCAATGTAAATATTAAAGTGCTTTTGTTAATTCGATTGTTTGTTTTCTATTATTGAATGATGGTGTATGTTCTGTGGCAGAGAACACCCGTGACCACTTAGTAACTGAGCGTTTCACCTCATCCCCCCCCCCCCGCCCTTCCCCTTCATCACAAACGACACCACCCTGCTTTGAGTAATTACCAGCAAAGTTAAGGCTCCAGAACGGATTGAAACTTGGACTCGGAGGAGGTAGGACTCTCCCAAATGTTTCTGTAAAATTGACGTCACGTTAGCAATACGTCATTTGCCAACGTAGAGGAACACAAAATGGCGAACGGGGACGTAACGTGGTCCTCTAAATCGTTTTTCACAATAATGTAGGGCTTATTTCCGAGCTGATTGACGGCCAGATTTTATGGTGTCCGGAACATCAACTAGGACAACTGTCCAACAGCACAAATAACCCTCCCTTGGGATAACTAGCTACTAGCCTAATGGGTAAGTCTTTAGGTTAGAATGACAACCGTCCAAGGATTGATCAGCTACTGAAGGATAAGTCTTTAGTATCAGCAATTGCAACTTGTTAGTGGGGTGGGGCTAACAGCCAATGGCTATAACACCAGAGGTTAACTGCCTAACAGATTAAAACCAGGAAAAGATCTGATAGAAGAACTTGACGGAGCATAACTTTCCGACGCCAAATTAATAGTGTTTTCTTTTCTTTTTCAGATTTTCCTGTATTTGTCTATGTGTTAATTGGCGTGTTTTGTATGTTTTTCACGTGTACATTCGGTTTGATTTTTTGTCAACTTTGTAAATCATACAATGGGTACGGTAATAGAATTACAGGTAGGTCCATATTGCATCATCAAGTCCCTACGTTGCTTCTGCAAGTCCCTGTGTTTTTCTGAAGCTTTATTATAAGGTGTTGGTGTCTTTATATAAATTGCAACCTAATAATTCATATAAATGTAACGAACATATTTCCGACCACTGAAGAGTTCGAATCAATTTTTTCTAAGCTCTACGGAATCAAATCCTATTCATGCAGAAGGAAATGGGTTAGTCCGAAACATGGTGACAATTAACAGCCTCTGACAGATACCAATGACGCCTTTCATCAATCAGATTATCCATCAGATGCTGATTATAGCCGAGCAAGGTTCGGACAAGTTGATTATTCATAAAGATGTTTTCCTTTATTGCAGTTGGGTATCCGACCATGACTTCTCAAACCTCACCAGGATTTGCAGGCCTATCAACAACAGTGCAGTATTCATCAGGAACGGCACCATCGGCTTTCAGTCAAGGGATTACCCCTTCAGCACCCCCACCACCATATGCGGCGTCAAGTCAACACCCCACATACAACCAGTCAACCGACTACAACCAACTACCAACATACAATCAATCACAGTATCCACCAGTTGGGAATTTCGGCGCCGGATTGCCAATCCCTCAACATGCGCCCTGGCAGCCTGGTCAAATGATGCGAGGTCAACCAACGATTGCGTATGCCTCTGGAACATATCGTAAATGATCTCAAGGGTTTTCTTAATTTGTGAGCATAAGTAACCAAGCTTTGGACAGAATGCTAAAATGAGTGAGCTAAAGTCTACCTCAATCAGATGCCGGCCCCCCTCGAATCTCAAGCTTCGACTCCAGTTGAGCTCCTTCAAGAACATATTTTTCGTCCCAAAAATAAAACGAGTAATGCAATAAATAAACTTTTTTTTATAATATACATCATTTGAATAACTTAAAGCCTTTAAAAAACTGCTGAATCTTGTCTTTCTGGTCGGGTTTGGCTGCGATACAAGTGGGGATATTTTCCGGCTGTTCGATCCATAGTTTGTGGTCTATTTTATTCTCGGTCAGCGTTTCCGAAAGTTTCCTAAGACTTTCTTCATCTTTGGCCTGTAATGAAATAAATTGTGTGTATATAGATATTTGGATCTGGATCCCCACCCTCGTCTTATATATACAACCCTAAACTGAAACGTGCTGACTCCAAACTTGTCTCCAGGAAGCCTTCATGGCTCACTCATGGACATCTTACGGCTGACCCTATCAAAGTTTCCGGATGCAAAGGACAACAACTTGGTTTTGCAATTTTACAAAAATAGCTAAAGAGGTCTAAAGACAAAGACTATTACCGCTAAGACTACTTTGTGCATTCTGTCTAAATCTGCAAGATATGTCTGTGTACTGCTGTCGTTGTAAAATTGGTGCATTACGGCAGTGCAAGCGTGGCAAGCCTGGGCGATTAACGCCCCCGTCGGCCATTTTAGAGAGCTCACAAGGTCACTTCTCACAACAACATATTGCACAATATTTGACATGTTTATAAACACAAATATATACAGAGAAAACAAGTATTTATCACTTTAAAACGAGAAAGTACTCCACTGTTTACATTGATTTGTTTACAACGTGGAGGCTGACATGTTTCTGTCCCGCAGAAAATCAAAATCTCGCACATCTATTGGTCAAAAATCATTGCCTTTAAACTACCGAAACAGATTAAGAGTACCGAACAGCAGGTAATTGTTTTGAAATGTTTTTGTGGCTTTGTCAGTTGAAAACGATAACATTAAAGGGTTTTAGAGTGCAAGATTTAGCTAATTTTTGACGAAATCAGTAGTTACCTTTGTTTAATCCGAAACAAGGTCAGATTTTACCGCTTGTGGTGATAAAATGATATGTCGGTAGTTAAAAGTCTACACATACATTGATGACGTTTTATGCATAGCAAGATAGGAGAAATGGCAAAATAATGAAAATCGATGATGACAGCTGTGGAAAATCGTAGTTATTTTCCGTGTAAGTGATTGTATACATTGATGCATAATTCAGATTAGATGTTTGAAGTATTTTGAGGCGTGAAGGACCGGATTTATTGCGATCGCAAAGTCTTTTCGTTGATTTAAGGGTATGTAAACAATGGATTTTTTAACAACGTAATGTCGTGTCTCCGTGTGATCATTTTCGTGTGACACTTGCTGAACTGATTAAATCTCTGATTTCAATGCCAATTCATCTACCGGCCTGAAAGTTAACTGGAGATTATAACAAGTAGTTAGACAATCTACTCAATAAATTTTTTAAGTCATATGATAGAACATTGAGCCATTGACATTGTCGTAGGAAAGTAGGTCAAATCAAGATTTTGAATCACAATGTCTTTGATAAAGCGAAAGTAAAATGATAAATTTAGGCATGATAAGATCACATTAAAGTAGCAACCCCATCATAAATGTAAATATCAGTCTACTGTCAAAGTAAAGTGGTTAGATCAAATTGAGCATAAAGTGATGTAGTCAAAATCGTAGACATACTGTCTACCTGGCCTTCAAGGCCTTTAACGTCGATGGGTTTGTTGACAAGATTTATGAGAATTGTAATTTTTGGATCAAATGTGGACTTCACGCATAGAACAACATATCCACACTAAAGTCCATCAATGTCAACGCCTTGTAATGTTTATTCATTACAAACTTTAAATCAATCAGCGAGGAGTTGAAATTAAAAAACTTTCTCTGTCATTTCCGAAGGCCATCAATGATTTGATTGGCTGTTAAGTTGTCATGTCAAGGTCAATAATGCGCTGTTTGAAGGCGATTGACATCCAATAACTTGGATGGGTCATAATCTGTAAGTAATTCTTCTGAATCAGTGATAAACTAAAATTAATTTATCTTACATTTGAGTATGATAAGATCATAATACCAACTAGACAATTGTTATTCCCAAGGGCAAAGTTAACAAATTTTATTGGGGTTAAATGTTGCAATGTTTTCTGATTGAAATCACTACAGTAAAAAGATAAATACAGTAGTATTAATAGTGTGGTAATTTTCTAGATGAAAGAGTTTGAATACAGGAAAGAGTATTTATAAATAAACTATAATATAATGTAACTAGAGAGCTGATATTATATGAAATACATCTCGTTATTTACCCTATAGTTGAACTGTCATTTATCCATGCATTAAATGATAATAGAAGTTGTTGTAAAGATATTTATTCAACTTGATATACATTGATGTGATTCAACACACAAGCAGTACAGTGTAAACAAATTAGTGTACAACCGATACTATTCAAAACAGCTATTCAAAACAGAAGCAGTTCACTTTATATTGAGGAAGTTTTTGCAGTATTACTATTCAGTTCTATAGCTATATACTTGTTTATGTCAAGTGAAGGGTGGCTGTGGGTTTGGATCTAGATTGACTTGTGATAATCTGATGACCATGAATAAGTCATCTTCTCTCATTATTCCAGTCGACCCAGCTATAAATGGGTAAGGATAATCTGGGAAAGATCAATGCCAAGAGGTTTGACCAAGGATCAGCTGGTAGAAAGGATCCTTAATTATGAACCTAAGTTATTATCCTTGTCAAATATAGTTATTTGTTTCTTTCTTTTTTTTCACTTGAATTTTTTCAATTGCTCGTGGTTTGTTTTAATTCCTACCTGGATATGCAAAATATTTCTGCTCGACTAAGCTCAAAACCAATAATTGGTGTCATGAGGATTTTTTAACCAAAACTCTTTATTGACAGCATGCGATGAACTCTTATCAATAAAATGACATAATAGAAGATGTTGAACTGTGAAGAAATTCAAGATACACATTTAAACCACACCATATTATTCCATTAGGAAGTTAACTCAATAAAGTTTTTTTAGTGATGACATAAAATCCATTTCCATCTCGTTATTTTCACACATCATAAGATTCCATTTCAATTTTATTGACAGAACTTTTGTCATTTCTGCATTTTAAGTTTTTTTAATTGAATTATTGGCATGTGATTAAATTGAGAGGTTCTGTACTAGGTAGCCATTCAGAGCTGGGTGAACTGGAATAATGAGGATCCTTTCTACCAGCCGGTTGTTCGTCAAACCTGGTTTTTTGTAAAAAATCTTAGCAGTGATCTTTCCTAGATTATCTGTACTCATTTACAACTAGGTAGACTAGAATAATGAGGATCTTGTCTGCCAGCTGCCCAAACCTCTTGGCAGTGATCATTTCGAAATTATCTAGGTACTCATTTACAACTAGGTGGACTGGAATAATGAGGATTCTTTCTACACGCTTGCCTTCGGCAAACTCTTTGGACAATTTTCTTTATTTTAAGAATTGCTTTAACTTTTTGCAGATGATGAGAGTGATGGTAAAATGAACTAAAATCGGAAAAAGAGTTCTTTGAAGTTGAAAATGGTGTATTTGAGAAGCATCAACTTTTGTTTTTTTATGATTTTTCTTTTGATACCAGGTAAGTCAGCCATATTTTGAATCAAAATGGACGCTTTGAAAGGAAAGTATGTCATGGTATTGTCAGCAATTTTACTGTAATAAAGTCTGGGATAGACGTAAGGTGCACATTCTATTTGCTTAGGTAACAAATATTTGAAGCAATCGTCTATTCTTGTCATGATTTGTACTTATGATGTCATAATTCAGTTTGACCAATCAGCAACCATGTTACATATGAGGCTATGGTAGAGAGTTCAATTTTTGATGAATCAATTTGAGTAACTTGGCATCAATTTTTTTTTCCAGAAACTTACTCAGTTTCTAACATTTGTAATGGAGACACATCAGACATTAACGAGGATATCAAGATTGGATCCATTCCGAAAGCTGGGAAAGCAGCAGGAGTGTTCCTGAAGGTCAAGTCTGCCAGTGACTTCGCTTCATGTATAGAGAAGTGTTGCCGCACAACCTTGAATGACTGTGACGTTGTATTTTACCATGGCAACGTCTGTTACTGGATCAAATGTGATGTGTTGGTGCCAGACGGATGCTCTCCAATCACACCAAAGGGAGATAAATTTAATCAAACCATGTTTTTGACTGTCAATCATGTTGGTAAGTATTTTTGATATTTTTGTAGACCTTAGAGTTAACTTGTGGTAGAGTATGCCACTTAGGTGTTTAGAAGTCATAATTCTTGTTCGACTTAGCAGGCACTGTACCTTTAATGGTAAAGGAATCATCCCTTTAAATTCCTTTTACACACTGAATGATTGATGCATTTTAAATTTTTAAAACAAATCTGTCAATAGCATATTTATTTTATCTTCGATTCCTGAAATTAAATTGATAAAAATGATTCCTGGAGATATCTTGGAGAATTTAATTGACAGGTGCCTAATGGCAAAGGAAATGAAACTTCAGCTCTTATTTCCGTTTAAGTCTCATTCCAATTTGCTTGGTAATTGTTCTTTTGAATCAATAATGTTTAAAATTCACCATGAATTGAAATTGAGAGGGAAAATTGAGTTAGATGAAAATTTTAGTGATTGATTGTGAGACAGGTTAGTTTTACCCTACTGGAACTCTTTATGAACGTCCGTCTGATCGGTCTTTGTAATTTATCAGGAATTTGTAAATGATCAGGGATTTGTAACTGATCAGCCATTTGTAATTGATCAGTCATTTGTAATTGTAACTGATCAGTCATTTGTAATTGATCAGGGATTTGTAACTGATCAGTCATTTGTAATTGATCAGTCATTTGTAATTGTAACTGATCAGTCATTTGTAGTTGATCAGTCATTTGTAACTGATCAGTCATTTGTAATTGATCAGGAATTTATAACTGATCAGTCATTTGTAATTGATCAGTCATTTGTAACTGAACAGTCATTTGTAATTGATCAGTAATTGGTCATTGTAACTGATCAGGAATATATAATGAATCAGTCATTTGTAATTGTAATTGATCAGTCATTTGTAGTTGATCAGTCATTTGTAACTGATCAGTCATTTGTAATTGATCAGGAATTTTTAATTAATCAGGAATTTGTTATTGATCAGGATTTTTTAATTGATCAGGAATTTGTAATTGATCAGAAATTTTGAGAACCAGTCAGATATGACTGGCAAATACAAGTTGCGGGCACTTATTTTTCAACAGGGGAATAAAATTGAAACATTGTGGAACATTGAACTCCATGCAGTGTACAATAAAGGGAACTTTAGCTAAGTCTAGAACATTATACATACTGCATTCATTCTATATTTGAATAATTGATTCTGAAGTAAAGCTTATATCTGTTGTCATGTAAAACATTTTAGACTACAAATCTTTGTTAACCAATAATCAATTTGTTTACACAGACATATGTTACCTCCACTGTTGAAGAGTCTTTAATTTCATGTTTATGTATTGTTCACATATAGGTTTCGACCTTCACAGAAACATTTTGCTGTTAAAGGTACCCACTTGCCAAATATGACTGAAATTCAAATTGTTTTGGAGAGGATTTCCTCTGCAGTTGACTCCATTTGCTATCCATGATCTGAATAAATTGTTCTGCATCTCCTGTTCTAGGTCATTAAATATTCAACCAATCAAATGATCTCTTAAATAAAAGCAAAAGCAAGAACATTTCAAGAGGATTTCAATCAGATCGTGGATGACTTGTGTAATAACTTAAAAAAAACTTGAAACAAACCACCTTTATTCATGCATCTATCCATTCATTCATTCATTAATCCATTCTTTCATTGGTTAATTCATTAATTCCTCCATTCACACTCATTAATCCATTAATAAATCCCTAATCCATTCCTTCATTCATTCCTTTATTCATTTATTTATTCAATAAAATCTAACAGGCAGAAGACAAAGAGTAAACAATATAAATTGTAATAAATCAATAAGTCTCGGTAGTTTTAATGTTGATTGTATTGATTGGTTTAGACAATTACCTCCACTATATCATCAGTCATGTGACTTCCTTCCGTACATTATCTCTGCCATTTTTATTACCTCCTAATTGAAAACTATTCCTAATTTATGCCAGATCATACAAATCACACGACAGTATAAAAATACTGAAATACTTTACTCAGATACTGAAATATTATAAATATATACTAAAATACTGAAATTCCTTACTCAGATACTGAAATACAATGTTCAGTTTCTGAAATACCAAAATATACTATACAAATACTGAAATACGAAGTATACTATACAAATACTGACAAAATATCCCTCATTGCACACTTCATAGTATTGAGATTATTAAGAAGTGATAATTACACAATATAAGAGGCAGGCAAACTTGAAAATACAGAATGAGGTTTTTGCATAATATTTTGTTTCAATGAATCTAATTGGCCAAAAAGCAAATCCTTAACCAATCGAAATTGATCATCATTTCAGTCTACGACAAAGCAGCATCCAAAACTGGGACAGATTTGACAGAGACCCCTAGTGTGAAGGAGTGTGAATATGGACTCCAACAATGCCCCAAGAAAGAAGTTTGTACCCTCCAAGAGGAATCAATGTCCAGGATAGGAACGTGTCAATGTGAACCCAATCTGGTGCGAGATGGTACTGGTACATGTTCAGCTCCACCAGCTCCACCAACCACAAGTAAGTAGAATTCCCTTTCTATGTAAGCAGACCCATAGCTCTTGGGTAACAGGTCCGCCCTTAAAAAGTTTTTAAATGGAGCGATTTGATTGGATTGTACACTAGGTCAAAAAACTGACTTGCAAGCTCTTTCAGTTAATATACTATTGTCTGTTGTTAAGCATGAAAAATTCTGCATCATTTACTGTAGTTGTCTCCCTTGGACTAAGAGGAAAAATATTTTGTAGATTCATAATGTTTCTGTATTTAATTGACTCAGGGTTGTAAAAACCGTGAAGACGTCAGCCTCCAGTAATCAGCTGTAAAGTAATGTCAAGTTAAACAAAGCCACCCTACGTACATGACAACAGCTTGGTGTCTGTGGGCTGTCGTTGTTTCTGCTTTATGATTTATGAAATTATTTATTGATTGAAGGTGATAAAACATCATTGTGGGTAATCTTTCAACAAGTTATTAAAAATTCAGAAACTATTTCTGACTCTATTATCGTGGCAGGTAATCCTGGAATAAATGCAAAAAAAAAACCATATATTAAAACTGCTCCATCATGGCAGGTAATCCTGGAACAAATGCTTAAAAATTTAGAAATATTTACTGCTCTAGCTTGTATTGCTTCATTGACAACATGGCAACATGATGCAGTGTATAATGAGGGAAATTTTGTCAAGGCAGTGACATTGACATACCCTTTTTTGGATTCCATCTCTTTAGGGAATTGAAAGTAGCTCACAGGACCTCAGTTAATTGCCTATTTGAACAGTTTGATGCTTTTTCTGTTTCAGTCTCTCCAATTGTATTTATTAAAGGGAAATTTAGGGGGGTTTAAGCCTGCTGAATTTAATAATCCACCTCTCTTTGTATAGTTTTGCGATTTATTATTAGATCAAATTCTCACAGGTTTGGTTTCTCATTTACATCTTATCTGAAAGTCAATAAGGAAAGAAAACTGAAACCCAAACCCATACTTGAGTGATACAATGATAAAGATTTTTCTTCAGTTTTGATGTTTGTAACATTTTGAAAAGTTAAACTATGGTGCAAATTTATGATTGTTTTTAAAGTAGCGGTTTAGTTTTGATAAAATTTGTGTGAATTTTTCAACTTGGAATCACAAACTAGCTAAGGATCTATTGGTTTAAATTTTTTTTTGGAGAAATTACAGTTTTGAAAATTGTAATATAATGATCTCGTAGCTAATTAAAAGATTTAATATTGTAATAAAATGGTGGATAAGTTTTTTGAAAAAGGGAACCATACCTTTAAGGTTTTACCATTTAGTGGTTGAAATGTTTGCTTTGCATTTATGTTTTGTTGACAAAGGAAGAGGTTCAATTTTCACCTTAAAAACCAAGGATGTGCATGTGTGAGGATATTTCAGGAATTAAATGAGTCTTTTTTTCATTGAATTGATATTTGTTTGGTGATGATCTTTCAGTTTATGGTGGTTTGTAGGTGGTCTATTTTGAAAAGCAAGATGATGTATTTGAACAAAAGCTGAAATTATAAGAGATATATATGTAAGCATAGACAATACTTTAATATGTCAAAGAAAGTATGAACAAGACAGAAAGTATTAAAGATGGGCCAATGATTGAACAAGACAATACTTTAATGCATCAATTGAAGGCTTGAAGTTATTGGATAATGAGACAAGCTAATAACAGGTGAAATTATTATGATAAGTCTCTCTAGAAATGATTTATATCTAATGTTGTTCTATAAACACCTGTGACAACTAGTCATCTTCTAAAATATTCTGGTATTTAATGTTGATTCGTCTCGCATAGAGTTGTTATGTTCAGTTGGAGTGATGTTCTAAAGTTATCAAGTGATGTTCTTAATATCAAAGGTGTTGACCGAGGGAATGTTCACTGAATGTTATTGTGTTTATCAGGAGTGGTATTCGTAATGTTTCATTGTTGAAGTGATGTTCTTTATTGTTATAGTGATGTTCTTTATTGTTGAAGTGATGTTCTTTATTGTTGAAGTGATGTTCTAAGTTGTCATAATGTTCTAAATAGTTGATTGTTTAACCTAGGTGATGTTCACTGAATATTATTGTGTTCATTTGGAATGATGTTCTAAATTCTAAAGTGATGTTCTTAATTGTGTTGAAATGATGTTCTCCATATAAATATTATCATAATGATATTAATTAATTATCTTATACTTGATGGTAATTCATTCATCCATTCATTCATACATTAATCAAGTCATTCATTCATTCATTCATTTAACGAATCATTCATTCATTCACTGACAGCTGTTCTCCTCCACACCACTGTGACTCTATTCATGAAAACAATAACGTTTAATTATGGTCTTGCTTCAACTCTGTTTTATTTTATTGTCTAAACCAGTGTATATAATGTATATGTAAATTTTGCATGCCTGTACTTAGTAATAAAAATTATTATAATGCACTGGTGGTGAAATTCTCTTTTGAATTGTTAGATTCTATGAAATTGTGTTGATTTTGAAATGAAGATTCATTGTGTGCTGATTTTGATTGCTCTTGGCGATTGGGTCTTTCAATGTAAGATTTGTGAAAATAAGATATTATCTTGCCAACATTTTGATATTTTGATTTGCTGATTCAATGCTTTGGTTTGACTATATTGTGTTTGATAGCAGTTCTCTTGCTTTATTAGTTTGACAAGTAAAAAAAAGTGATTAACCTTTATAATATACCAGGGATATAATATTCTTCATAGGAGGTCTATTATATTAACTGAGGTAGAGATAAATGTTTAATCCTATGATGGGTTTCTGGATTAGGAATTTGGTTTAGGTGTGAAACATATTGCCCATTGAGAGAAATGAATAACTTATGAAATTTTTGTTTTTTTATGGTCACTGGGATAACATTTTGCTGGTGAAGCTCATGTGAGCACTGTGCAACACAAACAAAATTCATTGCCTGTTCTCTCAACTTTGTTTTTGACTTTTGACTTAGTTTTTCAGTTTAGTTATTAGTTTTTAAGTTGAAGAATTCATTTCAATTTTAAGCCTCAGTTGATAATTTTTATTGAATATTATGTTCAGTATATTAGTGTCATGAGTTAGCAGTTTTCATCGGCTGTGGCTTAGGATTTATAACACCACAGATGTTCTGTGCATTAGACCTTTAATGCTTGGAGAAATTGTGCCTTAATATTTATAACTCAAAATAAATTGTGCCTCGGATTAATATCAGCAATTCATTTTTGTTTCAGTAGTTTTAACTGTGCCTACAAACTTTTTCTTAGAGATATTAGTTGGTTGTGCCTCAGAATTTATTATTGACTAAACTAATTGTGCCTCAGAATTTATAAGTGACTAAATTAACTGTGCCTCAGAATTTATAAGTGACTAAGTTAACTGTGCCTCAGAATTTATAAGTGACTAAATTAACTGTGCCTCAGAATTTATAACTGACTAAACAAACTGTGCCTCAGAATTTATAACTGACTAAACAAACTGTGCCTCAGAATTTATAATTTAGACTGTTTCTCAGAATTTTGACAATAGTATAACTCATTGTGCCTCATAGTTTATAAGTGCCTAAACTTATTGTGCTAAGTATTTATAAGTATACAAACTAACTGTGCCTCAGAACCTATAAGTACCAAAGTAAACTGTGCCTCTTAAAATAAAGTGTGCCTTACAACTGCCTTTTCTTATAACTGCCTAACTTATTGTGCCTCTGAATTATAAGATTTTATAACTGTTCTGTTGAAATTATAACTGAGTCTCACACCAGATATTTATATTATAAATGTGATGCTGTTGAGTGTGAACACTCTGAATTGAGGAAGTATGCCTCATAATGGTCTATGTGATGTTATTTTGGATTCTATTTATTGTTTCAGATCCTTCAACAGTTTCAGTGGTGAGTAACAAATTTTTATTTCAAAATCAAAAATGTTTACTTTGGTATTTTGACTAACACAACATTTCATGTGTCACCCTGCAATTGGGCTTATCAACTCAACCTTCAGAGAGTCAATATTGTTTCTTGTTATTTTTTTTCAGACAGCTTCACCCTTCCCTTCTACCACGACCAACAAAATCAAACCATTAACTGTATCTGCTGGAAAGGGTAGAATAATCCAACTACCAGTCAATGATGTGGCATTATCAGCCTTTGTGGTTCAAGAACCTGACAAAGGTAGGTGGATCTCATACGGTTTCTGTCTGGCTTATGATCTTAAGCCGATGTGATCTCTTCAAGCCCCCAGGTTACCCGAAACTTTCATGCTAAATTGGGGAATTTTAGATTTTGAAATTTTTGAGAGATTTGGTACATTCTGACACATGTTTTTGGGCAAAATTTGTTATATGAGGCAGGGGTACAATTGGGTGTACAAACCATTTTTATAGGGCCACCCCCCATGTACCCCTACTGGAACAGCCACTGATTATCTTTGATTTGTTTGCAGGAGAGACATACCACTATACCTGGAGTATGGTGTCCTCCCCTAACGGTGATAAAGACAAGGGGTTAATGGAAGGAAAGACACTGGACACTGTCAAATTAAAGAATGTAAGTCTTGAAGTTTCTTCCAGAACTTCTGATATTACTGAACCACAAGGTTTATCCCATCTTCAAGATGTCAAGCAAGAACTTTGTCTTACGATACTGGAAGCCTTTTAAAAGGATTCAAAGCAACAGCATGACACAAAGCAGACCATGCTACAATTGATTGACATCCCCAGGTTCTTTTCCTCTTTCTGTGGACATCTTGCTTTATCAGTCATTCCATTCTTGAATGATCCAGGACAGCTTTTGGTGTTTCGTGTCTACCTCATTGATTTTTTCATTTTTTTGTATCGGGCTCCTTTCTTGTTCATCAATTTTGTTGTCTAATGAACTTTTGGATTGTTCAAAGTACACATTTCTTAATCTTCTGCTTGTGATGAATGGTTTGTTCTGGAGCACCTGATGCCACTATGCACCTGGTATTTCATGGTGTTATTTTTCCCTCTATTCCAGTTAATAGCAGGAGGTTATATATTTAAAGTGACAGTCACAGGAGATAATAAATTTGGTGAATCAACAGTGAATGTTACAGTGTTGCCTCGTACGTATTTCTGATCTATTGTCTCTTTAAACTTCAAGAGTCGAGGCTTGAATTGGTGGTCTGAATCATCAACAGCTGACACTTAATAGTACATCAGTGAACGGTTCACTTTGTAGCACAGATGGAAGCATTGGAGCATGGTTACTTTGAACAAATGGTTGTCATGGATTCCAATCTCTGTTAGGTGTGAAAGTCTGGTGAATTAAGTTATTCAATTCTACCCAGCTGTAAATGGGTAAGGATTATCTGGGAAAGATCAGTGCCAATGGATTTGGCCAAGGACCAGCTGGTAGAAAGGATCCCTGTAATTGTTGTACCAAATGGTTGCTTCTGTCTTTCTTTCTTGTCATGATGTATTATTTTTTTTCAGCTGCTCGAATGAACACATCCCCTGTAGCTATAATCAAACCAACCAATCAGGTGATCAAGTTACCTAATTCTGGAGTTCTGGATGGATCAGGTAGGGTCAATCTGGATATTCAGGGGAGGGTTTTGGCTACGTCAGATGGAGTGTTGAAATAGTTATGATGTAATTTAACTAGAAAGGAAGTGACCTGTATAGGTTTAGATTATGAAATCCACTGATGTTAGTGGATATTTTTACACTGCTGTACTAAAATTTCGATCAATTACTGACAGGAATATCAGTCTGCTGTGTCAAGAGTTCTATATCCAGACTGACTCGCAACCCTTTGAAGGCTCAAGATGTCTCAGAATCATTCAAGATTTTGATGCACAGAACTCCAGCTTCCTGGATCATCAAGACAATGTATTGTATTTTATTGCAGACAGTACTGATGATGACAAGATTGTGAAGTACCATTGGGAAGAGGTGAATGGACCCTTACAGGAACACAGTATCAGTGGAGATTCTTCTATGTTGAAGTTACAGAACCTTTCTCCTGGCAACTATACCTTTAAGTAAGTATACATGCAAGGAATCCCCAAGAATTTCCTAAGCAGTCTTTGGAATAGACCTTCATACAGTACTGATCATGCTTTCACACTTATTAAGGGAAGAGGGTTCTCTCAAAGAACTACTACTAATTATTCCAACCAATGTATTACCCAACTGTTTAGGATTTTAGGTTTTGTTTTGTGGTTTGGATTGTCTACTTGTTTTTTGCAGATTAACGGTAACAGATTCTGATGGTGCTGTCAATTCATCTCAGGCTAATGTCACTGTCCATAAAGGTTAGTTCTCTTGAATACTTTAAAGCTTTGGTTGGGTGGTAGATGACAAGCTAATGTCCTCTTCCAGCTAAGTTTTTACATGTTGGTGTCAATCAAAATGGTTTCCTGTTCTTCTTTGCAGAAACTGATTATCCCCCTAAAGCCAATGCAGGATCAGATGTAGTGATCCACCTTCCAGTGAAATCAGTGATCCTGTATGGTAACGCCAGCACTGATGATAAGGGTATCGTTAGCTATGAGTGGACCAAAACTGGTGACACTGATATCACTAATGATGTTTCAGTAAGTGCTTTTTTTAAAATCTTTTCCATGAGGACTATTTTCTGGGATCCATCCTACATCAGTCTAAGACAGGTTGCTTTTACTGAAATATATAGACACATACTATGGGTAATGGAACATCCACAAAGCACAAATGATAAAACCTGCTCCTGCAGATTGAAACATATCATCCAAAAAATGTTCAATGTATCAAGCTGGAGCATAAAGAGTGAAAATTACTGTTTTCTTTACAGGGCGTCAGGACACCATTTTTACATCTAAAAGATCTGGAAGTAGGAGACTACACCTATACATTGAAAGTGACGGATGCCAGCGGACAGTCTTCTTCTGCTGATGTTCACGTTTTTGTGAAACCAGGTGTGTATATTGTCATCTGTTATGGCCGTCAATCAATTTTCAATATTCCCTCTGAGCCAAAATACTTTCAATTCCCCAATCTTCTGCAGCTTTCCTGCAAGAAAACTATTGAATTGGTAAATGAACTCAAAATCCTAGTAGCTTTATGTGTTTGTACATTCTGAAAGTTTTTTGTGGGAAATTTATGATTTTGATGCCATTGCTTTTATTGTAGAGACTAACCAACCACCAAAAGCAGTAACAGAAAAAAGCATAGAGGTGGTTCTGCCAGCAGATAACATTGTTCTAGATGGTACCAACAGTTCTGATGATTCCAAGATAATCACTTTTGCCTGGTCACAAAAAAGGTATGGTACTGAAGTTCCTTGTGTATCAAACAGAAATGGTATAGGAACAGTTGTCATAGGGATTCTTGTTAGTTTGAAGTCAATATGATAAATCAAGACATGGCAACAGGATCTAGTCATGTTTCCCCATTCCACTCTACATAGCATTGGTCCAATGGAATGCAGAGCAGAGGGTAATATCTTATAGAACAGTCAAACATGTTGTCCAACCAGAAGGATGTAAACCCTATTTCTCTCTTGATCTTTCCAGTGGTCCATCTCAATTAGAGTTAATGAACAGTGATCGTATGGTAGCAGCAGCCAGAGGAAAGCTCAAAGAAGGCATCTACACATTCCAGCTCTTGGTCAAGGATGCTGATGGGCAGACTGGTACCCAGCTGTTGACAGTCACTACCAAAAAACGTAAGTTAGTTGTCCGTGGGAGATGATCTCGATTTTGATCCCAAATAATGTACATTAAGAAGGAGGCATCCTCAGAACTGGCATTAGAATCTCTGGCCATGATGGTTCAACAACCAACCACCATCCAGACCAAAGCTCTGATAAGTTTGCTTCTGTTGCAGATGCTAATCTAGCTCCAGTGGCCAATGCAGGAGGAGACAAGGTGGTGTACCTGCCAGTGTCCTCTTTAGTTTTTGATGGCAGCAACTCCAAAGATGATCATGGTATTGTTAAATATAAATGGAGTAGAGATCAGAGAAGCTTAGCTGCTGGGGTAAGGAGGCTTGGTTTTATTTTTTTGTATTCATGTAAACTAGGATTAATTTCTTACTCCCTTGCTTTTTGGTAGGTATAGATATCTGGTCTGGTCTGCTTGCCAGTTCCCTATGATCCATGTATGAGTAACCAAGCTTTCCATTGGAATCATTGCAGGATATAGTCAATGGATCAGCCAGTCATGCAGTACTACAGTTGATAAATTTGGTGGCAGGCCGGTACATCTTTACTTTAACTGTGGTAGATGTTGAGGGTCTTTCCAATTCTGATTCAGCCTCAGTTATTGTCAAAGAAGGTAAGAAATAATGAAGGGAAAAACAACTAATTTTTACAGGGAAAGCAACTTAGGTTCATGAGGGTCCTCTCTACCAGCTGGTCCTTAGTCTAGTCTGTTGTCATTGATCTTTTCTGGATTATCTGTACCCATTTACAGCTTGGTTAACTGTAATAATGAGGAAAGATGACTTATCCAAGGTTTGAAATCTGTAACTCCAATGTGCCATTTTGGCATCAGTTTTTTTAACCTTAGTGGAAAAATGAATCCTTAACAGCTGGTGCAGGTCCGAGGAACAGTCACAGTTCATTATGTTCTGCATTCCTTTCAGATCCCAATAAAAACAATATAATAGAGTTATTATTAAACACAGATATCCATGACTTCTCAGAAGAAAACAGGGTAAGATTTTCTTTCATTGGTATCTGAAATTCTGTGTTATATCTTTGTACTTAGCAACAAGTCATTATCTGGTGGAAGTGGTACAGTCAGTTGGTGGCATGGGCTGTGTATTAAATGGAACCTTATGGGAGATTACTTGCCATGCCTTCTTTCAGTTACTCTTAGATATCAATTGCATAAGCCATTTTATCAATTCTGTTTCAGGACAGATTGGCCAGTCAGTTAAAATTGTTACTACATAAAGATACAGCTGATGGTGATACTATAGTTGATATCAGACATATAGCTAAAGATATCTCATCTGGATAGTAAGTAGTCTTATTAATACCAGTTGGCAAACTCTTTGGAAAATTTATATATTAAGCATTGACACTGTAGGTTGAAGTTCAATTTAACTTTATAAAGAATTGCTTCGAGAAGAGGAAGGTTGTAAAACTATTATTGATTAGTTAGTAAGTTTTTAAAATTCAGGATTTTTTTGGGGTCTGTAAGGGAAGTCCATTATTTCCCAGGTTGTAAAACTATTATTGATTAGTTAGTAAGTTTTTAAAATTCAGGATTTTTTTGGGGTCTGTAAGGGAAGTCCATTATTTCCCAGGTTGTAAAACTATTATTGATTAGTTAGTAAGTTTTTGAAATTCAGGATTTTTTTGGGGTCTGTAAGGGAAGTCCATTATTTCCCAGGTTGTAAAACTTATTATTGATTAGTTAGTAAGTTTTTAAAATTCAGGATTTTTTTGGGGTCTGTAAGGGAAGCCCATTATTTCCCAGATTCCTCGAGGATAAGAAGGTTTGAACGTTATATATATACCTGCTTGTGATATTCATGATTATATGGAAAATGACACATGTTTATTTCCAGTCTCCATGTCCAGTTTTTAGTGAAGATTAAAACTAAAGAGAGCGAGAAAGTGCAACCAGGAGTTGATATTGTGGCATTGTTACGTCGAAAATTACGACAGAATTCAGACATTCTGGATTATTCTGTTATCTCCATTGACACACTAGGTAAGCTGTTATCTTGCTCTCTTAAGGGTGTAGTGAGTCTTCTGTAATTCAACCCTTGATTGGCCAATGTCTTGATGGACAATCAACTTACCAGTGTAGAATAAAGGATGTGCACATTCAAGATTTCTGTAAGATTGTCGGAAGTTGGAAAAATAAAGACCTTTGATTTAAATGATATTTAAATTTTTTTTTCAGTTTGTCAAAACAAATGTTCTGGCCACGGACGTTGTGAATTAAAAACTAAAAAATGTATTTGTGATGCATTCTGGATGCAGAATTTTTTTACTGCGTCTTTATTTTTATATGAAAGCAACTGTGGTAAGTAAAATTCTTTTTTCAAGCCTAAAACTTAACGCATGAATTTCGCCTTGTGCTGTACCAATCAACCAATCAAAAGTACACAAACTGTTCAATTGGCTTCAGTTAAGTCTATTGATTGGCCAGTGTTGTGACATCTTGAATATTCATGTCAGTCCGTGGTACAAGGTGTACCTACTGAAGTGAAACACGGTAAATTTTATCTGATTTCAGATTGGAGTATTATCTATGTCGTTATTATTAGTTTTATATTAGTCATCACCGTAACTGGGGCAACCTGGTTAGTCATTTGTATGTGCAGATCAAAAAGGTATGCAGTTTTTGTTGGCTACTCTGTATTTTTCTGATAAATTCCTTACTTTTCTATGAAACCAATATCTTCTAAAAAGAAATATAATCAACCATTTTAAAATATTCTAATTCAAAATAAAAATAAAAAATTTTCATATACTCATTTGATAAATCAAACACATTTTTCTGCCTTATTCATTCATTCATTCATTCATTCGTTCACCTATTTATTTATCCATGCCTTCTGTCTATCCAGTTGTAATTTGTGTGGTTGCAATAAGTTAAAGCCAAGAAAAAGACATAGATACAGTCTATTGAGCAATAAAGAAGAAGACTGTCATGAGATGAAAGAGCATAAAGAATTATTACCCAAAGGTTAATATACTGTATACCATATAATTGTGATTATAATGCGCACCCTTGTATAATGCGCACCCTTCTATACTGAATAAAACTGATGCTGCATTTTTGAAGAATTTGTAATCTCTACATCTGCTTCTGAGAGTCTTCATGCATAATGAGTTAGTGTATGTTCAGACTATTTGGAGCACTTGATGCCCCTTGGTATCTGAATTTTTCAGTAACCCCTCGCTCATTTCTCAGCAAGTCCTCCCTCATTTCTCAGCAAGTCCTCCCTCATTTCTCAGCAAGTTCTCTCTTATTTCTCCGCAAGAACTGCCTCCTTCTTAGCAAGTCCTCTTTCATTTTTCAGCAAGTCCTCCCTCATTTATCAGCAAGTCCTCCTTCAATTCTCAGCAAGTCCTCCCTTATTTCTCTGCAAGAACTCCTTCCTTCTTCCTTTCAGATCCTACGATTAATGCTAATTTGATATTATTACAGGAAAAATACAGAACAGTAGCGTCATGATCTCAGAGTCAGATTTCTCAAGCGAGGAGGAAACTTTGTTTATAAACAGTAAAAAAACTAATGGACATTTACATAAACCCTTGAATGGTGTCAGCAAGCCTCAATTTAAAAACCGTCTGCGAGCGTAGCGGATGTGGATGTGCTAATTTGTAATGGGTTAAGCTTTGGAATGCATGCCTGTGATATTTCTATATAGGAAACTTTTGTAATCAGAATTATATCGCTGAAATCAGTAAGTCATCCAATTTCTTGAAAATCAGTCACCTGACATTTATAATCAGTTGTAAATCAGATCGATATATTTTTTTTAAAAATGTTTGCCACATTATCAACCACTGCATTATCAGTGTTATATCTGATTTCTTTAATCTTGTTGATAATCAGTTAAAAGTAGATCCTGATCCTGATCCTATTATGGATCAGTTGCCTGATTTCTCTCAGAGCTTCATATATCACAGGTATGTAGGTATAACTGTCGTGTAAAGTGAAAGTTCAACCAGTATCAGAACGATGCATTCTACAAACTCATGGATAAATTTTCAAAATAAATATATCAAGAGTGCTAAAAATAGAAAGAGACTATTCCATCAGCATTCTAAGCAATAGTGACCAAAAACTTCCTTGGTCCTGGTTATTTTTACAATCTGAATGAAATGCAGATCCAGATGGTCCGTTTCATGTTTTTTCTGTGGTGGATTTCACTTACCAACTATGATCTGATGAAATTTGTATACAACATAGATTCTAGGTCATTGAAATCTTCAATCAATCAAATGTCTTGTATTTTCATTTAAACTTTAAACAATGTTTTTGATTGGTCAGAATGAATTATAACAACTCTATACTTTATTCTATCAAATTTCGACTGAACACAATACAAAGCAAAAATTGTGTTAGATCATGGATGATAAGAGTAATAACTCAGAGAAAAAACATGTTAATCTGTATATTATTCAGTTTGTTATCCTGTTATCTTTGTTATCATATAAGATATTTATATATTTATATAATATTCTTTATTTTTGTGAATAATTATGTATATTGAATATTTTTTGTCCTTTTTTTGTAATTTGTATTCTATACCTTGACTTAGGGCTGGGTCGTGTATTTGTAATATTTAGATCATTTTAATTATAGAAGCGATGCAGAAGATGCAATGGTAACGCTAGCTGTCAGTCAAAATGTCACATGATTGAGAAATTCTTAATGAATAAGTATCCACTTAATAGAAAATTTGGCCAATGCTGATTGGATGGATTGCGCTTGGGTTCTAATGTGGTGCATTACATGCAAGTGTATTCGCAATACACAAAACTATTGTCTCAATGACTCACGAAAGATGTGATTTTATGGTCAGCCTGCTTTCCCTTCTCCAGTCTGCAATGCTTGCATCTAATATCAATATCAATCAGCATTGATACAGATAATAACAGTACGTTGTCCAGCCCTGTATTAATTAAATTTTAAATTTTGTTTTTGTTGATATGATTAGAAAGTAGGTCAAAGGTTCCATGACCAAAGAGCAAGCAATTGAGAAAAATTGTTTGACCTATTAATTAAGATAAAATAATTAATTAATCTAATTATGAAAAGTTGTAATTGTATTAATTTGTGATAAAAATGTCCCCATGTTTTTGTGATTTTCTCTGTTACTGTTGAATTGTTTGTAATCCACTTTCAGGCATTTAATTTTTGTAAATATTAATTTTTTCTATGAGCGAAATGGTTTGGCAACATGTGCTTATGTCCTACTAACAGTCCTTTGTAAGATATGTGGCTGTGATTAAGTCTAGTTACTATGAATTCATTGCAGTTTGGTTTCCTTAAAGATGGATTTCGCCTCATGGGAATCAAAATTTCTTTAAGCCATAACAATAGTTTATTTGGAAAGAACTTTTCCTTGAAATTGTTTGATACTGTCATGGAGATTTTAATCAAAGATCTTTCTCATGGTAAACTGGTATATTTCCAAAATTTAAACCTGCCTCATGTCTCACATTTATTCAAATTGTATTATGTTAATAATGCCCTTGGTTGCCCATTATTTTGTGATAATCTTGAAATCAAATTTCTTTTTTTTGTTGTTGCCCAAAGACATTTATGTGTGCTGGGGGAACACTTCAACACAAGTGAGAACAGTCTACTATTTTCTGAGGTATAATAAGTCATAATTGGATCAACGCCATTATAGATACATTAGACCTTTCTTGATTATTGAACAAATGCTTTAGGATGTGCATGTGCACATCAAGAGAGAAGAGTCCACTTTGTTTTGAGGTAGTTTAAATGTTAATGATCTCAATAAAGATCCAGATTTATGGTGTTAAGTATTAATATTTTACCTAGAAATGAAATAGACCATTCTGTTCCTGTTCGAGAATGTTCCTAAATGTGCTAAAAAAAACATTTGTGTGTTTTTCACAGAACAACTATGCTTTATGCTTTGTTTGTATATATTATGTAAAATATCAGCAAAATATGCCAAAATAATAAATTTCAAATTCTTTTGAGTATTTTGGCTGGTTAAGCCATTTGTATCATTCCTTTTGCTCAAAATTGTTGTAAGATTTTTGTTAGTTTGTACGAGGGTTGACAGAAAAGTTTCGAGCTCATTTCTTCATTCCTGTGGCCTCATGTAAAAAATATTTTTGTTTTGTTTTGTTATTATTGAAATCCTTTTTTTTTGATACTTTTTTTGGGATGAAAATTGCACAAATACTACAAGCGTTGTGAGCCTTACATCATCAATATTAGTGTATCATGTGATTCACAAATTCTTACTGTTTCAAGAGCAGTTCTACCATTTATCCATTTTCACAATGTCAAGATATTGCTTGCAATAATACCACAAATTGCATAATATTTTTCTAGCATGGCAAAGTGGTTCCCTTAAAACTCTTGATTAAAATACAGCTCTACATTTTCCGTTTTGCTTTTGCGGAACAAAAATTGGGCACATCCAGGAACACATCTTCACAATGTCAAGCTATTATGATCTTTGTCTTATACCTTGACTGCATTAGCCTTGTAAAGCAGTGTGTTTGATTGGTAGACTTGCAAACGTAAACTAGCCAGGGGGAAAAACAACTGTATTTCAAACAAATTGTAGCTTTTTCATTTGATCTCATTTACTTGGTACTCTTTTTCTTTGAGATTAAGTTGGTTATGGTTTGAAGGCCATACTCCTTTTAAATGCTCCAAATTTTTTTTTTCAGGAGAGGCATTCAAGTAGATTATGCCTCTAACATATAGTTCAGTTATATGAATTTGTTTTACAGTAGAGGCATTCAGATTATGCCTCTGATATAATTTTATTGAAAAGCAGACATATTAGGATTTCATATAATATTAAATTGTTTTACAGGAGAGGCATTCAGAAAGATTATGCCTCTGATATATAATTCTATTGACAGGCAGGCCTCTAAGGATTTCTTATAATATTGTTTATTATTAGTATTATTTTCTGTATCTGCTATTTGTTATATAATTTTTATATGGGGCAATGATAAGAATATATGATTTTTTGATTTAATTTGTCTTCATTCTTTTTCCTTTAATTGGATTGAAGCCACGGTGGCTTGACCTTTTCTCAACCGAATGATGCATGATGAATTTGCAAGCTTTGGAAAGAAAGATTAAAACTTAGAATTTAGACCAGTAAGAAAATCCCCAAATTGGTTTCCAAATTTTTCGAAAATTCAGCGAAATGAGATCCTTTGCTCACTTAAATGGTGATATCGAGCCAAGCAAACAGCCAAATGTGCTGGCTCAAAATTAGGCCTACTTGATTCAAACTCTGTTTGAACAACCATATAATATATCCCTTACAGACCTATCCTGCACATTCACACAAAGGAAGTGTAACAGACTTATACATTTCTAAGTTGAGGAAAACTATGTGGACAAAAATGAAATAAGTCTAATAGCTTTCCTAAATCATTCATAATAATGCCAAACAAAGCCAGAAGAACGCAAAAAGGAAAAAAAAATCCACAGTGGAATATTTGATTGACATGTTTGGCATATTGAACCGTTATATTTTGACATTTTTGATTGACATGTTATGATATATTTTATTTTGTTTACGCATTTTTGATTGACATATTGTGATATCTTATGACCATAAAGGGAGTTGCGATGGTCTTATATCAATTTGACACCCCGCTGTGATCCGCTCATAGTACGCCCCTTTAACTTATTGGAGTAACGTCCCTTTAATATTTTTCTAAAAATGGCCGACACGAAGCACAAATTGAAGAAGTACAAACAGTATTTGGAGACAAATCCAGATGGAGATAAGGTATAAATAAAATTGACGACATTCCTTGATTGTAGGACATGTATTCTATCGTATCTAAAAAAATTCAAGCCTCAAAGTAGTCCAGATGTTTAGAAATGGCCAATTTATTCCTGCATTTTCAATGATAAACCTCTCGCTTCTCCGGAAGTGCATGTTTACAAATGAAACAGCTGATTCTGCAGATTTATTTTTTACATATTGTTATCAATGTTTTTTTGATCTAAACATTCAGTCTGAATAATTTTGATTGAGTGGGGATGGGGGAGGAGGTATATTCTATATTCATTGCACTTATGATGTACATGTTGCTAGCCATTTGGGGTGTAATAATTTCAGTTTCCATTTTCATTTCAGGTGTTGTCTGTGTTAAATAAATTAGATGCTCTGCCAGTGTCTATATCCTTACTGCAGGTGGGTGTTTGGCTTTCTCAAATATTCTCACATTCGAACAAACCACTGAGTTAACTGAGTAATCAAGATTAATGCAAGAGTGAATGGAATTAGGAAAGCCATGCTGTTTGCAAATGGAAAGGAACCTGATTGGGTTAATGAAGTAGGTAATGCCATGCAGTGTGCAATAAGAGCAATTTTACCATGACACCAGGAGTTGCCTACACTCTGTTTTCCTACTGATGAGTGTTTTTACCTTACAGGGCTTGGAGCACAAGTGGCCTCCATTTTTCCATATCAGCCCCTTCTTTTTCTAAAACAACCCAGTTCCTTCTATTTCTATGTTAGCCCATTTACCATTTGATTAAATTGGTTATTGCATATTTATTTATTCCATTATTTCTTGCAGGATACTGGAATAGGAAAATTGGTAAATGGTTTCAAAAAGAAGCCAGATGGAATTGGCACAGTTGCTAAATCCATTGTCAACAAATGGAAAAATTTGGTAGCAGAAGAGGCCAATAAAGCCACCAAATTAGACTCTGATGATGATCAAGAGTATGTTCCAGAACCTCCTAAAAATGTCAAATACGAAGCCTCTTATAATCCGACCTCTAAATCCCAGTCAGATGATGAATACTGTCCCCAACATGTAGCGGAGGAATACACCCCAGAAGAAGTCAAATACAAGCCTGCTCACAGAGCTGTGAATAAATACGCTAAATATTCTAACGAGAAATATAGTCCACAACACACATCTTCGCATACTTCCAGCAAGCAGAAGTATGTCCCAACGAAAATACCATCTGCAGAAAATTCTGAAAATGAGTCATACAGTCCTTCCAGGATCAATGATGACCCCCTTCCGTACAGTCCACAACATCTGTCCGATCAATCGGAAGAGGAGGCGTATGATCAAGCAACTCCTGAGCAAAATGCTTCTGAACCCGATGAGTATGACCCAACGAACAATGATGCCAGTCCAACTGGGGCCTCATACACCCCAACTCCGAGATATGAAAATGAACAAAGACATAAATCAAGTAGTGCTAAGTCTGATAAACATAGTTCAAAAAGTGCTAAATCATCACATAGTGATGGACACAAGTCAAAAAATGGGAGCTTGCATAGCTCAAGTAAGAGTGAAAAGCATAGCTCCAGTAAACATGAAAAGCATAGCTCTAACGGCAAGAGCGAAAGGCATAGCTCAAAACATAAATCACATGATGAAAAACATGACAAAAGTGATAAGCATAGCTCAAAGCATAGTGACAATGAAAAGCACAGTAAATCACAAAATGGCAGTCATCGTTCCAAATCTAAAGACATTGTTCCTAATGGAAAACATCAATCGAGTTCATCTTCTCATAGTTCTAAGGATAAAAAGACATCTAGTTCTTCAGTAAAAGTATCAAGCTCTTCAGAAAAAAAATTCAGTGATAGATCTTCTAGCTCAAAATCCAGTGAAAAAAATTCTAGCCATAGTGATCGGAAGAATAATAGTGTTATCTCAGAATCTCCTTCCAAATCAAAATTAGACAAAAACAGAAATGAGAAACGCAAAATCTCTAAAATCGAACCCATTGACTCTTCATTTAACTTGTTCAGTCCTGACGATAGCGCTGTCGTAAAACGTGTCAAAGTTGAGTCCAAGCCAAAAGTTGACTCTTCTTCCAAATCATCCAAAGAATCGCATCATGAAGCAAAAGACTCCCACAAACATTCAAAACATCATTCTTCATCATCTAGTTCTTCTAAACCCAAAGACGAAAGACTTGACAAAAAGGACTCATCATCAAAGTCAACCAAACATCCAGAAAAGAGACTGGATAAACATGACAAACATTCAAAATCAAAGTCTAGTTCATCCAGTAAAGGTGAAAAAAGGAAAGTGAAAGTAGAAGAGTCTTTGGATGATGATGCAACTGATGGTTTTTCCTTTGATGATTTTCTGAATTGTGATGTGAAGGTGCCAAAGAAAAAAATGAAGAAAGATCCAGGATCTTCAGGATCTCCGTGGTCTTCTAGCCTCAGTGTGTCCAAGCCATCAACTTCTAAAACGGCTACCAGAGTCACTGATGACTCTGGATTTACTGTGCCTAAACCTTCCAAACAGGTACTATAGAATAATTTTATTCATTTCTTTCCAAAAGAAATGCTGAGTTGACGAATCATTTTGCTCAGTGGCATAAGGTGTTCCTAAAGAGTGAACATATCCTTGTCTACAAGAAGTCCCTCTTCAAAGGTTACTTACTGGTATTCCAACCAGGCATCTACCACATCAGTTAAGCTGCCCAATAGTGTCTAAATTAATTTTCTCGGCATTTTTCAGAGGCTAGATATAGATGAATCAGATATTTTAAGTTTACTGCCAGAGACCAGTGCTACTTACAGGCCCCTGCCAACCAGAAGTTTAGAAGATGAAAGAAAACACAGTAAGTTAATCTGAGTACTTTGTCTTGTACCAACCTGAATAATTCTGAAATATTGATTTATTTGGAGCTCACAGATTTCATATGACGACATTTCTTTAATTTTAGCTACACCCCTCCCCCTTTTCACAGTATTTAACCATGCCAATGTGTATTTTTTGCAGGTCTTGCCACATTTGATCCTATGGTAATTGGTACTAAACAAGGAAAGAGAACTCAGGTGTATTCTGGCAGAAAACATGGTCTGACTGGTAGGTGCCTGTTTAAATCTGAATTTCATCTCCAGAGCTTCTTGAAAATTGCAGACATTGCTGCCTGTAACAGTTCCCAAGTCCTGATAGTAGACCTTATGATTGTTTAGTTGATAATTGGTAAAAAGACTCTACAATTCCTTTATTTTTTTTTCAGAAATGAAGTCATTATTCAGTCAGTGTATACAAGTTTTAATGGACAATATTGATGGTAAGATCTTTTCTTTATTGATGTGGTCCCCAGAGAGTTAATCTGGGACATCAGGGCTGACTCTCTAAATTGAAATTGAGTAAATTTGTGATGGGAAACAAAGCTGTGTAATCTTATAAATTGACAATAGAAAAGGTGCTGACATAGGTAAATGGCATCTATGTTCCACATGGCACACTTGGAACAACATCATTTGAGTTTTCTTTGTCTTCTTTCAGCCATAGATTATGTTGGAGGAGTGCCCTATGATATTTTAAAACCAGTATTAGAGAGATGCAGTGTTCAACAGCTCCTAAGATTAGAGGACCTCAATCCAGTGAGTCACTTCAGTTCTCAGCATCTCTGCATCTGACAGGCAACTGGAGGAAAGGTTCACCCTTGACCTGAATTTTAATCCTTTTAAAAATTTGTTGTTTCTTGTCTTTCCATCACAAGAGAATAGCTCAAGATTTCTGTTTGACAATGATAAAGAACCTTGTGCCAGAATATCTTGGTTGCAATCCACCTTGGTACACTGTATGATTGCTCTCCTTTTCCCAATTTAAACTTCTGATACTTTCCTCTTCCAGCATTTTGTTGGAGAAGATGAAGAACTGTGGGCTGTACATTGTGAGAAAGAATTTAAAAACCAGGAACCAGATGAGATGGAATCCTGGAGAGAATTCTATTTGGTAAGTCTTGTGCTTCTATTGAACTAGGGAGATTGGGTAGCTTCCTGTGATGATCGTGAAAGAATTAGTTAATCATTGATCTCAAAACAGAGAAGCAGGCCTTCAAAATCATAATCACATGCTTACTTCTTTACTATTTTGCCCTTGATCACCATCATGCATGACTTCTTCCAAAGTTGTTAATAATTGTTAATTGGTTCTGATATTGCATTGGACAATTTGAGCAATACTTATTGACCACTCCTCCAATTAGGAAGACCTGATGATAAGCCAGTATTTTTATTATAGAGATCTGTAGAAGAGAGAGAAGAAAGGTTAGAAAAGCTGAGAATGAATATGAACAAACTTCAAGCAGCTAAACCCAAAAGTAGGTCAACCATTTTATTTCTTCAATTTCATTTCATTATTATTTCGTTTCATTATTTTTCATGTCTGTTTACTTCATTTCATATCACTTCATTTCATTATGTATTGTGTAGCCACATTTTATTCAGTGGACCATGTAATTTCCATCAAATCCCACTGTTTCAGGCAGACAAGTTCAGCTAGCTTATGTTGATAATTACGTCAAACCACCAAGAGAAGTTCTTCGTAAGCAACAGAGGTATGGGACTGGTAAAGTGGTCTCTGCTAGCAATAGTATACAGAGTACTTCTAGAGGTGGCAGAGCCAACTTCAGCCATAACATCTCTGTACCCCAGCCTAAAGGTAACTACAAATTGTATTTCTCCTTGAAAATATCTTATGATCAAAATTTTTACTTGTGAAATGGAGCTTGTTTCTTTAATTGTGGGTGAATGAACCCAAAATAGTGCATAGTTGTAGGATTTTTTTTTGGTATAAACAATATTTATTTACATAATAGGATTTTAGGCAGTCGCCTATAGTGCCCTCTCCTGAACTTCACCATGGACCCAAAATAGTGCTAAACTGTAAGATGTAAAACTCTGATTCATTATATTGCAGCTGTTAGACCAGTAGCTCCAATGATGCAGAAGATCAACAAGATGTTGGCCAAAAGAAGAAGATAGAATCCTTCAAAAGAGCTGGCCACGTATTCTTAAAACAATCTTAGTGCTAGGATATCCTAGAGACAGTGTTAGAAGTAAGAACCCTAGGACATCCTAGCGTTAAGATCATTTCAAGAATATTGAACCAGGTTCCTTATGCTATCAACTTCCATGCAGCTTGGTCTTAACTGTCTTAAAGACCAGATTCATATGACCAGAGCTGGACAGATTAATGCTCTTGTTGAACTCGACTGGCTGATACAGTCAAAACAACAGTCCTGGAGACAAGAAAAAGCCCTGAACCAGGTGGTTTGATTCTTGGAGAATTTAAAGTGCTTTCATTTATTTCTGAAAAAATTTGCAATGATATCTCCTGTATTTCAAATTTTGTGATGACGTTTTTTTTTGTCTATCTCTATTTTATGTCTATTAAGATTTACTTTTGCCAAGATGGCTACTTTTATTTTACACAATTGCAAAGGGATTTGAAATCCTTAAACAAATGATAGGACATTTCTTTAAGAGTTGTCACAAACTGCCTCAGAGCAATAGCTAGTCCAAATCCTTCAAGCTTCTAATGCTTATACTAAGGATTACAAATTGAATCTTCCATTGTTCTAGTTAACTAGAAATTTCTCTAATCTCTTGCCTATGAACCAAAACTTTATCAATTGCATCCATGCATTATTATTATGGCCCAACAATGTGGACACCACAGTTGCATATTTTGGGAGGCTCATGGTTGCAATGGGAAATGCTAAAAATATTTCTAGACAAGTTTTTGAAAGTATTTATGAATTGTTTGCTGTGCAAACTTTGATTTTAATTATTGATTGAAAATGAAGTTTGGATTTTATTTTGAGATTGAATTATTTTAGTCTTAAAGATATTCAAAATCTAATTTTGCAGTAGGCATGCAAGACATTGAGGACTATAGCTTTAATGTTACAAGAATTTAGGGAAGGTTTTAGAAAGCCGAAAAGGATTGAAGTAAACCATGAAGGCATTTTTCCATCTGTGTTTTAAATTAGGGGTTCTTTTTGTCTTGTATGCCTATTATTTAATAAGCAGTGTTTTTATTAATTGTACATAAACCAATGTTAGACACACAGAAAAACCGGTAACTGTGAGTGATGGTTTTGGGGGGTACATTACGATTATATAAGGGAAGTGGCTTATTTTGACCACAGAAAACTGCTATTGGTCCTAAGCTGAGGTCTTCAAGAAGCGCCTGTCAAGAATTGGTTGAGCTCTACAGGTACTATTTGCAGGCCTTATTACCGTAAATGTCTTATTAATTTATCCAAGAATCATTAATTTTTCCTATCAGTAGCTGGTTGCGATGTGTGTCTAGCATGCTATTTATTATAATGTGTACGGTGAGGGGTGAAGGGGATGAATTTTGTTGAATCTTAAATTAAAGAAGAATAAATTCTTTTTGTAATTGACTTTTGCAATGCCGACGTCTCTATGTGGATGTATATTGTTTCCATAGTTATACGTCCATCAACAGAATAGTCCCATACATCTGCCTCTATTCCAACCGGGAGTAACCGACAACTTTCAAAGTAGCTATCAGAGGCTGGAATAGAGGCAGATGTTTTGGTTTAACCAATTTGCAACTTCTGTGGTGCTTTCCGAATCACAAAAACTTTTTGCCCTCGTGTGTTGACTACCATTGTAAGCCTTTCCCCCCTAGTGCTGCTATGAGCATCTGTTTCCAAATCCAATAAGGAAGGATCAAGGTAGGTTGAGCTTATAACTGGTTGCTTTAAAAAAAATTGATATTAGATACCTTGAACGCAGCGAAGGTGGTATGAACAGCGACATGCTATTGGGCTAATATTTAGAATTGAAATAAGGGAAGAACAACCTCTCCCTCCCGCACGCACTTTTTTTCATCTTGTAGAGCCCTCCCGCACGCACTGTATCACTCGTAATTTTTCGTGACCAAAATATTTCAATTATTGAAAGCTAAATAGCTTATTTCTTCTCACCAGTGTAAGAATCTAGTGGTCCAGTGGCAACGCGTCTCAACTGTAACCACGCTGATCGCGGTCGCGGGTTCGAATCTCATCGGAAGGATCGTACAACTTTTATTCATATTATCTCATATATTGACACATATATAACCAACTTCTACAAACCAATGTAGTAGCGGAATAGCCTAATGGATATGTGCGCCGTAATGAAAGATGACAGTCGAGGAGATCCGCACCAGAGGGAAGTTAAGTGGATTCCTTTTTTTAAAAAAAAGTTATATGTTGAAGCTTATATAGAAATTTTTTCGTAAGAAGAGAAGAAACACCATAGCCCTGTGGATAAACGCTTCGCCTGAAGCAGTTGGGTAGGGCTAGATCACATCAATTTTGGCACAATTCTTAGCCGTTCTTTTCGTTAGATAGTTCAGTCGTGTGTTCATAGGATGTTATAATCCAATTTATTTGAATTGTACGTCTACAGATGGATAAATACTTTGTTTCAAGCTCTAGTAGGAGGGATTCGGTGGTCTAGTGGTAACACGCCATACTGTTTTTTATTTACATGCTATTTATCACTGAATGGAGAACGTAATTTTTTTATTTTCTATTTTACGACTTTTTCCATTTTTTCAAAATTTGGATGAAAGAACATGTACCATAGATCAAAATTCCAAAAGATTGGCGTGAAATTTTGATTCTAGGCTTTGAAATAAATAGCTTGAAAATCAGCGTTCACTAACATCTTCCATTTTGAATGGAGTCAACATGTCAATCAAAAATGTCAAAATAAAACAAAGTAATTTCATTAATGTCAAAATATATCAGCCAAAACCTGTCAATCAATATTCCACTGCGTAATTTTATTCTTTTTGCGTTCTTCTGACTTTGTTTTGTATTCAGTTATTATTTGTGATAACTGTTAAACTTATTTCATGTTTGCCTCATAATTTTCGTCGACTTAGAAATGTATAAGTCTCTTATTTCCTTTAGATTTATATACCCGCTGCTGAAGGCAAATTAAAATAAAATTCCACCTCAAATTTGCACAGTTGTACATACGTTAGGTAATGGTATTAGTTCATTTTGTTACTATAGGTTATGACTGATAAGAGTAAGTGCAACATTGATGTAAGTGTTTTGATTAGTGTGTAGTGCATGTGCGGGATAAGTATGTATTATATGGATTCATAGAGTTTCATTTAATTTTTACCTTGGATTAACTTACCTTCACAGTCCTTCTGCAAACGGGAGTTGAACTCGCATCGTTGAATTAACCGCACGCATCGCTTAAGATTTATCGCACTCGTTTATCGATTGAGCCAGCGCATTTGGCTGGTGGCACGGCTCGATATCAAGACAACATGCAGTGAAAAGACCATTTTAGTAACCAAAGTATCTCGGAATTCCATTACGGTCGGAATTTCAGAAAATTGGAACCAATTTGAGGATTTTTCATTCCGGTCTAAATTTTAAGCTTTAACCTTCTTTTCCAGTCTCAGTTCAAAATGCAGCATGAGAGATATTCGTGACTCTTAATAGGATTCCTAGGCCCTGATCTACTGGTGAATGGAATTTCATTGAGTTTTTGGAATTTATTGCAGGAACTAAGCATATATCCCAATTTTTGACTGAACGATTGTCTTAGTCGCAGTGGTCTAGTGGTTAAAGTGGTCGCCCAGTAGCAGAAGATTCTGGGTTCGAGCCCTGTTCTGTGATCCTCATTTATTCCTGTACTGCTGCCTTCCAGAAACGACACAGTTGCTAAAAAAATGCCAGGAAATGACCAAGCTGGTCGGAATCGCCTGTAAAAATTATGGTTCTTGAAATCCGTCAGATCTGCGGCGAAATAATTTCAAAGATTGTAATCAAATTTCTCAAAATTTCGATATCGCAGAATCTTTCGAAAAACAAAAATAATTGTGATAATGGAACCAACGGCAGAAAAATTAACGGTAAAACGTCTGAAAGACCAGAATGAAAAATGGTACCAGTTATTGGATACGATCGTCAAAAATCAGAAAAACCTATAAAAAAAAATCTTCAGAACACTGGAATCAATGGTAAGAACTATCCTGATTCAGAAAAGCGGTTTGGAGGAGAAAAAATGGAGTCGACGAATAACGGTAAATAGTCAGTCCAAGAAAATGTGGGACTGGATATAAGAGTATCCGGAAGACCATACCGACTGCCTTTTGCCTTACACAACTAGTCCTTTGAGATTGGGCGGTCTTTCAAACCCCCATTGTTCAGCAGTCACACTGGCTCAGTGAGATGAACGTACGCCTTGGGAGGTAGAGGTTCGGGGTTCGGAACCCGGGAAGCGCTAGCTAATTTTTGACAATTGTTGCTCCAGTTGTAGGAGTATATAGACTTACTAACACTTCCATATCACTGTCGGAATGGCCTGGTGGTAAGGTGGTAGGGTTACCGTCCTGGACGACCAGCGTTCGAATCCCGGAAGGAGAATCCACTTATATTTTGTCAGGCTATCAGATATGTCATCATATAAATAGCCGCAAAAGTATGCAACGATTACCTGGTCTCATTGGCTCGGTAGGATGGGAAGTCGGACTGAAGATTGTAGGAAGCTCTCCGTGGGTTCAAGACTCGAGATGAACGCCGAGGGTGGATAATCTATTTATTTTGATCATAAGTAATGCTCCAGTATATAAAGATTAAAAAATAGCTAACAATCGTGGTCGCAGTGGCTCAGTGGTAATGTGGAGGTCTGAGGTGCTTGTAGTCCCTGGATCGGAACCCAGGGAAGGCGTGTCTCTTATTTTGTCACAATACCTATTCTGTAATCATATAATAGACGAAAAAACTTCAACTTGCTAACGGGTCTCTATGGCCTAGACGGATGGCTGGATGGACTTGGTCAGAACTCTGCTACGACGGTGAGGGTTCGAGACTCAAGTAGGACACAGGGATTTTGACAATTCCTGCCTGTCTGCCAAAATCTTTCATTGAGAGATATGTAGTCTCTTAAAAATTCTCAATGGGCATTGAGGCGTTGGGCCTGCCGCAGGCAAGACACTATAGAGAGAACGATTGGCAGACAGGAAGAACTAGAGTCAAGGAGGGGAGCCGAGGGGCAAACTGGTGCCCGGATCCCTCCAAGATTCTAAAGGAGAGAGGAAGATACTTACTATTTTACTACTATAGTAGGCTGTGACTTTGAACTTTAAATATTACTTACATATAACGTTTTGCAGCTTGCCGTTTTGGCTGTGGTCGTAGAGATGTTCATCCCCTCCTTCATTTTTCTAACGATCAGACGGCCAGGGTTCGATTCCCACTCAAACCCAACTTTCAGTTTTTAAATATCTAACCAGACATTTGAGACGACCTTTTAAGTGGTTTTTGAGCCCACTAAGGAAAATCTTTGAGACCACCTGTGGGGTTTGAACCCACCAAAGTTTCTAGTAGTATGTAACTACTAAGGATGACCCTGTCACCCATGGGATTCGAACCCACTCAATTCGCCACTCCGTGGCTTTTAGTTGACCAGCGCTCTACCACTGAGCCACCCAGTCGAACAAATGCATGGAATTTTTATCCATTATATCTGTAATCTTAAGTTTTAAATAATGTAAAACTACGGCTTGGGGTGTTTCATTTGTTGCTTTACCGGGATTCGAACCCGCTCCGATTGATCTTCAGACTAACGCTCTACCACTGAGCCATCTAGACTAACAATCTGTGTTAATAATTATCAATTATATCTCAAACCACAGATTTTAAATCATGTAAAATTTTCTTTTAAATTGGTTGCTCATTAGGTTTCGAACCCACTCCGCTATATTGTCAGTCCAGCGTTCTACCACTGAGCTATCCAGACTATCAACTGTCCTAAATTTGTATCCATTATAACTGTAACTGCATGTATTTATGTAAAACTTTCATAACTGAATGGTGTTATATTTAGCTCTTAATGAGATTCGAACCCTCTTCGTCTACTTAAATGACCAGCGCTCTACCACTGAGCCATCCAGATTGACATGTTATGACAATATTTATCCGTAATAAATGTAAGTTACATTTTTATTTAAAATTTATCTGTTGAATGTGAATTTAAAAGTGTATAAATCTACTTATCTATTTATAAAAATCTTCCAAAGAGATTCGAACTCCCGACTTACACGCTCGGAGACCATCGACGTACTGACTGAGCTACTGCGACCTGAACTTTATCAGTTAATGTATATACATCTTTCCAGCCTAATAGAATTTTAACGCAAAATTTACTCCATCTAGAATTGAACCAAAAGGGTTTTAATTGAGATATCTTTCTGACTTTAATAAAAAAGAATTTAACATAAAATTCTTCCATCGAGTTTCGAACTCTCGACTTACACGCTAATACCATCACCGTATCGACTGAGCTACTGCGACTTCAAACTCATATATTTTGTAATGGTTATATCACTGTGTAACTTTAATAATATTTGAACATAGAACCCGAGGTAGTGAGTAGTTTTACTCAATCGTGAGCAGTTTTCATCACGTTTTCCAGGCGTATTAACGTCATCTAACTCTCTCAACTTTTGTTCATTGTGCCCCGATGTCCCAGACGTTTACCCAAATCTCTATATATACTCTGATATCCAGACGTTATGATTTCTCTTTGGGATGTTACTTGCAAAATAAAAACGAAATAAAAACACAATTTATTTACACGACAGACACATTAAAATTTTGTTTCGTGTCACCTCGAAAACGTTGTCCAGCCCAATCCGGCATCAAGTCCCAGTAAAATATATTAAGAGCGAACGTGCGGGTCTACGTTGTACCAATGTTCCTTTGAAAGCAAAACACATCAATATCCACTTCAAGGGGGTAAAGGATTTCTGTCCGATCACATATAACTTGAATCTCAACTGAAAAGAGAAAGCTTCACATCTTTAGCGCTACATCAATTTGTAAATGACACTGGTCTTACAGAAAGGTACACGTGTCTTAAGGCATATAGTGGGTTGAAGCCAACCAGGCATTCATAGATATTACCAAAACCAGGACTTCCTGATTGTATTCTATTATGTACAAACCAATCGCTGCATTTACTAACTTCCATGTTACAAGGAAGGTGTTATTGCAGTTACACACAGTTCGTAATAGCTTGCCCTTGTCAAGATGTACAAAGTATTGAAGCTTGACGGATTTGCACACTTACCACTGTATCAAGCCTTTACCCATTGAGGATGATTCTATGTAAGAACTCCGGTCTGTAGTATGCCAGTTGATCCAGTGTTGGTGTTCGCGCTGGTATTTGATCAGAAATGGGTTTGGCGTTCATTTTGATGATCTCTTCGGGCGATGCTGGCCTCTGATTGTTTAGAAAGTCAGGCGTTAGTTTTGGGGGAGGTGGAGCGTTATATTGGACAGCTTCTTGTGGGGTATAAGCCGGTGGGTCAGTCCACTGGTTTTGGTTTATGTTTTGCATTTGGTCTGTCCTTTGATTTATGTTTTGCGTTTGGTCGGTCCTTTGGTTTATGTTTTGCGTTTGGTCGTTCCATTGGTTTATGTTTTGCGTTTGGTAAGGTCTTTGGTTTATGTTTTGCATTTGGTCGGTCCTTTGGTTTATGTTTTGCGTTTGACCGTTCCTTTGGTTTATGTTTTGCGTTTGGTCGGTCCTTTGGTTTATGGTTTGCGTTTGATCGTTCCTTTGGTTTATGTTTTGCGTTTGGTAAGGCCTTTGGTTTATGTTTTGCATTTGGTCGGTCCTTTGGTTTATGTTTTGCGTTTGATCGTTCCTTCGGTTTATGTTTTGCGTTTGATCGTTCCTTTGGTTTATGTTTTGCGTTTGGTAAGGCCTTTGGTTTATGTTTTGCATTTGGTCGGTCCTTTGGTTTATGTTTTGCGTTTGGTCGATCCTTTGGTTTATGTCGGTCCTTTGGTTTATGTTTTGCATTTGGTCTGTCCTTTGGTTTACATTTGGCGTTTGGTCGATCCTTTGGTTTATGTTTTGCGTTTGGTCGATCCTTTGGTTTGTGTTTTGCGTTTGATCGTTCATTTGGTTTATGTTTTGCGTTTGATCGTTCTTTTGGTTTACGGTTTGTGTGTCCGATCCAGTCATGCCCGGCCAACTCAACGGAGTATTTAAGGAATTGATGTTGTTTACTGGCATCTCTGTTTGCTGCCTGTTCTGGTTTTGTCCCATGTATGCTGTTATTCCTGTGCTCTGAGGAACTGGGATGCTGGATCTTGTAAAAGCCGTTTTAAACGTGGGTATAAAAGGATTCAACTCCATCCCCTGCTGGTGGGGTGTTCTGGCTTGCGTGTACGTTGATCCGTATGTTGGCGTTGACGGATACAAAGTTGGCCTTTGGGTATTATAAGGCATGTTTGACGTGGAGTACGTTTGTTGATAAGCTGGTACCATTTGTCCGTAGTTCTGGTTCATCGGTTGCATTGGTTGGTACATGTACTGCTGGGGCTGATAGGAATTACTGTATCCTTGATTATAAAATGGCATTGTTTGTGGAGGGTAGGAATTTGAATATCCCCACCCATACCTATTTCCGTAAAGCTCGTGTTCCTCTTCCTTCGTGTAAGGACCATGCCACGATTCAAAGGTCGGAGTCTGGTGTCTGAAAAATGGGTTTATTCCTGTAGTAGGGAACATCGGCAGTTCTCGTGGGTATCGAGTACGTCTAAAGGTGCGGTGTGGATTGGAATTGTAGCTTGGCGAGGGATAAGACGTTTGATACCATGTCACAGGGTGGGAGTTGAGTTGAGGACCCTGAGCTGTCACTGTTGGGTTTCCAGAGCTGCTGGTATACCGGTCTTGATAACTCAGTTGGGCATTTCGTAGAGTTCCTCCATTCAGAGTCAGTCCAAGTTGTCTTTCAATATTAGACACGTACTGTTCTGCTCTGACTAGTTCCATATCTCTGTGAGAACTTCCTATTGGTTTTCCATATTGTGTTTGGGCTGTGGTCTGTGACATAGCTGGCGAGGATGTGTAATCAGCGGGGATAGGGTGACGCTGATGAAGAGAAGGCCTTTGCTGATGGAGTCCAAGATTTTGTTGGTGCTCTCCATGATTTTGCTTTAGTCCATGGTTTGGCTGATGCAACTGATGTCCTGGGTTTGGATTATACCGATGATTCCCATGGTTCTGCCGATGAAGTCCAAAATATTGCGGATGAGCACCAGTGTTTTGCTGATGAGGTTCAAGATTCTGCTGATGAGCCCCAACGTTTTGGTCCTGTAGAGGAGATGGGTGTTGATGCTGACGTCTTTGAGAACCTGCGTACACAAACGCTAGATTTTCTTGGTAGGACGCCCATGGTGGATGCGAATATGATGTACGAGGCAATGGTAGCTCGGAGTAATTGGATACGTATGTAACAGTTTCAACCGTTGCGCTAGGAGGCCTTAGCGTCGTTTGCTGAACGTCGTTATTGTCTCCGTCTTTTGACGCAGTTGCTAATCGTTTCATTGCCACTCGCCACATTTTGAAGAATTCTTCCAGTTCAGCTGAAACAAAAAGCGAAAAGCATTAATGTGGAACCATTTTTTGATCCATTATCGCCTGAGCTCTCTTCAAAATCCATGAAGTTTTGATATTAGGGTGGTTGAAAGGTAACAAGTTACTATCCAACAGAAGGCACTGGCACAGGGTTTTGAGTAATTGTCGCAATGTTTTTCAAATTTGCACTAAGCCAGATCGACAAATACAAAGACTATCGAACTTTTCACTTACCCGATGCAAATGCAAGGCACATAAATATTATAACGATTCTCATTATCGAGGCTAGTTTGGTTCTCTTCGTCACAATATCCTGTACGAGATGATAATACTGGAGACAAGATTCCCAATATACAAGAAGACACTTTACAAATTGTAAACTCAGATTTAAGTAGCATAGGATAAGAAGTCTCACAGTCTCTGCAGGAATTGATCCGATCAAATCAAAAAAAGTCACAATCCGATCCGATCTGATTTGGTCAGAGCTAAGTCACTTGATCCGATCCGAGTTGAATACTCTTCCAGTCAGAATGCCACCACAGTATAAAAATTGGTCTGATCCGTAATAAACAAAATCAACCACACAAAGAAGCAATTCAAATAGATCCGGTGGGATCAAAAGCGTACAATACTCCCAAATATGTCATTTTCTTCACAAACTATGTTGGTGAATATCGGTATCAAATATCAAAAGAAAAGGCGATTGCCTTATTGAAATTTTAAACGGAGCATCAACGTCAAGTAGGATTTTATTTGATAACTGGCTGACTATACTTTTATGTGTCAGAGGATTAAATATGAAAATATTTCTGCAAAAATTGCCATATGTCAAAAATTTGGTTCTTTACGACATTTGGATGCACATCGAAACTTTTCGTAATGTATACATACAGAAATTAGCTCAAACTTTAAATGCTTTGGTAGGAATGTCTGTAAGAGAGGCCTAATTTAATTATCTCTTAGCAATTCTGGCAAACTGTGTACAGAGTTAGTCAGAATTCATTACCTGTTCATTTGGTGATTGTTCCCGCCAAAATGAGATTAACGTCAATTTCTCCCGCCATTCAACAGTAAGTGTGGTTTGAGCACACGACGTCGACGTAAATTAGTTCTCAACATAAGGAACAAGTGCCACAAGTCTCGAAACAATTGCGTTTGTGATGTATTAGAAGATATGGACGTTGCTGGAAGTGTTTGCGACGGTTAAATCCGAATGTACAACAAAATGATGAATCGGGCGGCTTACAAATTATATAGTAAATCATGCATACAATAGGTCACAAATATAATTGATAAAAAATCGTTCAATATAAACAACTTAAGAATGCGTTCAGTTGATTTTTTCATAAATATTTGAAAACAACAAGGATTTTAACTACCTTGAAGATGGATGATGAATTTTGATGGATGACTTATTAAAGTGGCACATCCGTATATATCTGATGGTGACATACACAGTCAATTTCATTATACTTTAATGATTATACTAATTTATTTAGTCTAGAGCGTAAGGAAAAGGGAAGTAACTCGAAACATCTTTGACAACAATTTCCGAAACAGGAACGCTAGCCTGTCCTTCAGATCATTTAAACTAACCCATTTCTTTTCGGATCAACAGTATACTCTTTCTTGTTGGGTCATATTTTAATATCAAGATTTTGGATTCAATTTGAAAAATTAAGGTCAAAATAAACTTATATTTTAGGATTACGGAAGTCTTTCCGCCATAAATCATACGAAAGATAATCATTCAAGTAACAGTTATTATGCCCATTTGAAATGTTGATGAACATCTGTGTCATAAACGCTGATTATGGGTTACTTCCGTGTGATTTCCCCGTCAAAAAATGATGAGATTGTGTCAATCTTAAAACTATGTTGACATGGGAAATGAAATGAATGGAGTTTTACGTCCTACTTTTCTGCACCATGTGGGCTAATGACGACGGGTTGACATGGGAGATCCTTGATGGAAAGGAGGTGGGGTGGGATGGTGTGGGGGAGAGGGCATCGTCACTGTAGCTTCTGATAAAATCTCATCTGCTCTAAACTTAAGGAGACGGATGCGATTCAACAAGACGTAGCATATATAGTTCACTTTCGGGTCGATATAGCAGAATGCAGACAGCAAAAATACTAGCAGTGTAAATCTTAACACTCATTGCTGCAAAAACAAAAGGGGTGTCATCAATGCTTAATGGGACTACAGGGAACTTTGCCAAACTCTTGGATTCGAAACTCATTCGCATCAGGAATGGGGTGGACAGAAAATTCACATAAGACAAATAATTTAATCTAACAAACTTTAACAATAAATTTGAAATGCAAACAAGATGAAAAAAATGCAATAATACAGAAAATAAAATGCTTCAAAATATTTCTTGTTGAACAAACATACTGATAGAGATCCCTTGCAAATGAAATTCGATGGTTTTTATTTTTTTAGCGATTCAATGTCTAAGGGGGGAACACCTTTCAAACCTAATAAATACAATTACATATGGGAACGAGAATGAGTATTCTGAAGGGACTAATCCATATCCATTGGTTCGCTGATGAGCCAAGTGGTCTTTAGACCGAAACATCTGCCTCTATTTCAGCCTCTGATAGCTATTTTGAAACTTGTAGGTTGGTACTCTAGCCAATAAATGTAAAATCAATCAGAGGCTGGGGAAGAGGTATAGATATTGCGGACTTTGTGGCCACGTGTGGTCTTGTCCGAAACTATTTCGTGATATTAAGTTAAAATATGCTTGTTATGACCACAGCAAGTCCAAAGATATTGTGTTCCGTTACTCCTGAGCCTCTTCTATCTGTATCTCCATGCCTTCCGGAATTTCCATAATAGTGGCCTCTTCGCCTTCTTCAGTGACACCTTCCCCAGCAATAGCGTTCTCTTCTCCCTCGACAGTCTGAGTCATCTCCTCCGAAATACCTTCCTGGGATATATCCTGGTCTACGAGAATTCCCTCCGTTTCTTGGGGAATCCCTTCTACAATACCTTCACCAGCTTCAATGTACTGTATCATATTGGAGTCTACGACCTCTTCTTCAACCGCTTCACCGTCTTCCGGATTGATAATCTGTAAAATGACCACCGTTTGATCACCATTTTGACACTCTCCACCAAATGCTGACTGAATAGAGCTCGGGATGGTGATGGTCTCTTCACCCATTTGGTTGGTGGTGATGACGGCATTGGATAGACCTTGAAGAGCCTCTGCAGCCTCTTGAGGAAGGATGATGTCCTCGCCATTATCCAGGTGGGTGATGTATGTCGTCTCTTGCCCAGATTCCACCAACCCAGCTTGTTCCAGCTGCTGCATTGCTTCGTACAGCAAGGTTGAATCTTTAGATTCCTGTTTGACTTGCTTCACCTCAACGGGCATATCTGACACGCTTCGCTTCATGCTGTTGATGGAGTCTAGGTCTCGAACCATCTCCATATTACCAGGATGCTTTCTTTTATAGTGCCGAATAAGAGTCGGCCTATGGGAACAGCGTTCGTTGCAGAGCGTGCATATGTAGATATGCCCACTGTGCATTTCGCTTAAATGACGCTTCAAATCGTACCGTCGAACAAACGTTTTCTGGCAAATATGGCATCGGAACTTCTCAGTCATCGTGTGCTCTAATTTATGTCGGTTTCGCTGTTCAGGATACTTGAAATACTGTCCACAAATGTTGCAGCCGTAGTTCTTTTCGTTTCCGTGCATCAGCATGTGCGTCCGTAAGTTTCCTCGCTGTTTGAATCCCCTCTTACAAGTGGGACAGTGGTACGATGGGGGATTTTCAGTGTGGAACTGTCGGTTATGGCTGATCAACCCTTGTTTCGATGTCAATACTTTGCCACAGTCGTTACACTGGAAGGTGTACTTCTTCTCGTGAACCATTTCTCGGTGTGTTCGTACGTAAGCTTCGTAGTGAAATCGCTTCCCGCAAACATCGCAAGCATACCTCTTTTCACCGTGAGTTTTCACGTGCTTGTTCAGGTTACTAACACTGTTGAAGGCTTTACCACATTCGTGACAAACCACGTCTTCCTTTTTGGTTTTCGTTGGTTCTATCGTCCTTCGCTTGACTCGCACTTTAGTACCATCGGGGAGCGTGCAAATATGGTCTCTGGCATAGTCCTTCCTGTAAAACTTCTTTCCGCAGTCATGACAGCTAAACTCGGGTTCTCGGTGGAAAATTTCGTGCTTGAGCATAGCTTGCCTTGTATGGAAGACTTTTCCACATTCCTTGCATGGTTCAGGTACATCATTTTCTAATTCCGACTTCACTGCTTCGCACTTATGGTTATGGAGGCTGCCTATTTTGATGAATCTCCGTCTACAAATTTCACATTTGTGGGGATGAGTATGTTCGTGGATATGATTCCGATACTCCTTGGCGTCATGGAACGGAACATCACATAAATCGCAGTTGATCTGCCCCTCTTTCTTGATGGTCGTTTGTCCAAGGCAGTAGCGGTAATGTATTCCGTGCTCTTCTCGCCTACTGAAACTCTTGTTACAAATCTTACACTGGAAGGCCCCCTGGTGAGTTGCCTCGTGGCGTTTGAGGTAGGTGAAGGATGAAAAGGTTTTCTTACAAACTGGGCATTGGAACTGAACAGCTTTCTTATTACTTACTATTCTGTCACACTCGTGGTCTTTCAGGAGTTCCTCGCTTTCAAAAGCTGTACGGCAATCCGAGCAATAATGTTTGGCACAGCTGACCATGTGGTTCTGGGCTCCCAATTCCGTGGCGAATGTCTTCTTGCAGTTGTGGCATACATAGATCTTGTGGTCATTAATTTTGTCTGGATTACAGCGCAGCATGTGACCTTGCCACGAATCTTTTCTGGAGTAGCATTTACCACATTTCTCACACTTGTAAAGATCGGTATGCATAGCCATGTGGCGATACAAACTCATCTCGTTGGAAAACATCTGTTTGCAGAGAGCACATGGAAATCGGGACTCCAGTTTACCTTTGCATTCTGTCCCGCTGTGAGCGTTAAAGTCTTCTTCAGTATCAAAGACTGTTTCACAGTTCTTGCATTTCAGCTTGGAAGAATGAGAAGCATGATGTTTGACCACGAAATTTTCCTCAGTGAACTCCTTCTCGCAAACTACACAGCAGAAAATATCTTCGTCGTCTTCGTTCTCCTTGTCTTTAATGTAATAAATGACCGCCTTGGCTCTACATCGATGCTTCTGAAAGGATTCGTTTCTGGTGAAACGCTTCCCGCAATCCTCGCACTTGAAGATGTCCGTGTGAGCCGGAAGATGCAGCCTTAGATAGTTCATCATACTGTACTTCTTGCTACATACCCCGCACTTATAAAATATGGTACCATCATCTTCTACAATTTCTTCCGTTAAATTTTCCAGCTCTGAAATTTCTTGCTGAATGTTGTCTTCTCTTTTGCGTCCAGGCCGGACGGTGTAAGTGTACTTCTTCTTTTTTCCTGGCTCATTGTAAGAAGACTTGGCTTTCCGCTTCCTGCCACGTCGTTTTCGTGTAGTCTTGAAATCTTCACTCTCATCCAGATCAATTTCTTCTTCAGACTCTTCAAGTTCTTCTCCTTCTTCCTCTTCCGAGATTTCTTCATCTTCCTGCATAATCTCCTTAGCCTGTTCCTTTGAAGGCTGGAAATCCACATCAGCAGCTTCGTCATCCAGATATTCGTCAATCTCCTCTGGTGGAATTTCTGGTTCTGGTTCCTTAGATAAGGATGCTTCGCCTTTTTCAGAAGCTTCTGACTTTTTAGGACGACCTCTGCCTTTCTTAGCAGAATCATACTCTCCATTCTCCGGCTTCTCCTGCTTGACTCTGATGGGACTGAGGATCTTTTCATCTGGATCAGCAAACTTCCCAGTCGTTCTTCTACCTTTAAGAGATCTCCTGGGCATGATTCTAGTAGGTGGACCATCTGGATCAGGTGGTTCCACTTTGATCATGACAGTTCCGAGATTTGGTATCTTCGGTTTGGGTGGTTCTTTAACAATTTGGCTCTTTGGCTTTCGTCCGCGTTTTTTAGGAGATTTAGCAGGCTCCTCTTCTCTTATTTCTTCTAGTGCTGGAATAGGACTTCCTGGTGTTTCATCTGTTGCAGATGCATGTTCTTCATTGCCTGAAGCTTCTGTTGCGTTGTCTGTAGCCTTTTCACCAGCTTTGCTTGCAGCAGACTTAATCAGAGACATCATTCCTTCAGCTGCCTCTTTGATGTCTACGTCAGCTTTGGCCGAGTCAGTTTCTTCACCTACAGATGCAGAATTGCTATCGCCTGCTTCTCCGTTGTCGGAGTTAGCTCCCTTCCCTAGATTCAACCTAGAATGTTTGGTATCCATGTGGAATTTGAGATTGGATTCAGAATTGGCTTTAAAGTTACATACAAAACATACATGCTGTTTGGAATGGGTGAGCATATGTTGTTGCAACTTTTCTAAAGATTTGTACTTATTGGGGCATCGTTTGCATTGAAAAGGACCCTTCTTGACATGCGGAATCAAATGCTTTCTAATGTGTTTAGCAAAGTCACTTTCATTATCGAATTTTTCTCCACAAGTGTCACATTCGTGGATTGGTTCAACTTTAATGGTGGTTCCATCTGGAATAGCACCAGAGCTGTATCCATTATCAATAGGTTCTTCTTTGATTGGTAGGTCTGGAGATTCTGTTACTACCATTGCACCAAGCATACCTGAAGAGAAATAGACAAAGGATTCACCCAAGCTGCTAAAAATTAAAATTTACTGCTGAATTTGGAGAGCCATCGCCATCTTTTAGATTTTCTTAGAATATATAGTTAAAAAAAATTGAATTCCTGCAATGCAACTTTGGAATTTCAGAACCTGGGTCATTGCTTATAGGTTTGTTTTTCTAATTCATTCTTCATTGAAAACAGCTACAAGTCTTCACAAGACAGGGCCATTGAAACAGCCCTTCGAATTCAGAATCATACTTACTTTTAGTGGTGCCATTAGGTTTGGGTTCTCTGCCTAGCTTTTTGGCATAGTGTGGAGCATACCAGACCCTGAGCTCCTCAGTGGGCAGAATATCTCTGGTGGTGCTGTAGAAGACATTGTGGTTGATGGTGTAGGCCATACAGTTTTGTTCCTCCTCATTATCAGCTGGTCTGATCAGACACATCCAGTTACACTCATTTTCATCTGATGAATCGAAACAAGTGACACTTCCATCTTTGTTGAACATCTGTAAAGAAATTTGAAATTGGTTCTGCAACAAGTTTGCATCTTATAGTGTTAAAGGGATTGTAAGGAGGTTTTCTTAACCTTGTATGTGTATTGGGGACACATCAATTTGCATCTTTTGTGTATGATTTAAGGAGATAAACACTTTTCCAGACCCATGTATGGTAAGAAGAGGTGTGCATTATATTCGCAAATATACAGTATAGGTTTTATTCAAGTGACTGAATATAAGCTGAATAAATTCCTGACTGTACTATTGCTGATTTTAAAACGAATACATCAACTCACCTTCAGAATAAAGAAATCACAAGCTTCAATATCCGAGCTGGTTCTCTTGGCTTCAAATGGACCTAGTTGAGTTTTGGGTGGAATAAGTATTTTTGAACAGACTCCAAGAGTTCCGTCTGTTAGCTCTATCAGCTGCATGGTATCTGGTAGAGTCAGCCGAGCTCTGGAGTGAAAAATAATATCTTGTTAATAAGATCAGTACTGAATATATTGAGAGAATTCTTCTGTATAAAATACTGAATTGTTCTGAAGGGCCTCACCATGCAATATAGATCCTTAGCCAATTACATTTTTTGGGGTGAAAATTCTAGATCAATTTTGGTCCATTTAACACTTTACTTAATTATTGATGATTTTTTCAAGTCAGTCCCTTCATCATCCAGCCTTAGGGAGAGAGAAAGAGGGGGTTACCTTGACACAAACTCTAGAACTGTACCAGGATCAGCTAGACCTAATTCAGGACAGTACTCCGTTTGATGATTTCCACCACAAACATCACATTCTGTTCCCCCGGCACCTTCAACTTCTATAAAATAAAATTCATAAAAAATAATCCACAGTAAGATGAGCTGAGAAAATGAAATTATGGGCTAATAGAGACAGCATTGGAAAGGTTGCCTATAAGGACTGTGGTGATAGTGATGTTATAAAACATTTAGAAAAACTTTTAAAATAATAAAAATTTAACAATAGTCTACCTTGAGCTTGAACAGTCTCCATCTTTGACAATCAAGTCACTTTCAGCTTATGATTTTTAATTTCAATGACAGTTTCTCCTTTTAACGAACCATGCCTCTTTAATCAAATATAATCTGGAAGATAATATCATTGTTAAATTTCTCAGCTTTAACTAAATTTATGGAAGAGGCCTTCTTACAGGCATATTATTCAAATTTATATCTAACCCATAGCTTTATATAATTAAATTGTGAACTAACATAGAGTCAGATTTTTTATTGTGAAAATTAATACAGGTAAGCTATATATTGGTAGCCAGAATGAAGCGCTAGAGAAGCTATACATGCCTTTAATTCTTCCAAGTTTTAAAATAAATAAAAATGTTAAAGGAATGGGTCTTTTTAAATATAATAATAGAAATGTAAGGTCTCTTCTTACTTCTAAAAGTTCACAAGTTCAATGGATATGTAAAAGTATGTTAAAATGTTTATGCTTGAAGGAAGATAGGTCTATAATTTGAGAGTCCTTGCCTTGTCTGGACATTTTTAGTAGTGACTTTAAGTTTTTAGGAATTATTTTCAGATGAATGAAATTTGTAGCTGCTACCATACTATCATAGTGCTTGTTCAAAGTTGTTGTTTTGAAATTGACCTTGCCCTAATTCATTTTGTCAATCTGTTTTGCTATGCAAAATCCTAAATCTAGACACTCTCATCTTGGAAGTCTTATTTCGTTTTCTTTTACATTTATGGACAAATTTTCTATAATTTCGTGGATAAATTCGTTGAATTTAATTTTTTTCAGGCGCAAATTTTAAGGAAACCCTCGAGTTGTTGGGATTTCTTAAAATGGCGGAATAAATCACAAACGGAAACCGCCACAACGAATCACATTTCGTCATGCTCAAAATTTAATTCTCTTATTTATGAAGTCTTTAGCCTAATTTTGATAATGGCGACAAGCCAGTGGCATCTTCAATTGTTTCGACAACTTCTGAGACCATTTTGGATGAATTTAATGAACATCTAATGCTAAAACTTACGAATTTATTTTTTATAATCTTCTTTTGCCTCCGTGTCGGAAAAAGTCGAACAACGCCGAATAGTAATGGTGAACTGCACATGCGCAGAATTCTTCGAACTAAAATGTAAACAAATCTGATATTTTCTATTTTTTTGTAATTTATTGGAATAAAAAAACAATTTTGCCCATTTGTACCCCAAATCCTAATGTCCATGCCAATGACCATTGCAATTTCATATGAATGTTACCCCAGATTTCGAGAATAAATGATATTTTGTGTGTGTGTTGATCGAGGGTGGACTCAAATCACCCGTATGTTGAGGCTTTGTGAGGGATTTGTTGACGTTGGTGACAAAACAAAATTTGTATTTTCTGAAACGATTAAGACATATAAGCAATGTTTTGTTCTTTTGAATACAGGGCTGATGAAAATGCCAATTTATCTAAATTTCCCCATTATTTTCGCCATGCCTTACTACTTTACTAATAGGCGAATCTTGGCTTTGTTAGAATTAGGCCTACTTAAGCCCACTATGACTTGGCAATTTTCATTAGTCTCTTCAAGTTCAAGGATTAATTAGCCTTTTTCTTGGCATGGCCAATCTGGTTGCACCCTCTTGGAAACTCTCCAAAACTGTGGCTTAGCTTAGAATTTCTGATGTTTTTATGGTTCTTTAGCTAAAGGATCCAAATAGAACCCCTCAATTAATTTTATGCCTTCTATTTAAAAATTTAAAACTTTTTCAGATTTGTCATAAGCTTGTGTTATAAAAGATTGGCCCTTCGAAATTCTGGAAGCACAAGTCTTATAAATGATAAGATGTGGAACAATGCAGACGTCAAGAAACGATTTGATATAGATGAATATATAGAAAAGACAGATAAACAATATATGTATGAGAAAACATCGTCGCCTGAAAAATGGCGGTGGAAATTACGCATGGTCAATTATGGGGGAATGACTTATTTTGTGGTGTTCACCGTTCTCGCGTTTTGTGTTGGAATTTTCCTTACACTTCCAGAAATTTATGCAAAAGATGCCCATTCTCTTTGGCAGAGAAAAATGGCTGCTTGTTACATCATTGCATTGACTTACGCCAATTATTTTTTCATGGTACGATCGTTTAAAAAATCTAAATTTGGCAAAGGTACTGAATATTTACCGTCAAATATGACAAATTGGACTCATTGTCGATCATGTGACCTAATGGTGCCCCCTAGAGCCAAACATTGTCTACTGTGCGAATGCTGCATTCTGAAAAGAGACCATCACTGTTTCTTCGCGGGTTGCTGCATTGGTTTTCACAACCAACGTTATTTCACTGTGTTCTGTTTTTACGGCTGTCTAGGGTCTATTTATAGTCTTTACACAATATATATTTATTTGGACAAATATTACACGCCATTGTTCAGTCTGGATTTCTATGGTTACCTGTTGCCATGGTTACTGTGGAGATGGTTTTGGGGAGCCGCGCATCATTCTATCATCTGGTTAACTGTCTTACTATACATGTCTTGTGCGAGTTCTTTTGCCTGCACCTATTTTTTCGCGTGGCAAATATATTTAGTTTTCACTGGTCAAACCACGTATGAATTTTTAAAAAAGGACAAAACATTTAAAAGACCTTTACTAGAGAATCTAAAATCTACTTTTGGTAATTTGTCTCTGTTGAATTTTGTTTGTCCTTTGCCATTTTTTAAAAACCATGGAAATGGTATAGAATGGAGGACAACTTGTGGTTTGGAAGAAAAGATTTGTTGAAGGCAGAAGACGCTTGCCCTTTCCACGAACTTCTGAATACTTTGTTGTCCATTTTTGCAAGAAAGTCAATCATGAAAGAATTGGAATTTTTCAGTTCTAATTTGTTATTTTTATTGCATTTTTGTGATATTTTAAATTGTTAAGCCTTTATATTATGACTTTATATTTATTGTTGAATAAAATGATAAATTATTACTATTTTTTTTTTTCTGCAGTCTGTAGCACATTGGACCCCTAGGTAAGCTAGCAAGCTCCTCATTTGCTTAGTCTCCTTGTCCTGGGCCACCTTCACTTGACTGTTTCAATACAACTCAACAAAATAGCTCTTTTAGGGCAAAAGATAAATAAAAAATTACCCCATTTCAACCAGTAGCGTATGGTCTGTGCTAAAAACAACAGAAATCACCTTAAATGCCTAACAATTAGCCAAAAAAGCCTTAAAACATGCGTTTATGCGAAAAGCACAAAATTAAGAATTTAACTGTGGTCTTTAATTGGAAGGTACGTTAAATCGAGTTCCTTCCCTTTGACCATTAAACAAATAGACTAACATTAAAAAACGATCGTTTCGAGCTTTGAATGAGTAATTAATTGGGTTTTCTTCTATTTTTTTTGTAGCGACACATTAACAGGATGTTTTTAGATCGATTGCATTATCAATTACCATCCTTTTATCACAAATGCGTTTGTTGATAAGATTTTTGTTTGCATCCTGGTTTTGGAGGCGAATGTGCATTTGGACGAATTGTCGTTTCCCTAATGCAACAACTGAGTCTAAAGAAATTCTTAAATGCCGTTTGTTAGGGCAGGAAATATTCATAAAAGAATCAGTCCAATAGATCAAAACTGTTGGATAGTCTTTTGAATTAATGCAAACGTTCAATTAGGTCATTTGGGCCATTTTATGTAATGGACGATTTGACTTTCCTTAAGAAAATATTGACCAATCAAATTTCTGGTACCTGCCTTTGACGTCATCGATGTAAACAAAGACAAGGATTATGATTGGTTGTCTATATTTAGCCACGATCGGCCATGACGAAGGTTGCACAGAGTTTATAATAAATATTGAAAAATTATCTAAAAATAGAATTATTATAAACTTCTTTGTTGATTTATCATAACAGAACAGGCGGAGATTAGGTAAATATCATTTTCTCATCCTTGTATATTCCATCGAAGCCCCGGGGGTGTCATCAAGGGGCCTAAATTGGAGGAAAACAGCATTGTCTTGTCTTCGTTAGATTCTTGAATAATCCCAAATATTAAATGATGGCTAAGAAACCTAACAGGAAGGAAAGCCAACATAACAGAGTGAGTAAAAATAGAAAGGAAATCAAACAGATTTTCCTTATCGTATCCTGTTCATATGAAGATCAAGTTGGAAAAGATCACTGTGGCATCTAATCTTAGTTGATCTACACAAGGCTATTGATATTAATTGATAAAATGAAAGTGGGAGACAAAATTAGAGAGTGGGCACTGGGCCTAACCTCAGAAGCACAGACCCTGGATTCGGAGAGCACTGAACCAGGTCACCAGCTGACAATAATCCAACCTGTTTTCAGCAGGATTGTGCCATACCATTGCCAACAAGGTGTGGTGAATTTGAATTCCTAGATCACAGTCAAATTTGATCTGTATCATAGACCTAGTTCTGAATGACAATCATGTAGGATTTACTTGAGCCAATGTCCATAAGATATAAGATGATGGATGAAATGTTTTTCAATTCTCAGATACTGGACCTCAAAGAAGTAAAATTTATAATATGGAAACCGAACAGACAAAAATATTCTAAAAAAAGAACATCATTTTCCTAATTTCTAGTCGGATAGAGAATCAGCAATGTCTGAACAACCAAGTACAAGTAAAGAACGGAAGGGTGGCACCAGTGATGACAGCGATTTCCAGATTCCTGATAAATTGTCTGAGACCTGGGAGTCTGACAGTGATTCCGATCAGGAGACAGATCTACAGATGTATCTAGTGAATAAAAGAATGACATACCAAGCTACTCTGCTGTCTGGGATGAATTTAGAGAATTTTCCTGCAAGGTAAAGCAATAATATAATAATTATAATAAACACCTTTTTTTTACGTTGGTCAGAATTAAGTCCAAAATTTCGTGGTTGTCATCTTGAAAGTCATTGTTTGCTGGAATTTAGCACCTAATATATCTAATGGGCCACTTAGCAAAGTACCACTTGAAATATTAGGAAGTCAATTGGATGATGATGACGACTTATTTGATTATGATTTGATGATGATTGGATGATTATGATGATGATAATGACTAGCATTTAATAATGATTGGATAGTGGCGATGATAATGATTATGTTGATTTGAATGATGATTATGATGATGAAGAATTTCATTTTTCTCAGGTTTGAAGAAATTGATGATGATGATGATGATGATGATGATTATGAGGATTTTGATGATGAATTTGATCTTGGTGAAGATTCCCATCACATAGAAATACCACTCTTCCCTCAAGTAAGCAACCCTTTAATAAGTGTCTTCTAGTTTTCTTTGCTGGACATTTATATATTTAACTGTCTCTTATATAGAATCCTTTTCAACATGATAGACAAATTATTTACCTTTTTAACAAACTACATCATTTAATTCAGATTTGATCTATGAAGGGTGCACGAGTCAGATCAGTTGTTACCCTTGATGCAATAGCAGGCCAATTATTATGGTCTTTAAATTTGAAGGGTTAACCACAGTATAGGGTGCAATACAGGCTATTTTTACACGCAAACTGCGATGCGATACCACTTACATTGATTGGTTGACGACAGAGGGTGTAAAACTCCATTTAATTTATTTCAGAATCCTGAAGAACCTGACAAGTTGTGTGAAGTCTGCTATGAGAGAAAGAATGTTCGTAAAAGATTGTGCTGTACTCTACTAGTGTGTGATGCTTGCGTGGATTCCTACATTCAAGGTAGGTTGTTGTTTTTGTTATATGGTGTAGCCCTAGCATATTTTACCTCATTGCTAACTGCATGGCGATACCCACTTGTGGTAAATCTTTTAAGGTGTAGAATACAGAACTTAAAAGTGTTCATATCATTCATTCAGGTTTTCATTCATACATTTATTCATTCATTAACATTCATTTACATTCATTCATTCATTCATTCCAGATCGAGTTCAGCAAGGGATTGTGAAGATTGGTTGTATGGCTGTTTGTGATTCGTTCATATATAGAGATGAGATCCTTGGTCGTCTAGACCCTGAAATGAAGGACAAATATTACAAGTTTCTGATAGACGCTAATAAAGATCCCTATATAAAGACTTGCCCTCGCTGTAGTAATGTTAAGAAAGTCTCCAAAGCTGAACTAGATGATAAGATAGTCATCAAGAAAGGTAACTACCAAATTGTGATGAAGCTCAAACAAAAACTTAGCTTTGGATTTCAGTCAGTTAAGATCTCATGACATTTAAGAGAAAGTTGTGTTCACGAATCAACCAATCATATGCCTTAGATGAACTACCTTCATAGGTAGAATTCTTGGATGTCTAAACCTAAGTAAGAATTGAACTACCAATAATAGCTGATGGACCCAAGAGTACCTCTTGGATTGTGTCAGCTCTGGCTCTTGCCTGAAGGATCATATATTTTTTCTAATTTTGTTTCCGTAGGTCTGGAAGTGGTATGTGATAAATGTGAACTGCGATGGTGTTTTCCCTGTCACGGACCCTGGCACGAAGGGTTGTCCTGTAAGGACTATCGTAAAGGGGATCGCCTACTGCAGATGTGGGCCCTGGAAATGAAAAGTGGTCAGGTGAATGCCCAAAGATGTCCCAGATGTAAGGTAAGTGGAGCTAAAAATAGATTTATATCACAAGAGAGTTGACGATCTCAATCAACAGATAACAACTTAGATTCACAAAAGATCCTTTCTACCAGCTCTCCAAGACAAGCTATACTGGAGTGTGGAGAGGTCATCTGACTTTCATTAGCTGATCAAGATTAGAACCCACAGCCACTATTTGCTTTATGTAACCAAGCTAACCATGTAAAGAACCAATACTCTAATCAATTGTTCCTATGTGGCATACATTTTCCCTCAAATCGTTTCCTTTAAAGAACTCATCTACCAGGAGTGAAGAAGCACTACTGCTAACAATTCTCTTTTCTCTTTCAGATATTTATTCAGAGAACCTCTGGCTGTGATCATATGACTTGTTCCTCCTGTAAGACGAGTTTTTGTTATCGATGTGGAAAACGCTATCGTAGTTTGAAGATGTTTGGAAACCATTTTAGTCGGTACAGCTTGTTTGGGTGTAAATATAATTTGTTGCCGCAGCGACCGGGAGCTAGGAGATTTGTCAGAGGGGCTGTGTTTGGTATGTATTCATTTTCTTGTGGGCTGGGTTTGATATAAGCTATCTTGTTGCATTAAGAACCGAAAGTCCACAAGTTAATTTTCTGCAGCTCATCTCATGCTGGTACACCAGATTCTGGACAAGCAGATTTGTATCCTCAAAAGATATCAATAATAAAATGGCATATTTTACTTGCAGGTGGAAAACTGTTGGGTAGTGCAGTGTTGGCTGGTTTTGCTCTGGCAGCTGGTGCAGTGTTTATAGGAACCAGTGTAGTGGTTGTACCAGCGATAGTTGGATACAAGCTGATGAAACGCAGACGTATGAAACGACGTGCCAAGCAGAGAATGCAGACCATGATGCACCCTCACACAGACCCACGGTTCTTTATAGGTCTTGAAAATACCTTAACTTTCGAGAATCAAAATCTTCGAGGTGAACCCAACATCCTCAGATTCAATGGTATGTTGCTTTATTGGCTAATTTGGGTGGGTGGGTGGCTTTCTTTTGGATGGCTGAATGCATGACAAGAGTTCTTAAGCAGTCCAAAAGAAAAAAATGTCTAGTTGTTCATTCGGAACATCACAGTTGTTCTCGCTCATCTTCATGGATAGTAAATAGAACGAACCCTTGCCTCATTTTGTTTCTTTTGAATTGTTATTCCAGAAAATGAACTTATAGACAATCTCTTCGGTTCAGTAGAGGCAGAAGATGAACAGCAAGTGGAAGTGCTTGTCCATAGAACTCTTGTAACTGGTGCCACAAGCTCTGATGCTGGCGAGAATTCTAATGATGCCAATTCTGAAGAAAGTACCAAAGAGAAGCCAATTGTCACTCTCACCAAATACACCCAGGAGGTCACTGAAGGAGGGTACACTAGAGTTATTGCCCATGTTGTGACGAGGAATGTGGAAGAACCCAATGCAGAATCTAACTCAGTTGTGACTGGTGAAGCGTCAAAGGATGAGAAAACTGTGATGAACTCGGATAGAAAGTTGTCGAAAGCTTCTGATGTGGGTTCTGAATTAAACGAAGTGGATTTGGAAATGGGTGGAGATTCCAATGGTTGCTTTGTTAATATTTTCAGTAAGAAACTGAACGCTTGGCAGGTTCATAACACCCTACCAAACGCCAGCATCTCCGCAAAAACATTGTTGAAAATTAAATCTGGAACTTGGGAAAAGAGCGGGAAAAAGTTATCCACTTCCAGTAACTTTGACCTTAAGACATTTTCAAATATTTTGACTAGCCAATCAGATAAGGATATTAAGTCATGTGACTCAAGTGATAGCCCACAATGCAGTAGTTCTCCTGAAGAGGAAGTGAAATCCCCATTCGAGTTTGTAACTCATCTGTGATTTGAGCAGAAACATTTTATGGTTTGGATTAGTTTAATTTAAGGCATGTTTTAAAGCAAAATCTGCCAAATAAATCTTGTGATAGAGGTGAAAATTGATTGTAACTTGATATTTTGGTGTGATTTGTTGAGAAAGGCTGACCTTTGACCTGCATGCTGCTAGAGTGTAGAAAGCTTTTAGTAGTTTATGACTTTTGTGCTTGGAATCAGAAAATATCTACCCTTTTAAATATAGGCTTTCATTTTTTTTGGTAATTTCAAAAAGCTTACACTCACTTATAAATAGAGGCATTTTAAACATTTTCAAGGGATTTGTTCATCTAGTTATTTTATTAGATAAAGCCAGGCCCGTTACCAGCCCAATGTGCCAAGGGGGGGCACCAGCATTTACATGGGGGGCAATAGCTGATAGAAGTTGTTTTCAGCTTCAACTGAGAATTTGTTCGAATTGTGCCCCTGCGCCCTCCCTATTTACGAGCCTGGATAGAGCTTAATTTTGCCTACTCTTACCACTTTTTAAATTGAAAATCAGATGTGCAGTTCTTCTATAATTACAGTGTAGTTAGTCTTGAGTTTTCACCTTAAGATTGTCCATTTTTCTGAAAATCAAGATTTGTCAGGTCCAAGAGAAAATTCGATTAATGTATCCCTTTAATTAAAAGTAAGAACATTCCAGTACTGAAGACTGTGATTATTGTAATATTAGTCCCGAGCTGTTACTTGAACAGATTTTACCCAACATCGAACCCACCAATTGTTTCTAACAAATCATTAGCAGCTGATAATAATATAATAACTAACAAAATCTACCCCCAAATTTTTAAATTGCATGTTTGGACTAGTCCAAAACAATCAAGGGGTGTAAGGTTGGAAAAATGACTTTACGAGACTGTTTCATATTCAATGATATTACTGAACATAAAGTTGAGCTGTCTCTTTAATTTTTAAAGAGATTTAGGTCAGACCATTGCTTATCCAGCTGATAAAAAGTTGGATTGTTTTTATTTTTTGTTGTTGATTTATTTCGATCGGTGTCCTTTGTTGTGTTATTGATGTCAGAGATTTATTATTATATCTTAATCAGATATCTTAATTCCACTGTTTCAAACACTCTGATTGGTAAATTGAGTTGAATTTCAGATATCTTCTGAATGAAAGATATCTTAATTCCACTGTTTCAAACACTCTGATTGGTTGAATATGTTGGATATCTTAAATCCACTGTTTCAAACACTCTGATTGGTTGAATATGTTGGATATCTTAATTCCACTGTTTCAAACACTCTGATTGGTTGAATATGTTGGATATCTTAATTCCACTGTTTCAAACACTCTGATTGGTTGAATATGTTGGATATCTTAATTCCACTGTTTCAAACACTCTGATTGGTTGAATATGTTGGATATCTTAATTCCACTGTTTCAAACACTCTGATTGGTTGAATATGTTGGATATCTTAATTCCATTTTGCTACTGCCAATTTATTTTGATAGTATTTTTGTTTTTATTGTCTCACTGTTACTATAAATAGATGTATCCTGATTTTGTTTGCTGGTTTAATTAAATTATTCTTGATTGTATTTCTAATCATATGACCTTGACCTTCAGTATAAAAGGATAGTTAATATCTAATTTCAAATGAAAAAAGAAAAACAAACATTCATTTATGCAAGATTTTATTTGAGAAGATCAATGGCAATGAGTATATGTATAATTGCTAGTTTACAATAGGTTTAAATGTGAAATGTGTAGCACTCTTTTGATGAGAGTTATCTCCCTTTAATTCTTCCATTCCAAGTTGAGTGTTGTGTATAGGAAACTGTATATATCTGTCACTTCTTCAATCTGTAAGAAGAGATTTTTGAATAATTGAGCACAAGAGAAGCTCAGCTAAGCCTGCACACATTGAGCTCTGATCTGAAGCTCTAAATAACTGAATTTAAGCTTAGCCTCTTGGACAATCAGCTGTACTCAGAGCTTAATTATGCTTTCATAGATTGAAGCCATAATAAGACATATTAGAATCATCCCAAAACTCATAGAAAAAGTAAATCCTTTTTTCTGTGGGTAACTCCACCCATTCTAGAGATACATTTGAATTGATTGTGAAAGAAGTTAAACTTACAACTTTCTTGGTTGGTTTTCCAGCTCCATGTCCAGATTTTGTATCTATCCTTATTATTAAAGGATTTTTCTGAAAGCAAAACAGAAGTAAGAAATAAGTGACAAAACGGATCCACCTCACAACAAATTTGATGGTTGGAAAACTAAGTTTAAGCTCTCACCTGTTTCTCTGTAGAGCCAACCTTACGTTGTACCTCCGCTATATATTTTAATGAATGAAGGGGGACAACTCTATCGTCATGGTCACCGGTCAGCAGTAACATGGAGGGATACTGTATGTTTCCATCTGGAACATTAATATTGTGTAGCGGCGAATATCTGCAATGAAATAATTCATATTACTTCAAATCCTTGTGGCTGATTTTTATAAAAAAATTGCTAAATTTTCAAAATCTTTGAATTTGTGTGGCTTAATTTAAATCATGGTCTAATGGATGATTCGAAACAGCAAGTTAATTGTAATAATCAGACTGTTCTTCAACCAAAACCACGAGCAGACAGCTCAATCCTGTGAAACCAAACCCACAAGAGACCACCACCACCATCAACCACTTACTTATAAAGCCACTGAAAATCTTCTGGTTTATCTGAACAGCCGTAATCTGTTGTCCAAGCGTGACCAATGGTAAACTTGTGGAACCGCAACATATCCAGTACCCTGAAACATTTATTTATTTTTTTGAATCTTCCGGCAGAATTGGAATTTATTTGACATCATTTGCTTGGTTACTTCAAAATTGTTTTGCCAGTAAGTGAATCTCTAATATAACTTTTGAAAATTATCCACAAAGCTTCCCAAGCATCTCTTGAGGTGCCTTGCCAGTTCTTCCAAAACTCTTCCAAGAAATCTTTCAAGTATCCTCATGAATGTACTTTGCTCATACCCCTGAATTTAAAATAGTTGGATGTTGAAAAATTCAATGACAATGACTTACCCAACTTGACCAATGGCTGCCCCGAATAAATCAGGTCTCTGGTTGGAACATGCTGCTACCAACAGACCTCCATTGGAACCACCTTGTATAGCTATTCTGAAAGAGAATGAAATCGAATGAAGTTTTACATCCTAGGCTACTTTCTGGCTCGATTGAAGACAATGCCTACATCTTCACATGACATCATTTGCTTGCTTACATCAAACAGGTGTTCTAGGCTCTGATCTCGGTCAGCATGTGAAAGTCTAGTGAACGAAGTCATCTTTCAAATACATGGGTAGGACAACCACGAAAGATCACTGCCAAGGACCAGCTGGTAGATAGGATCCTTCTGAACCTAAGTTGTCATCCTTGTAAAAGAAGACACATACCTATTAGGAGAAGTATACTTGTTGTCAATCAAATATTGAGCAGCAGACTGGAAATCATCGAAGCCATTTTGTTTGTTACCAAGGCAACCAGCTTTATGCCATGTTTCCCCGTACTCTCTACAAAATGAGAATACATCAATCATATTACATGGAATTTTAAGTCCTCCGTTTTAGCAATTGAAAAGACTAATGCAGATTTAATTTTTCAAATTTTGGAGGATCTTGGTGCAAAGTCTGTACCATAGAAACCACAAGACCCTTTGTCCAAGATCAGAAGATGCTGATGATGAACCTACCCTCCACCTCTGATATTAGCCAAGGCATAAACCACATTAAGATGCTGTAGAAGTACCAATCTGGATGGTGAGAATGTTGGACTGATAGATACACTAAATCCACCATAACCATACAGCAGAACTGGATGACTTCCATCTAAATTTAGACCCTGAAAGCATGAAATGAAATGGAGTTTTACACCCTATTTTAATGTAGAGGACTAATTTATTCCTCAATGTAGCAAATCAAGTAGGCAAATAACATTTGGAAGTTTTCACCCTTCTTTTGCACATTGCAAAGTAAAATGGAGCTCTAGATCCAACTTTAATGCAGCAAATTGACCTAATGCAAACAAGCAATGCCACACAGTTTGCAATGAGGTAAAAAAATAAGTGATGAAGCTTACCTTTTTATGAACGATAAACATCGGTATTTTGGTGCCGTCCTTGCTGGGGTAGAAAACCTGCTTGGTCTCAAATCCACTGACATCAAAATCTTTGACATTAATTTCACGGAATACCTGGAAAATGTCCCAAAAATTCCCAATAATTGGTCCAGCATTGCACATTTCGGATTCTAGGCACAAGTGGCCAAACGTTTCTTTTGTGAAAAGCAACCATTAGCACGCCTTTGTCCAAACTATTTTTCCCCAATTAGGAGTTCTTGACATCGCTTAGCAACAAGACATCTTCATTGAAAGCTACTGTACCTTAGGGCTATAGTTGTCTGTTGTCATGTCACATCTGTAGATTATGCCAGGTGTCAGAAACGACATGAATTGGTAAAATATCTGAAATGAAATGAATGGAGTTTTACACCCTACTTTTCTGTGCCATGTGGGCCAATGAAGACCGGCAACGCCATGCAGATACAGGGTGCAATGAGGGAAATTTTGCCAGGACAGCTCTTTTTCGATTTCCAACTGTCAAGGGATGTTTAACGCACACAAGGCCTCATTTTATTTTCTATGACTATGCGTAGATGGTTTTTGCGCATCGTCACCCATTGTCACTCCATCAAAGCTCCATGAAGAGCAAGTCCCCTAACCAGGGAAAGAACTGTAGGCCTACCTCTGTATTCTTCTTGCGTCCAGAGTAACCAACAATAGTACCAACATCTAGTGGTAATTCAGCTTTCCTCGTTCCTAGTGCTAAATCATGGATATACAGCTTGTTCTGAAGTGTACAAAAAGTGGAAAAATCACTTTTAGGTCCCACATTTTCAATTTAGATTGACTTAATGAATAAGCAATGGCATGAAGTGTCCAATAAGGGAAACAGCATAGGTTTGTCGAAGCTCCGTTCTGCTTCTATTTGCAACAACAGAATGAAACATTATCTCCCACTGCATCTCAATTAATTTATTTCACTTTCTACAACCAAATCCTCCAAAAGTATCATCAAAAAGACAATATTAACTTAGGGAATTATTGTATTTTGGCATGTTTTTCTCACCTTAACATCCTCTAAGTAACACAAGACCAATTTATTTTGATTAACACATCCAACCCATTCTAGAACCGATTTTTCATCTTCTTCAACTAAGGTACTCCATTTAGCCTGAAAACAGTATGGAAATCAAAGAATCTCACTGGCTGCCTGAGATGATGGACCAATCAAAATACTGCTTTTACATTCTGGTTCACTTTTCATTTATTGACTTTGGAGTATTGTACTTATTCAAGAATTGAAAGTAAGGAGATTACAGATGCTCACATTTGGTTGGCTAAAAGATTAATTGTCCATGGTATTAGCCAATGAAAAATCATTTCTAACTCACCATTTCTGGTTGATTAAAATCAATGTTGATTAGTTTGTATTTTGGCGCCTTCAGGTTGGTTTTAAAAGTAAACACTGTACCCTCATTGGTAATATACTACAATTTAAAAAAAATTATATCAAAATAAACAACTGGAATTAAATCTACTGGTCATGAAACAAAAAACATTTTCAAAATATTGGAAACAAATATTAGCCAGTCCTTCAAAATTAAAAATTCTATTCCACTTACTTCATATTCAGCATCAAAATTGTCTACCACTTTAACATAAGGCAGTTTACCTGAAATATCAGAAAACATGCGGTAAGTCTTGTTTAATATATTGTTCAAACTCCTTTTATCAAAAAATAAAAAAGTAAGGTAAGTCTTGTTAAATCAATTGTTAATACTCCTCTTAGTAATTTCTTTTTTTTAATACAGATGGACACATTGCAACTCTCTTCAACTTTGGTCTCTACAAAAACATATTGATAATTAAAGGCTTATTTAATAACATTTCAGTAATCTTTCAATAAAAACTTACCATCAATACCATTCTTCAGTGTCTGTATATCAACATAGAATAATCTATTGACTGGTTCACAGCCCTCTCTAACATAGATTAATATATATCTACCACAGTCACTGATCTCACACCCACTGAAACGAAATGAAACGAAATGAAACAAAACGAAATGATATGAAACAAAATTGGGTTAATGGTGATAGATAAGTAAAAGGATAAAATGTTTAACATACTATTTTCCAGCTCCTGAATGACCTAATAAGGACAGACAATAATATGAAATGAAACGAAATGAAATGGATTTTCAACAGATCAAGTTAAAGATTGGACTTACGTCATCCATTTTGGATGGTCAGGAAATTCAGCTACCAGGATGTCATCAGATTGTTTAGTTCCTAGTTTATGATAGTATAATTTCTGATGTAAATTAGTTGTGGTCTCGGTCCCATCTGTTTTACCATCTTGTTCTGGGTAACTCTGGAATATATTAGATACCTCATTCACTTATCCATATGCATAGGCTTTCACCCTAATTTAAAAGTTTGTGTCACCTTTTCATGGAAAAAGTCCAGAAAAAATGAATAGCCCATACTTACATTGTAAAAGAATCCAGTATGATCATGCATCCAAGCCATGGAACTAAATTTACATCTCTCCAAGACATCAGGTAGATCTTCTCCGCTTGGCGCCTTCTTGAACTGCAAAGGAAACCAGATGTGTACGTTAAGTAGAATATTCTTTGATCACTGGCGCCTTTGTGTGCTAATATCTGTTCCCCTGGGTTAACACACAAGCATGATCAGTTCCAACTCAGTGTAGCGAACTCTCCAAAAGAAATACATGAGTGATGTCTGTACCCATAGCATAACCATATTGCCTCTACCCGTACCATCAGCACAGTGCCCTTCCCCATAGCATAAGCTTTGACTTACATGAATTGAGATCCAATCTGAACCACTCTTACTCAGTCCATAAGCATAAACAGAGCCATCCTCTGTAAAAGATGAACCTCTTAAGGATATGGTACCATCTTCAGATAGCTTATTAGGATCTAAAAATACTCTGGCTTCAGCTTCTAGTGAATCTTGTACATATGTTACACTGAAATCAAAGATAAATGGAGTTTTACATCCTACTATTCTGCTTCCTCTTGGACACTGTACCATGTAACACTTGTTATTGGTGTGCAATGAGGGAAGTTTTCCAGAAGAGCTGCACTTTTTCCAATATCTAACTGTTGATGGATTTTTACTTGTACAGACACCCTTACAAAAAGACAGGACGTATACAGACTGATATTGCTGGTGTACAATGAGTGAAATTTTCCAGAGAAATAATGGAGTAACTCACCTTTGGTTCTGTAGACCAGTGTTGTAAGAATAATAAAAATGGTCACCATGTTTTCTGGGGCAGCCATATTTGGGATAGTCCCATATGTCAGTTATTCTGAAGATAAAAAACATGTCAATTTTAATGTCTTAAGTACCGATACCTGAATATCTTATTGATTAGTTGATCTCTCATTGTCCCCTTATGTACATCACAGTATGGAGAAGATATCACTCCAGCCCCCCCCCCCCCCCCTCTCTCTTATCGACGACGTACCTATTCTTGATCTTCTCTTTGACTGGACACTTCTCCAGGAATGGTTCTGAGATTTTATTTTGAGCCTCAACAAAGGCTTTGGTCTCTTCAGAATCTGGATCTTCAAGCCATCTGTAAGGATCTTCTACCTAATAAGCATTGAAAAACAAATTAAAATTAGCGACAGCAAGGACAGGTTCCTCCTCAACCTCAATGAGTCAACCGGTCCAATAACGAAAGTAGACAGTTGGCAAAACACAGACACCAACTCATAAAGCCGGATAGAAAATGCGATCAGCTTAATTTCGTACCTTCGTTCCATGATATTCTTCAACCACCGTCTCATCGCGACGAACCTCTGGGTATTTGAAGACTCCCATGTCTCGGCCTACACGATCTAAACTCAAGAGTATCAGTAAGAAATTCAATAAGTGCGAGTTCAAGCGTGATTTTCCAATTTTGATCGATTGATTTGTTTACACCGGAAGTAGAATAAGACACGAGTGCACTTGAGCCGATCTTACAGACGCTCGTTAAAATGCCACTTCTAAATGTTTTCTTTGACAAGGTCCATGTTTTTTTTTCATTTTGGTGTGTCAATATGTCTTGTTTTTCTTAGAAAATCCCGAAAATTCATAACTATAAGAATTTCGTGGAGAATTTAACTGTGGTCTGAGTCTTAAACCAAGGGCAAGTAACTCTTCAAGCAAGAAACATGGAGGAAAAAAAGCGCCCTGCCTCATGGCCTATTGAAATTGCCATCTACCAAGAAGAATACTCGAGGAAAAGGACAAAACTTGCTTTAATCAGGTATTTTGAAATATTATCATCATTCAAAACTAGCTGTCACTGTATGTCATTCAATATGAAGGTTAAAATATGTGTTGAAATCTAGATTTGAATTGAGAAGAATTAAATGTTGTCTGGTTTTTTGATAATACAATGCACAGTTATCCCTACTCCTTACCTGAAAAAGCCATGGATTTATCTATGAAATTCTAAGCTTGACCTCAAAACTTCGTGTAAAATTAACATGGCATGGTCTTTGGCATTGCTTTGTTTATTTAGTTTAAAACAGTTTTGCCATCGTGCATTTGCACAGGCGAATAAATTAGATAAAGGTGTTATGGCTGCATATATATCTATATTTGTGCCTTCTCATAATCTTAAAAAAAATTGCCACCCCTGACGAACAATTAAAAATCTTTTTAGTAACCTCGCAATTTAACCAATTAGCAATAATAGCCCGCAGAATGAACCCAATGTCTCTCTCTCGCGATCAGTCATTTTGACAGACGTAGACATTAGGCTAAGAAGTGTTCATTCTCAACAGGCTAATCGACCGGAACTCTTGATAGGGCGTAAAAGTTCCATTTATAATGTCCGTTCATTCCAGCTTCTACACTGTTATAATGCTGAACATTGCGAATATATTTGTGCACTTAACCGTTTGTTTTTGTCAAGTTGTAGGCCCTATACGAGTAATTTGGAACAAACGATGTATCTAGGGTTCGTATTGTGCCGCATTGATTAGACCAATCATCACCAATCAGTGTAATGAATGAATTTGAACTCAGTAGACTTAATTTCAACTTTGATTGGATGATGATTTATTTGAACCAATGATATTCAAGTATGGGTATTCCTGAATGGGCCATACACGATTCAGCAAACTAATATTCAACTGGGAGCATTCCGGAATTGGTTTCAAGGGTGATAGGAATATCTGATTGGATAATGAAATTTCCTAACCAGTAATATCACAGTAAGGTATTCCGGTATTGGTTTAGAATGAATTAAAGAGCTCCACAATTGCAAATATAGTATACCAGAAGCTTATCTCAAATTAAACAATTATGTATGCAACCTTCATTTAAAGGGTGTCCCTTCTACGGTAAATAAGTCACAAACAACAAAATCAAAACGATTCACCAATAAATGCATTTTATTTTAATTCTTATGTACAATATAGAAATAAAAAATTTGAGTAAAGTAGAAATATATTCTATAAAAATAAACTATGTTCTTTTTTCTGTAGGATGTAAAACTCCCGAGGTTTTGTTTTTAATTCTCGTCGTTTTGAAGCGTGGGATTTTGCGGCTGCTATGATTCTATAATGCTTTATTTCGGTTTTTGCGTTACATTTCACAAGTTTGAAGCTAATAAAAGTGATTCAACTGTTTTTTTTTTATGTAACACGGTTTTTGATTGGTCAATGGAACGACAAGGTTATATTTCGGGTGCATCAAGGGTTAGATGTCGTCAGACTCGTGGACTCTTTTTTAAAATCAAGATGGTTGTAATGTTCTTCATAAATAAAATCGTTGCTCTTCTTATTTCTTTTTCTTCTTCTGTAACTGCATACTATGTAGCGGACAGGAAGGATCGGACATGCACATGTCCACCAGCATCTTGGCCTGGGTCATATGAGACACAGCCGCTTTCTTCTGGGCCGTAGACATACACTTGCCGAACGATATAGCGCCTTGTTCGGCGGCGTCGTAGCCTGCTGGTATAGTGAAGTTCTCTGGCGGAACGCTCAGACAGACTTGGTTTGCTGTAAAGAGAAAGGGTACAAATGTGGTTCAAGAGGTACAGTCGACAAAGAAGTACAAGAATTAGCTAAAAAAAATGCATTGAAACTTGCCAAAAGTCGCAAAAAACGAGAGGAATACCAGATTTACATCTCCCTTTCGTTATTGAAGAACAAGCAGAATATTGGCTTACCTGAGACACAAGGACAGAAAGAAGCTTCACAACCGTCTCCTAACTCAGTCGACATCTTGGTGTGACAATAACCAACTGAAAAGATAAAAATAAATTATAAATCACAAACCTTCAAAGCAAAACCATCTGTAGGGTGGTAGTAAGTGCTCGTGACGGCGGAAATGCACATTCTTGGACATGAGTTTAGGCGGCCAAAATCGGGTGAAGTGCTTCCAACCACGGTATTGGTCATTATTACTTTCGTAGTTCCAGTAACCAATTGCTTACCTTGCGGAAGTTGCGGAGGTTCCACCATGAATTTCCAATCCCACAATATGTCTCCTTGAAGTGTGTAGCAGCAACCCATTTCGCATTCTGATTGCATGGTACACATCTGCTCTGAGGAAAACGTATGAGCTGGCGGTATCGTGGTGGTTGGTACCGTGGGCATCGCCGTTGTGGTGTTGGGTGCTGCAGTAGACGTACTTGGTGCAGGCGAAGAAGAAGGTTCTGGTACAGGTGCTAAATGACTTGGGTTGCCACCCGATAACAACATAGGATCGAGGATTCCAAGAACATCTGATCCCGGGCTGACGCCACCTCCTGGGAAGGATACTATGATATCTTTGGGTAAGCCGGCTGTCAAGTCTGGTACACCACCGGACGGAGAGACGGGATCGACTAACGGTGATCTCTGCAGGGATAATGTATCAACTAACGCCGAGGATGTTGTTTGTCCGAGCTGAACCTGGGCAACTGAAAAAAGCAAGTTATATGTGACAAAAATAGAAAATAAAGAAAGAAAACCAATACTTTACCCTCCATCAAAAGCGAAGCCTACGCCATTGTCAAGCAAAGAAGACATGGGACGACAGCATACTAGTATATTGCAGATGAATCAGGCGTCGAAGTATCGATCAACAAATGATACGAATTATATTTCTGAATGATAGAAGCTGAATATATGAAAACATGTTACCTGGATAACCCCCAGCTGTCATGGAAGATTGTGGTGCACCTAGGTTTATGTTGCCTGGAATTTGGATCTGCAGTGGCTTGGCTTCGACGACGCTGGAATGACTGCGATGTAGTTCCCCTGAAAGGTACGCGGTATGTTTATTCTGTTGGGGAGATGCCGGTGCCTGCTGATTACTGTGTTGTGAATGCATATGCTTATACTGATTAGTGGGGTAATATTGCTGCTGAGGTTGGTTGTTATGGGTTTGATATTGATTCCTTGGGTATTGTTGATGCGCTTGTTGATGGTTTGTCTGATTGTGTTGAGCTTGCCAGTAGTTCGGGTTTGTTTGATTCTGCTGGGTTTGCCAATAAGGTTGGTATTGGTTTGTCTGGTTCTGCTGTTGCTGCCAGGCGTTTTGCTGGTGTTGTCTAGTGCTGTTCTGCTGCTGATATATCTGATTCTGGTGCGGACTTCCACGATGCTGTTGTTCATATCGATTTTGCTGTTGCTGCCAATGGTTGCTGTGCTGTCCACTGGACTGATTGTGTTGTTGCTGCCAATGGTTGCTGTGTTGGCCAATGGATTGATTTTGCTGTTGGTTATTAGCAGCTTGTGGTGGTTGTTGCCAATAATTTTGATGTTGTACTGTATGATTTTGTTGCTGTTGCTTCCAGTAATTGCTTTCTGATGGAGTTTGGACTACGGGTTTACTCTGTGGAGGTTTTAACTGTGGTTTTGGCTTATCTAAGACGGTGTGCTCGTAAATTGGAATGGGGAAATTCATTTGAGGACCCCTTATTGGATATCGCGATTGTGGACCCCGAGGACCATATCTTCCACTATATTGAGGCTGGTTGTTGGAGTTTACAGGCAGTGGCTGTGTGGTTGGTGGTAAAGCCGTCGTTGTAGTTGGGTCCTCATATCCCTGATAATGATAAACGCCCATGTGCATTTCTTGGTGGTATTGATTCATATTTCTGTGATGCCCCGATGGTCGATTTTGTGCCCCATTTGAGTATACTGGATTCCATTGTTTTGGAACTGGATGTGAAGATGCTGGTTGGGTTTTTGGAAGATTTTCAAAAGGTGCAGCTTTAGGCTCTGGATAACGTCGAAGTCCTACGTCAGGAGACGCAATAGAACTGCCGCTTGACTGCAGCGATGATGAACCCGTTGCCGTTGCTGAGGGTGAAGGAGCAGATGACTTCGAAGCTTTTTTGTTAAGATTATAGTTATTGTCGATTTCGGGAACCGAAATATTTTGAGAAAGCTTCTGGATAAGCTCTTGCAGATTATTGCCTTGGAGGAGGTGTGGTTGGCGCTTGAGAAGCTCCATCATGGTTTGTTGGACTAACTGATCCTGTATGGCGACTTCGGTGTTGGATCCTGTGGAGGCAGCAGGTTCCTTGGGACCAAGATTAGAAGTTCCGGCAATATCTGTCTGTTGGGTGTGTTCACCATGGAATGCAGGGTTACCAGGAACATTGACAGACGCCGACGCACCCCTCACTGCCCCAGCTAAATCTGATGGCACTCTGCCACCCGTTGGTATAGGTCCTTTTGGTTGCTGGTTGACCATATTGAATTCATTTGAGTTGGGTGCAGACAATCGACCCCTGGTCTCAAAATTCTGTATGGGAACAGGAGTTGTAGGTTGTTCCGTGGTCACAACCACTGGTCCCTGAGTTCTCGAAGGATAGTTAAATGGTCCTCTTGCGTCTATAACACCTTGGTTTCTTTGGTTTCCGTTGAACGTATGGTGCCTCTCCCAAGGAGCTCCATAAGGAACATTGTTGTAACCAAATTGAGCCTGATTTTGTTGCGATGTGGTAGTTGCTTGAGGAGCTGCCGTTGTTAAAATGGAATTCTGACGAATTTGCTCTGATTTAACACCTTGATTCTGTTGGTTTCCGTTGGACGTATAATGGCTTTCCCAAGGAGCTCCATAAGGAACATTGTTGTAACCAAATTGTGTTTGAATAGGTTGCGACGTGGAAGTTTTTAGAGGAGCTGCCGTTGTAAATATGGAATTCTGACGAATTTGCTCTGATTTAACACCTTGATTCTGTTGGTTTCCGTTGGACATATAGTGGCTTTCCCAAGGAGCTCCATGAGCTCCATAAGGAACATTGTTGTAACCAAATTGTGTTTGAATTGTTTGCGACGTGGAAGTTTTTAGAGGAGCTGCGGTTGTAAATATGGAATTCTGATGAATTTGCTCTTCAACTAATTTGTAGTAAGGGTCAAGGTTCGGTGAGGATGGACTCATTTCGGTGCCTTGCTTCTTATGACCTTGTTGGACGTTGGTGAATTCTTGGTACTGCTGAGATGGTGCTTGAATCTTGTTAACCTTCTGCTGTGTTACGCCCGAATGTTTATGGATTTGTTTTGTAGGATATTTTGGATCGAATCTGTTTTGGTTCGGTGCATAGTCATTTGCTGTAGCGTAGTTTTGCCACGAATTCGGTGCTTGTTTTTCTTGATTGTAATGTGTCATTTTTCCTTTGGTCGCCTTGGTGGGTTCAAGGGTATTGAGAAGTCCCACCAAACTGTCCTTAACGTTAGTTTGTGACCCTGTCAACGGCGTGGAATCTACTGCTGGAAATTTCTGCGGCGATTCCACAACTGGATTCTTCTTTGGTATCCCTGACCCATGCTGTAGTCGTGATGAATCCTTAATCCCTTTCTCTTGTTCGATGGCATGTCGTAACTGTTCCGGCGTTGGATACTGTTGGCTGTTGATCCTGTCTTGGCTGAAATATTTCTGAATTGGCGACAGAGGTTGAGCTGTGGATGGATTAGAGGTGTCTGGAGCACTCACGTGGATGACCCTGAAGAAGCCCTTAGCACCACCCTTTCCAGGAATGTAGACGACTCTAACCATGCCGGGCTTGGCTGTGGGATTATTCATAGCCGGTATTTCTATGGTTTGCATTTCGTTTGGAGCTCCAAAAATTGGTGTAGGTTCGGTCACCATGCTAAGTTCTTTTTGTGCGGATGCTGGATGGAAGTACGACTGCGGATTTTGTGTAGCTGTATCGGGTTTTGGTGAAACTCCTGCGAGGTAATTTTGCTGTCCAGAATGCACGTAACTGATTTTAGGAATTCCGCTCGCAGATGCTGTTTTTATTTGTATATTATTTCTGGCCGGGTTTTGTGGACTCACTGACCCTTGGTGCTGATTGCCAAAATGTTGGTTCCCTTCGTAAGTATTTGGTCTCTGTGCATGTCTTATTTCTGGATTTCCACTTACAGGTGCTTGTTTTGTTTGTATATTATTTTTGGCCTCGTTTTGTGGACTAGCATGTTTTTGGTGCTGATGGTCAAAGTGTTGGTTCCCTTCGTAAGTATGTGGTCTCTGTGCATTAAATGAGTGTCGGTGCCCTGATTGTGGTTGAAATTGGTTGTTTGCATGATTTGAATGAGGATCAGCCGCAGCATCTGGCGGAAGATGCCCCACATAATGTGAATTAGGGGGAAATCTCTCGCCTGGTAGTAATCCAGGACTCGATGTGGTCGTTCCATCTTTAAACGCCTCGGTGGTCTTGTGTTCATGTGGTTGGAATGTAGGAGTAGCTGGAAGAGGTTGTTGGTGGACGTTCTCTTGTCCCTGACTAATGTGTGGTGCATGACTATCAATAGAAGTAGAATGAGGATTAGTGGCAGGCTCCTGGGCTGAATGGTGTTGAATATTCGGTGTTGCGGTTACGCTTTCTGAAATGTTTACAGGTGCAACGGTAGTGGTATTTTTTGAAAGATTACCTATGGTCTTAAGCGTCAACAATCTTCGTGCTATCAACTTTTTCAAAAGAAGTTTCCGGAATTGTAAAGACAAGGCATCGCTGTTGTTGGTTGGGCCCGTACTTGCTTCAAGCGGTGAAAGAGTAGTAAAGGAGTCCGTTAGTTGTTGGACGGCGGCGGATTGAGACTCCAGCTGGCGGGATAGCTTAGCCATGAGCTCACTGGCAACAGCTTTTGTCGTGAATTCAATAACTGGAGTAGTTGGCTGATCAGTTGTCCCTGCTGATGGGCTTTCTGTCGTAGATTCCTGTGGTAGTGGATGTTGAATATCTGCAGAATGATTAGGCTGATGTGCTTGATGAGGGCTTTCTGTTGATGAATCTACTGGTGGAGCTGAGGTTGGCCTTTCATGGAAAGATTGGGGAACAGGTGCCCCTGCCTGACTGCGGAGGTAATTCAAAAGAGTTGGAGGAAGTCCGTCTTTAGCTTGTTGCTTTTGGAGATACTCCAAGATGGCTTGAGGGAGTCCTGCTGTTGGTTTGGTCTCTTGCTTCTCTGGACCGTAATATCCTGGTGGGGGCTTGGGATAGGTGTATCCGTCATTCTGTGGTTGGCTCACTTTAGCTGGCGTGTGGTGTTCAAATTTAGTGGGTATTCGGCTATGAAGATGGGAGTCGTGCGACTTCTGAAAGGGTGGCCCTTTGGGTTCATATTGTGTGGATTCTTTTGGGTACTGTGGTTTGTATGGGTAGTTGTTGTATGCTGGGTTGTTGGATGGACCTTGATGTCGAGTATTGAGCCCTTGCTCCTGGATGCTTCGGTCTATTGGATACTTGCTTCTCTGTTGCCCCATCCAGCTCGCTTCATACTTGAATACTTTTTTAGTTGCATGAGGATTGAATGTATTTGGCTGCTGGGGACGAAACGGATTCTTGTGGCTTTCTGTCCTCAGTATGCTGTCCGGGGGCGGCGGATGAGCATGCGCATGAGCATGAGCATGAGCATGACCAATTTCTGAAGGTTGTCGGATCTGCTGTTGAACGTAGTCTGGAAGTACGTGGTAACCATTTTGCGTTCCGTTGAGTTCTATCGGCCATCTTGGTAGTGGAATGCTGGGTGGTTCGTAGATGCCTGGTGGTGGTTGGGTCACTTGTGCTGAAGCATTATAAATCTGAATCGATAGAAAAAAGAACAGCATGTGGCAGCGGCAGCACAAAACGTTTGTTGGTAAAATGACTTTGCTCTTGATAGAAATATCAACTTCAAAATAATATTTACCTAGGTTGACTTTGCGTGAATAAAAATGGAAGCATGGGAACAGTTCTGATTTTGAAAATTCATTTGTTATGATGGTAGGTGTCCGTGTTTAAATATTTTCTTATGAAATACCTCAGATAAGTGATATTCTATTTTTAAGACAAACGTTTGAAATTTAGCAGGTCTAATTCTTTGAACAAAAATTCAATCTACAACGTATACGTATATACTTTGATAAAGTTGTTCTATCCAATCACATAAAACTCGTCCTTAAATTGTAATTCATCTCCAAAAGTGTGAAACAAGAGGTTAACAAAGCTCAGTCGTAGCTCACGGCTTATCTGTAATCGCTCGTAAAAAAGAGTGGAGTCATTCTAAACAATACTGTGACAAGTTTTAGACCAAAGAACTTACCTTTGTGACAACAAATAAAATTCCAAACAAAAAACAGTTTTTTAGCGGAAAATGCGAAGTTGCCATAATCGGCGAAAATGAATACTGAAATGAAGTCCGTACATCGAAATTTAGAGGTATATAAATCGTAACATGTCAAAATGACATTTTGGATGACGTTATATAAGCAAACGTCAAACCCTGTGACATACGGCTGCGTTCACTGAGTGACGTACCGTCTGTATGACAGCCACTAATCAAATAAAGCTCATTTATTAGCCCCCAATTAATATGTTAGACAAATCGTAGCTGTCAAATTGTGAACACAATTCATTTTAACCCTTAATTGTCAGCGGACATGTTAAATTACTTGTCAATGACGGTATTGGCCGTGTAGCGGCGTCATCATTAATCTTTAACCCTTGTACGACATTTCTATTGAAAAATACATCTCTGTATTCAAATGGAAACAGGAAATGATATTATGAGATGTGCTGTGTGAAGCTTTTGATGGAAAGATTTTTATAAATGAAACTTTATAATGAAAGAGTTTTTATTTCTTAATGAAACTTTGTAAAAGAAAGATTTATATTTCTCAATGAAACTTTATAAAAGAAAGATTTATATTTCTTAATGAAACCTTATAATTGAAAGATTTTTTATCTCATTGAAAAAAGATTGTTATTTCTCATTAAAACGTTATGGTAAGAATATTTAAATCATTGTCTTTATCTTAAGAAGATTTTTATATTGAATTTTGAAAAAAGTTCTGAAAAGAAAGCTTGTTTAGAAAGATTTTTATTTCTTAATAAAACCTCATAATGAAAGAGTTTTATTTCTCAAGGAAACCTTGTCATGAAAGAGTTTTATTTCTCAACGAAACCTTATCATGAAAGAGTTTTATTTCTTAACTCCCTTCTCTCATCAAATCCGGTAATTTTGAAGTGGTGGTGGGATGGCATCGAGAGATGTCTTACAACCAGAAAGTTTCTCTGAGATTCAGTTGGGTAACCCACAGCGTACTTTGTGGAAACGTTGTTTTCGTTAAACTGCCCCCTCCCTCCTCCTACACGTACACACATGTATCTGCCAGGTTTACCTACGTCATACCAACAATAACTGCTTTCGTATATAATCATCTTTTATGACCCAAGGTTACTGCTGTCATATTTCTTTGTCTTTTTGGGTTTTCTTTTTGTAAATGTGACTACGAATATACCTTGATTTAATAGACATTGATGAAGGTGGAAAACTGATGTAGTCAGAAAAACTGTTTGAAATGTACGTCATTGGCTGCGTGTCTTGTAGGGGATCGTGGATATATAGTATTCTGGTAACGGTATAATCGCTTCGCCATATTCTGTTGTATGTTATCATTTGATTTAGGCCCTACATTTAGATAATCTTCCCTCAGTCAGAATGGTATAATCGCTTCCCTTTCGTCTTGAATTCCGAAATTTTGCCAGTTTTGGCATGTGGGATTGCATGGACCCCCTTGGTTCACATTTCCATGGTGCGGTAACAATTAACCAAGGACCTTCCTTTTTTCCACATTTGCTAATGTTTATTATGAACAGAAGACCCCACCCCACCATAGTCAATGTTTCATCAGACGATGGTCCATGACTTTATGTATAATAAGAAAAACAGGTTTCATTGTAAACTTTTACTTTGCTTTTATTAGAGAAAAATATATTTGAATATTGATTATTGAATTGATAAAAAATTTCAAAAATAATATTTAGCATGGTTGTCATTCTACACTGCTCCGTTCATCCCCCATTTTGAGTTTTGATTGTGAGTCCACGGTGCTTTATTATTGCCTGGATTATGTCCATTCGTGAAAAATGCAGCGTGTTGATTTCCTTGTCGGGTATTATGTGGGGGGCCATGGAAACCATTTGATTGAGCTGCCTTATGTCCAGTCATCATTCCAAACATATCGAAATTGCTGTTCACATTTGACTGCCGTTGTTGAATGGGTGGTCCAAACATGCCACCGAAAATTTGGCCATTGACGGATTTCGCGATTTCAAATCCTCTGGCTGCAGCTGCCTTTGCTGCATGTAATGGATGAATTGGACTCGGCGTGGTAGTGGTTGGTTCAAATTCAATTTCTACTTCTAGCGGTTCGCCAGCTGGCGTCGTTGACGGAGTGGTATTAATCCAATGCGATCCCAGGTTGGCGTTAGCTCTAGAAGTCCCGAACCCATTACCAGACAGAGGATTGGCCACTTTTGATTTGGCTGCAATTAAAGTTCGAAATTGCTTGGCCATGGGTGAAGATAGTGCGGTTTGATGAACCTGGCTCCGTAAGGACAAATAGTCGGGGAAGTTTTTGCTGAGGAAGTGCAGCATCTCTGCCCATTGGTTGCTAGACTTTTGTCGTGCGTTGCGAAGAAGATTAGGATTGGTACGTGGTATGTACTTAATTGTACTAGTTGTTGTCACTGGTGCTGGCGTTGTCGGTACTGGAGGTGGCTGTTCGGTTGGAGGATTCTGCTCCAGGTACTCAGCTCTGGCTTCAGCAGAGTCTATTGCCGAAATAGCATTGGGTGGTGCAATAGGTAACATTGGATCAGCAGGAGGATTTACTTGGGTTAGAAGTGGATCACTTGGCATTGGGAACGAAGATCGACCTGGCACGGGGAATTGCATTTGGTGTGGCTGTGGAAACCCCTGATATTCGTTGTGGCCTACAGGTTGTTGATAAGCATAGATAGGGTCATAACCCATGCTTGGGTTAGGATGGACTACGTTCTGGTTTGGATAGGCTACGTTTTGGTTTGGATAGGCTACATTCTGGTTTGGATAGGCTACGTTTTGGTTTGGATAGGCTACGTTCTGGTTTGGATAGGCTACGCTTGGGTATTGTCCTTGGTTGCTTTGATATGCTGGTGGAGCTTGGTTGCTGTATTGGGCCATTTGGTAATTTAGAATCGGTGCCTGGTTAACTGGTTGATATTGGATCTGGTTTTGATTTTGGTACTGGTACGGCTGTTGATTTTGGTAAATAATAGAATTCTTGCTCTGGTGTTGATGATGTCCGTTACTGGCCATGTGTGGGTAGTTGGGATATCTCCAATTTTTGGCTGTTGATGCACTGTTTTGCTCTCTTGGTGTCACGGAATTCGACGTTAGAGGCTGAGTTAAGCGTTGAATGGTTGCTAACGGTGCTGTAGTATGGATTAATGGCATTTGTGTTGTTATTGATAAAGCCGGATGTTGTTGTTTTTCTCTTCCGATGGGCTGTGCCGGGGGTGACAGTTTGGTTTGACTTTTGGAAACAGAAGATTGATTGACGCTTTTCGTAGTTGTGGGTACTCTAACTGTTGACGTATTGGGAGCAGTTGGTAAAATTATAGGTACCTGTGGATTAATTCCGGTGGAAACTTCTGTATTTGCAAGTTTGGTTGTCGGGACAGTGGTGTTCAGTGGTACGGTCTTCAACTGGGATTTTGCTGAACTACTTGCGTTGGCTGCAGTAATAATAGTTTCCTTGTTCTTTTCGTGAAAGAAACGGATTTGCTTCAATCTGAGCCTACTATTTGCGAGTAGCCGATTCAGGAGCAATCTCTTCAATCGGAGAGAATTCTGATTTGCGGCATGGTTTGATGGAAGACCTAATTTACTGGACATGCCAGAGAAAGACACTTTGATGTCGCTACTGTTGGATCGAATAAGGTTGCTTTGAAAGGAGGCGGGAGTTCCGTTGATTGGGGGAATTTCTGTCGAGGATATTGCTTGTGTCGATATACCTGTTGCCGGAATTGATGCTGACGTTGATGTAGCTTCTGATATTGTTGATACTGCTGTAGGTGTCATTGAAGATGCTGGTGACGAAGCTGAAGATGTGGCTGGTTTCATTGCATCCATTAATAGCAAATACTGCAACAACATGTTACTGTTGCTTTTTTGCTCACCTTGCGATTGCTGCATTAGCATGTTCATCATACTTTGCTCCGGAGTTAGAGGTTTGGTAGCTGGTTTACTTGGGCCGTAATGGGTAAACCCAAGCTGCTCTGGAGTAGGTGGAGCAGATTGTCCAAACGACTGCGTCAACATCCTCATCATTTCTTCCATACCAGGTTGCGTTTGTGGTGGCCCGGCAATTGATGTGGATGGCTGTTGGCTCATCATACTCAACATGGATTGAAAATCGGCAATTTGTGACTGCTGTAATGCCTGTAGCCTCTCTGGACTGTAATGGTTGAAAGCCGGCGTTCCCGATGAGAGGGTGCTGAATCCATTTGACTGTTTGGAGCCTGCGTCTTGGATTCCTTGTTGTTTCAGAATACTGTCGAGAGTCAGTGGAATCTCTGATATTTGACTGGCTGCATACTGAATCTACAAAATTTAAAAAAAAATTTAATTGGGGTATACGCTTTAAACTTCAAACTTTCAACCTGATCTGCCAACATACTCTAGGTTGTTGTTGCGTTCGTTGGTCTGTGATTGAGATTAGGATATGTTTCGAACTAGATCTATAGTCTGGTAACAACGTAAAAATACATGGGGATGCATGTTGACGTCCACCTATCCCGATTTAGATCATCGTACTTATAAAAATATTACCGCCTTAAATCAGTTATGTTCTTGCAGAACTTTCACTAGGATTTTTTCAAAATGCTGCCCAGATGGTTAAATATAAAAATACCAACATAATATGCTATGTGAATCTTTTTAAAAGGAAGACAAAGTTATTCGCCGATGAGTGTTCAAGAAGGATGCAAAACAAATGATAGAGAAAAGATACACTGTCCACAATAAGTCCTGGATAAACTTTCTATATTTGTGTCTCCATTAAAAAGCACACTTGATAAAACCCAAAACGTTAAACATGCTTACCTGAATGACGATTAAACAGATTCCAAAGAATTGTCCACTTTTCCATAGGAAACCCGGAATCATCATTGTGATAAGAGATCGAAAAAGAAAATGAGAATTTCCATGCAAATAAAGTCATTTCCTACTAAATATCTCACGGTGTCATGGCGTTACGGACGTTACGCAACGTGACGTCTATCCGCGGGCCATACACGGTCCTGTGACACTTCTCATAAACAACTAGCTTAATTGATTAGCCTTGTTGAGGCTAGAGATAGTACTTGTAGATTTCAAACATGTTCTCCACTGTCAGTGATGCAATCTCTGGCGTTTCTACGGGGGTGTCATGAGGGGTAGGGGCAGAAAGGGGGCTGACCCGGCTTCGCCCCCCCCCCACTCTTATCCTGATCCTGAGGCCCCTGATCGCCTCCGTCACCTAATGTTTCCTAGGAAAGCCACTGGGTCCAATATAAGATATTCGTTCATGTGGTCGACCTGGGCGGTTGGGATGGTTACGATATGAGACAAGCATTCAGAAAGTAGAAAATTTCATTTTGCATAATGGTCTTTATTTTCCATGACAGAATTTGATGAAATAACACGAAAATTAACAAATTTAATTTGAAAAAATCTTAATAGAATGAGAAGTATAAAATTGAAAAAATGTATTGATAATTATTTAAGATAATCACGAAAGAAAAAGTCTTATGTCCACACTGAAACACTGCAAACCCTTAAAAAATTGTTAAAGTTTTTCTCCTAACTAACCAACTGCCAAATAAAATCTGTTCAAAATATACATAGCTCTAGGTGTTTCTTGTCGTTTTTAACTGGACAGCAAGCTAACCAGAACGACGGCCTGGTGTTTGATGTCCTACGTCCTTGCTACAATTCGGGACTGAAGTATCTAACTCGATGCCAAAATGAATCAGTTACAGCTCTACATATCTGATATAGTTTTTGTGGCAAAACCGTCTTTGGTGGTAGACCTTCATTGAGTTGTAGTGTAGATACAAATAAACAAAACTCAAAGCTCAAATTAAAATCTAAAAACAGATACTCTGATTATAGGGTAGATCTTGCTGTTCCTTTTTGTCATTTATCCAAATGTATTCTCTCTATATATAATATAGATGAAAATCCAGATGTGAGTTTTTAACCAGAACCATATCTCAAAGGCACAAATGCATAAAATGGTTTAACAACATGTAAAAATGAATCCAATTTACATTTTAGATTATGAAAAGGCCATAGAAAAGATCAAGAAATTGAAAGTGAAAGGGGCATACTGAATACTTCACGATGTCCTGTTGTCCTATTCAGAATAGCGTGGCTTCTACTGATGTTGAAGGATTCGACAAACAGCTCTGTCATTATGAGGTATGTATTAATCACAGTCATTTGTAAATTGTCCGTCCGCCCATTTACCGCGTGTATCATCCGTCTTGAGGGATCTAAAGCCGTCCATAGACTTCGAATTTTTAAAACCGCGGGTTATTTAGGGTTCTTTTATACCAGGGGTACCTTTCCTTGACTTGCCGTTAAACTTAAGAATTACCAAAGCAACGTAGCATTTCTGTCATTAGGTTATATACCTATGATGCATAGTCGGACACAAGCAGAACCATGCTACGAGGTAATATCAGAATTGTTATGAGGCACTGTATGTTAAAACTTCCATCAGCGACCAACAGATCCGGTTCGTCTATGAGATTTGTATTTCGACCCGGAGCGGCGCATGATCCTCGGAACAGATTCGGATCGCGTTGGTATTTTAGTTGTTTGGAATGAGTTTCCGCGAAGCTTTTTCGTCTCCTTCATTTCGAAAACCAATCTGGCATCTTGGCGTTCGAACACTAGGTACGCCCACACTATAAACAACATTCCTATCACCCCGAGTCCACCCTCGAACACCTTTAATCGAACGCGCTGTGCTACGAGTGCGTACAAGGAGCAAGTCCTTCTTCCACCGCAAATTTCTGTCCATATAAGGCACGTGGTATCTATAACGTATTTGAAGGCAACTGGTGCTGCTAGAATACCTGAAACGAAGAGAACCAGTATAAGATCATTTGGTATTGTGAAGGATTATCTAAGGCTGCTTGACTGAGAGTCCCATGTAGGTGGTTGGTGGTAGTTGGCAGGGGAACGTCCCTTAGTAACCTTCGGATGGATGATGTTACCATGCAGAGATCATGTCTATTGCCCTGATATCTCTGGTATTTTTTTACAAGATAAAATCGTGAAAATTAGAACAACAAAAGAAGGAAACTTACTAATGAGTGAAATAAAGAAGACGAGAATCGCTAAGGCCATACTTTTATCTTTCTCTGCTACGTTCCTGAAATGATAACATAATGATAGACTCACTATTGTGGCTTTTAATGACTTGTACGACGATCTCAAAGAAGCACCACCTTTTTGCTAGTGAATCGGTTGCAGAGTGATCTCCCTTAAAGCACCGGAAGTAGTGCAGTTGAGAGTTAAAAGACAAGTTACCTGACAATGACAATATATAAGGGAAGAACCATAATGGAAGCGAAGACATCCGAGAGATATTGAGCTCCGACGTATGGGTAGACGTATTCACATCCCGGTCCACACAACCCGGAGTTAACTGTGCCACCGACAAATGGATAACATTGAGTAAACGCCTGCAAAGAAAGATTACAGTTGATGTATTACAGACGAAAACGTAAATTATTGAAACGTTGTGTGCCATAAAAACCAGGAGTGGTATACCATAATGTTCCGTAATTTATATATAAAAAATAGAGTCTCTTTTCGGGTAGGTTTTCTCCTATGAATTGTCCATAGTTCAAATGAGTTGTAAATGAAATCAGTTACTGCTATCACACCAAGGAGACCATGATCCGTGGCTTCTCTGAGAGATATTGGTACATAAAAATCCTATAGCTATCGAGGTGCAAAGATCAAGGAAGACCATGACTTGTCTGAATCATTGGTATGTGGAATTAATAACTCTTGCTAAGTTGATGTTGATGTAAAGAATCCAAAGATCTTACCGTAGTAGTGAAGTTCCTACAACCAGCCAAACAAGGCGAGTAATAATTTCTACCGTCTGCAGCACACACCGGATGGAATGAGGATGGGGAACAAAAACAACTTAACTCTTCTGCATTAACATTACTGGCAAAATAGAAAATTTTAAATAGAATGAATTAGCATTAAACACCCTAAAGAGAGAAAAGAATTTGTCTGGTCTTCCAGCTGACCTTGGCCACACCTCGTGACATTGATCTTCCCATATTATTTCTAACCATTTACAGCTGGTCGACTGGAAAAAGAGCAAAGATGACAAGGTTCCCAACCGTTGCACCTCAATCTCGTATGATTAATGAAAGCAAATGCCGTAAGGATTCCACTGCTCTTGCCGATTGTGAACAGTCCGTCCTCAAGATTATGAAGAATATCCATTCGTTCCCAAAATAAAGACAAATGACGAACCTGTTTGAAAGACCGTAGATTTCCGGATCGGGACAACCAAAAAGGGTCGTTAAAAGATTTAAGGCAACTGAAACAGGATAAAGCACCAGACCGACACGTAAAGCACCACGAGTATGAAGCTTGTAATTATAGACAATATAGCCTCCTATTAGGATTCCTACACACTTAGAACTGGCTCTTGTGATACCTGAAAATACACAACAAATCGATTAGAAAAACTTTAGCAATCTGCAGTACAGTCTTCCATCAATTAAAATATATCAATTTAGTTTGAAGTGTATATTTGTATTTTTCGTTACACTTCACGAACTTGTGAGATCATTCAGGGAATATTTTCTTGTAGGCATGTTATTTGCGATGTTCAATATATATTTTAAAATGTTATGCCTTTTGGGTCTTGGTTTTCGCCTTTAAAGTATCGACGGTACTATAAAAAAAAACCTACCTTCCACAAGATTGGCAGCAAAGGGAGATAACCTGAACTGGTACTGAAGATATTTAGGAGCGAAGTATGTGGAGCCCCAAGTAGCAAGATAGGAAATACAAACACTGATAAGCACCAAGATGAAGATCGGACTCCGGAACACTCGGAAGATGGACAGTGGAAAATCTGAAATGAAACACTTTATGGATCAATATTATCACCATCTTATAACCCAGCTTATAAGACAACTGATTCTCCAACGATGCGAGGAATTCTTACTTTCCCAGACCACCTGTTTCTTAACTGATACTGGATGAAAATCCACATTTCATTTGAATAGTCCATACATATCATAAGATTATCTTGGTATTTGTATTCCTCTATAAGGATGAAGGCTTTTGTGGTCTGGTAGAATACCTATTGTCGAAATGCAGGTAGGTTTATCAACTTGGTCTCTTGGCTTCCCAAAGAGGCTAGGATTAGTATCCATGACGTTAGTGAAGACCTACCCTTCAAGTCGTTCAGGAAGCATTGCTTTGGTTCATCCTCAGCAGGAGTGATCAGGATCTCTATATCACCAGCAGGTCCACTCCCATCAATATTCTTTGGAAAGTGTAGCAAGGGTAAGGAGAAGAAGATAGAAAAGACTCCAAGCACCAAGTAGCAAATCCACCAGTCGCCCAACCAACGAGGTTCTTCAGTACCTGCAACAACAAATTTTGGATCTTTAATCTTATATCAAAGGAATTAGGCTTTGGGATTCGTCACGCAAATTATGCGATCCCCCAGGGACCTACCAGTCACGCTACCAAAGAGGTTCTAGGCTTGTGTGATTTGCCAATTATGCGGACTCTCGGAGTGCTAGATGAGGACCAAACAACCACTCAACCGACTAGGTTCTTCAGTATCTGTATGTATTGGAATATACTAGTAAAGGGAGATAACCTATTTGATGCTTAAGATAATTTATCCAGGTGTATTGCTTTAAAACAAACCCTAGGAGCTGTTTAGAGCTGGCTGTCTGTGTTTTAATTTTTGCTTGTTTAACATGGATTCTTAAGATTCTTAATCTAATTTCGTCACCAAGAAATCTAGAAAACACGACAGTCTGTAAAAGCTATTAAGAATGACGTTGATATTTCCGTCGTGATAGTACACTTAACTTTTTAAATACAAGAAATTGTCTAAAGAGACAAGGTTGTCTACCAAGCACGTTAAATGGCTACTTCAGAACCAGAAAATGAAGATATCCACTTACCTTGATACTCGTATGGAATGTCAGCAAAGATAGCACCAAAAACAAAAGACAGTGGTGGGCCGACGATATTAGGGATCATAGAAATACCTGAAAAGAGAAAGTGGTAAGGGTGTCATCCAGTGTCGGAGCCAGGTTTACGTTCAAAAGGGGGGAGGCGGGAGGGAGGGGCGAAATATCAGAGATTGTCCGAAATTCTAACCTAGTTATGAGATTGTTGCCCAAAAAACTTGCATTCGGGGCTTCTGGGGGGTGGGGGATGATCCCTCAGCTCCCCTTTGGCTCAGTCACTGGTGTCATCTCTGGCACTTGGAATAGTAACTCTAGCATATAATGCAGTTGGATCCATCGATCCATCCGCAATTGGTCCCAAAGGTGATTGATCTACAACAACGTCTCGGGTAAATTGCTCTTTTGTGCCTCTGCAAGAAACATAATGGAACATATTTTGTACACGTATTACATCTAGTGCAACTGCTCAAAAAAAATTAAGAGTTGTCCTCAATCGGACGGAAACAATGTACAAAAACAAGACTGTGGATTGAAAAGCAATTCAAGAATGGAGCAACCTCGATATCTGTGCAGCATTTGAAAACAATCGTGGAAACTAGGTCATATAATATTGCATATTAAGAGTTGGTGAATTATGTAGACACTAATTAACTAAATTCTTGGCGATAATTAGTATTTCATTTACACTCTCGAGTCGTGAATAGACTGCTAATTGGACCGGTTGATCGTGCTTTAATTACAACGACCGAAAGGGTGTATGTCGAGAGGTGGAGTGAATTTTTAACTCATTACGCAGGACTATCGATACCGAAAAGGGCCTGCCCCCTCGTCTGGAGCAACTGTCGTACTCTACGACCGAGATGGTCAATACATAGCAAATATTGTATATATTAGTATATTTGCAATAGATCTTTTGGATAATTCTTGACGTTATTTTTCATTGTTAAAGCTACCATGAAATTTGAATTTCCAAAGGATTTTGCTAACATCGATGTACGTGCATTTATTGGTCTTACCTACATATATTCCTGTATTTTTTCTTTTGGGAATATTGTTATCAATATAGGTGGCACACAGAGGAAACCGCGGTGATAAAGCTCCACCTATGATACACAATAGAGCCATGAAGAACCATTTATCGATTCCCAACTCCAGCACAGAGTTTCTGTTCGTTTCGTAATCCTGAACGCACACACTTAAGCCAGATGTATTAGTTGATTTGCATAGGTAGGAATCCAACAGGGCCGTTCGGTTCACTTTTTGTGGCACTCGGTCCCATTCGTTCAGACCAAAATACACAAAACACAAGATCACACTAGCGACACCGTACAGGAAGGAGGATCCGATAAGGATTCTGGGAATGTGATACCTTTTAAGGAAATGGGTCACCAATATCACAGAAGATACATAACCAATCTCGAAACAGATTAGGATACGTTGGGAGAAATTGTCATCCAATGAAAAGTGCTGTTCTACGGATATGATTTTTGAAATGAAAAACACGGTAGCTGATTGGACGAAAAAACAGTTGATTGTATAGAGAATAGTGAATAAGAGGATTTTGGGGCAATACAGACGCGATTGAGGAGTAGATTTGGAATGAGTGCTAGTCCGGGATCCCACGTTGGAATGACTGAAGTTTGGCTCTTCTAGCTGACTCGGTCTTTGTTTTGGCTTCTTGAGGCTGCTTTTTAGACGCAATGACGTATCTGTTGGTGCTAACCGCGACCAGCTTTCTTTGGGCATCAAACGTACATTGTTCTCCGTTGCCGTTAGTCGGACGGTTGCGTTATCCGAAGCCGACATCTTTGTGTTAACGTTATATCATTCTGTTATCTGAAATGTAAGAAATCATTCAGATTACTAGACGCATCAACGTTCATTTTCCTCATTATTTTTCATAGTTCGGTCAGCGTTTCCTGGAAATACAGCAACCACAGTCTTCGGAAGGAAAATCAGAGTAGTTCAACCAGAAGCTATGTATTAACGATACACCAACAAAAGTTAGATAACCTGAAATCCATTTTCAGAATATCCCTCACTACCTGTAGTTCAGTAGTCTTATTCTGATGTAACTAAGTGGGAGCACATCTTTAAAATAACACCCATTGAATGTAGTTTAGGGATTAATCGCCTCATTAAAAGCCGATTAATCGATGACATAGACTAAACCTTTTGTATTTAAACACAAATAAAGTCGATTGTATAAACACGTTTGAATACAGCCTGTTCCTGCCATTACCACCCTGCTCTATTTGCTTTTATAAATTGACATCGTTTAAAGTGAGATACCCACGTAGATATAAAGTGTTTGAAATTTCCCATGTTGCGTATTGCATGGCGAGCAAAAGAGTCAAGAAAAAAGTTTGTTTCACTTTTCGTTTTAGTGTATTTAGCTGATTCCAGTTACCGTTTCCTGTTTCCCTTGCAAATGTTTATCATACCTACAAAGTGCCGTTACAAACGTTTAGAACGCACCGAAAGTGACGTCAACAACACTTGGGGCTACCAGTAAATAGTGATTACCTTCAAGGGTACCAACGAGCCCTAATTGAATTTGATACGATTCAAAACAAATCTTTGGGATTGGGGTTTATTTTTGTTTTTACATTCTCCGTACACCCCCAACCCCTTGTCCTCTCACGGTAGCAACGGGTCTGCCAAACAGTTAAACACGTTAGTTGTAGACTGATATTGATGGATTCTGTAAGATCCGCGACAAAAACATTCTAAATCAATAAAATTTCATGTTTTAAAATTCATATTCTTGACTTTGTTTTTATAGAAATTGATAATTCACAGAAAAAAGACGAAAAACAATAGAGACTATTGTTCTTGTGTATAATCATGAAGAGTTTAAACTGACGCGTTTTATTACGTTGGGGAGGTACCGGAAGCTACTATTGATATCTATGCAGATCCCCTCTAGTGACGTCAAAAAGCACATTAGTTTTAGTGGAATTGCAATAACCACAAACGTCGGAATGAAAATTGGAATGGTGCAAATTGATGTTATCATCCCCAATACACATACAAAGTTTAGAAAACCTCTTTACAATCTCTTTAAGGGTGTGCTTCAAGGTGTACAGTAATAACTACAAAAAAGAAAAAAGAAAAACTAAAAAACTCCACAGAAAATCAAAACCATGCCTACCTTTCAAACCAAAATTGTATTGACAAATTCAAGGTCAAAATGAACACGAAACACCGAAGAAACATTACTCCTAAATCCGATGTAACAATCCCCAAGAAAAATACCAGTAACTGTCAAACTCATAACGAGAAAACAACAGATGCTGCGAATAAAAACAAAAGATTCCAGTCGCCCATTCTTCACAATCTTTCTCTCTATTAAAAATTCTTCCTTCCGACTTCATTAGCATAACAAACTGTTAGATTCTTAAAGCTACCATGAACTCATAAAAAGACAACTTAATTTTCAGCGACCACAGTCTTCCACGTTTCCAGTGGCAAATAGTTTTCCACTTTCCGACTTCATTAGCATAACAAACTTGGTATTGTTAAAGCTACCATACTTTCATGAATAGATATTTTACAGTTTAAATATTCATCCTTAACGATCTTCTTCGGTATTAATAACTTCCTCTACAAAGATCATTAGCATATAAAACAGTTACACTGTTAAAGCTATCATGAATTTTTCGTACTATCAAAAGAGGTGATTTTTTTGTTTGTGTTATAAAATTGATAAATAAAAACTGAAATTAATTGACTGACTGGAAAAAATCATTAAGATAATTTGGATGCACGTATCGATTCTACTCTGTTATCTGATGGATTAATTAACCAATCATAGATAAGCATCGTTTTTTTTCGATTATCCAGTTATATATTATAAGATAAGTCCCTAACGTACCGGATAACAGATGTTTATCATCAATTAACTCATTATCAACTAGGGTGATTATCTTTGAATTGTTCCCGTGTCGATTGGTTTGGAAGCTTCCGTAGCATAATCAACATATGGCTTACTTTTATTTGGTCACGGATGTCATTTGTGACAAATTGTACGTTAGATTGACGACATCTGTCAAGTTAGTAGTAAAGATATTTGATTTAAAAATATTATAAAGGGATTAGGACAATACTGGTTGTTCGTCAGGTGCTTGCATGAGTCTCCCCCGTATCCCCGAATTCCCAATTCCCGTCATTACCCTGCATCGAAGCAAATTTCACGTAAAGCTTCAATCCTGTTTGAAGGAACTGTTTACTCTCATCATTTCTGACAATCTGCCAAAGACATATGCCGACTTGTTCTGTCAAACGTCTCTGTTGTACTCATTAAAGATAAGTGAAGCCAGTACAAACTCATCTTGGGTGATTTTCGTGTTCCTGTCATCGTTTTAAATCGAAGCAAGAAGCAGGTCTGACAACCGATCAATTCCATTACTGCAACTAAACACCATACACCTTTTACCCCACCGGATATATAACTTGCCCCTCCGGATATAACTTGCCCCTTCGGATATATAACTTGCCCCTCCGGATATATAACTTGCCCCTTCGGATATATAACTTGCCCCTCCGGATATATAACTTGCCCCTTCGGATATATTACTTGCCCCTCCGGATATATAACTTGCCCCTCCGGATATATTACTTGCCCCTCCGAATACATTACTTGCCCCTCCGGATATATTACTTGCCCCTCCGAATACATTACTTGCCCCTCCGGATATATTACTTGCCCCTCCGGATATATAACTTGCCCCTCCGGATATATTACTTGCCCCTCCGAATACATTACTTGCCCCTCCGGATATATTACTTGCCCCTCCGGATATATTACTTGCCCCTGAGAACAATCAAGTTTGGCTATGGGCCTGACAAGAAGTACTCTTAATAAACTCTTTGATTGCCTAAAGTTCTCTGTTAAAAACGCCAAGAAGCACATGCTATCTAATTTGGTCGAACGCCTCTAATGCAAACATCAAAGTTAATGAAGCGAATAACCAACGCACTGTGGGTGAATTACATGTAGATTACTAACACTCGGATCTGTTTCTGATAGAGTGTTAACATGTGTTCACAGATCTATTTATAGTTACATGTACAGACATTATTAATCAAGTTACAAGTATGGTGCACGTGTGATTCATTGTCGGTCTAATATTATCTGAGACGAGTGCCCTAGTACTGTTACACTTGTTACGATTTCTGACAAATGAGATATGGCTTGCTACAGATTGTCTGAGCTTAGTGTATGAGACGAGACGAAGCACATTACGCCGGTGTCACTATGCGACTGCGACTGTGAAGCGTTCGGTGGCTCGGTCGGTGACTTTTACACCAGACTTTCTGAGCCCATTGCACGAGAAGAAACGGAGTTAGCAAAATACGACCGATGCAACATGTTGTAACTCAGTCGGTGCTTTTTATGCCAGATTTTCTGAGCTTATTGCATGAGCAGAGGCGAAGGTTAGAAGAAATCGACTGGTACAACTTTGCGACTGTAGCTGGGAAAGTGAACGACGCAACGCTTCTATAATCCGCATGCCATTCAGCGACATAGTCTTTGACCCAATCAATGGCTTTTACACCTGATTCCACGCTATGGCTGCGACTGGGAAAGTGAATAAAGCCCAAGGTCTTGTATAAATCAGTCTGAAAATGTGCACCAAGATTGTATGAAAGTTTCGACAGTTTATGGCGCCCAAAAACCAAGAGGAAGACGTAATTCTTGAAACACGAGAACAAGCCAGAGTAAATAAATATAGCTATAAAACTGAAAGAAAGAGGCACTTAAAGATCCTTTATCAATAAACAACACCATACCAAAAATAACCTCTGATATTGTATGTTATACATACTTAGTTCTGGTTCAATGCTAGCAGATTATCGCTTCGTAAGACTATCTTGATGTGCTCGTCAGAACGTAACACGATAGCAGTGAGTCCCCATTTGTCTCAACTGAAGCAATTTCCAACTATCTTGACAATGTGACACGATAACTCCGAATGTCCATTTGTCTGAACTGTAGCAATTTCCAATGGAATCTCTGGACGTGTAGATTGTGACACGATGGCATTGAGTCTCCATTTGTCTAAACTAGGAATTTCAAACCGACTATCTTGACGTTCTAACCAGATTATGACACGATAGCAATTAGTCTCCAATTGTCTAAACTGTAGCAATTTCAAACTGACTATCTTGACGTTCTAGCCAGATTATGACACGATAGCAGTGCATCTCCATTTGTCTAAACTAGCAATTGTAAACTATGCTCCCAAACGCCCAACATGGTTGCTGGAAGATATAGAGTATCGGTCTAGGTACAAAAGCTGTTTTCGACAGTCAGAATGTAAACGATTAACGCTCTATAAAAATATACTATCTCCAAGTTCCAGGCATTCTTGTATCAGGCTTAAGCTAAAATTAGAATTCGATTTAGATTACGTCTTGTTCTCGAAAAGTGTAATATGTTAGTATTGACGGCCACCCAACATAGCGCCATCTTGATTTATTGTGAGGCTTCGAGCCAGACGACATTAAACCCTTGATACAGAAGATCAATAGTCTCGTAACTGATTTTAATTAGTCGAGAATTTCAATATTCGACCAATAAGAAGAACTGAAATAAGGCATTGCTTGCAAATGATTCGGCCATAATTGTTATCCTCTAATTCATGATATGTAACACGATTGCTAATTGGTCGATTTGAACCATGACGTAGGTAGCATAATGAGATGAAATGGAGTTTTACGTCTTAGATTTCTGCACCTGATTGCGCTAAGGAAGTCCAGATATGTCATGCGTGGTCAAAAATTAAGACTTCCACGTTATT